TAGTACTAGTAGTAGTACTAGTAGTAGTACTAGTAGTAGTAGTAGTAGGAGGAGGAGGAGGAGGAGTGGTATTAGGACAATCCTCCTGTATAGTACTAGTACTAGAACACCTACGGGGCCATTTTATTGTTAGTTCTAGTAATAGTTGGGGTGCTTGTTTTGAGTCCTGTAGTAAAGGCATATAATTTCAGTCTGTTGAACAAATTGTGATCAGTTTTGTATTTAAAAATTGTTAAGAAATTTAGCAATTATGTGATCAAAACCAAGAGGGGACCTAGGACTTTGTCAAAAAAAAATTAAAAAATTGAAATTGACATGATTCCTGCACTACTACTACTAGTAGTACAAGTACTAGTTAATACAGGTAGTGCTAGTACTAGTACTATTAGTAGCAGTTGTACTAGTAGCAGCAGGGCCACTAGAAGTACTGCTAGTGGTAGGAGTAGGAGTCAGACTTGTTCTTATTACACAGATAAACAACATTAAGTTTTCAAAAAATCTCAACAAGTACCACTGCTAAGCGAGACACATGTGTCACAAGAAATCTATTATATAAGAGGTTGCACATGGTGACAAAATAGGATATAGGCAGTAGTAGTCCTAATACTGATAGTAGTAGCTAATAATACTAGCTACTAGCTACTAGCATCAATCCCTCCTGTTCTTCAATGATTTCACCCAGAGAAATCAGCCAGCACTTCAGTAGTAGTAGTACTAGTACTTGTTTTCCTGCTGCACCACCACTGTAGTACTATGAACAGCATTTAGGATGGGAACAAATAGACTACTACTAGTTTGGGAATGAATGGTTCAGATATTTGTAAGATCTGAACGAGCTGGGATTATTGAAGCAGGGGGGGGGTTCTTGGCCTAACAAATGATATGATTCAAAACTAGGAAAAATGATATGATTCAAAACTAGTCTTCCAGGATGGCAAACAGGAGGAGGAACAGAAAGAAAGAGTATCTTGATTTTGTCAATTACATTACTATTGTACTAATTGTGATTTTCTTTCCTAGTACTATTAGTGTTCCTGTCTAGTAGGTGAACAAAGCTTGAGCATTCTAAAGTCATCAGTGTGCTTTATGACCTACCTATTTTCATTGTCCATAATACAGATCAGGATCCATGTGTTTCTTACACAAAGTAATCTAGCTGGGCAAGAGGAGTTTTCACAAAAAACAAGGCTGAATTTAGATTACTGCTGTCTGTGATCAAAGTGAGGTTGAGGACAAGAGCTTTGATTAAGAAGGTTGAGGCTGAAGTTTGATTGCAGAGGAGCACTGGTGGTGGTGGGGCTGAGGAGACTACTACTAACAAATCTTAATATTACATTCCACCTCTTGAAGAACTCCCAAAGAGGCACTAAGACAGCCAGAACCATTATCATTTATCCTGACTAGGGAGAATAATGCTCCTGGTTGTAGTTGCTGCAAGGGGTGGTACTTCCCTCTGAGGAGGTTTGCATACAAACAAGCCAATTACTAAGATAGGGGGCTGATCTCGGGGGATATAGAAGGCATTGGTTCACAGTTTGGATGGATGAGAGCCATGTCATGATAATTGTCAAAGTGCACTGCCAAGCCAAAAGGTAAGTTGCACCACAGTGAACAAGAAAAGAACAGGTGAAGAAGTAGTGGTCACAAAAAAGAAATAGAAATAAGAAGAAAGAAGCCAAAAATTAAGATGCAGCCAATGAAACTGACTTTGTCTTGGTGTAGTAGTTGGTGGTTCCCTTTGGAGTTACCAGTCATGATTTGGATATTTTTTGGGGTACTACTAGACATGTCAATGGTTGCAGTATTTCTGTAGGACGAGCTGTTTCCTATGTTGATTCTTCTTGGAGAAGGGATCACCATGGACAAGTTTATGAATGGTAATGCAAGCAGGATGCTGTTTAGACAGAAGGGCATGGGTACTAAAGAGACTGGGATAGACGAGGATCCAAAACATCTAGATTGGGGGTTGGTTTGTTGCTGTTGTTGCTGTCCACCAGCATGACAACTACAAGAAACAGCAGCGGCATTGTGACAGGAAGATACCACTGCTTCTGCTCTGTTGGAAACATGACAAGAACTTGTGGGAAGTGAAGATAAGGCTGGGGAATCTTTTGCAAACTGAGTATAATATTTAGCATATACTCCAGATGTTGTTCTTCAAACAACAAGGAAAGGTCTGGGTTGGACAGTTGCTGCTTGGATTGTTTTTGGCATATAAAAATGTCAGAATGTGACTAGTACTAGTGGAAGATACAGAACAACAAGCTTCTTCCAGAGGAACAGGAGATGGATGATCCACCAGCTGACGAGGCAGTGTCCAAGAGATGCTTCTTAGGGTATAATTTTTGTGTATCGTGACCATAATTTGCGTGTGTTAAAAACACATACATAAAAAAATACACCCTGATATTCCTTTGCTATGGTGTCCCCACTGTTGACAAGTTTAACCAACAGTATCAGTTTAATTTTCTGTGATGTCAATAAAATTACTACTAATGAAATTGTGCATGTCGCATGCACCAAATATTTCCATTCATGAATGAAAATATTCCAATACTCATAACAAAAATAATATTATGTCACATCACATCATGACCCCCAAAAAGACGACTCCTTTGTCAATTTTTACTATTCACCAATTCTTTTCTAAATGATACTCCTACTAGTAAAATAATTAGATTCTCAAAACAATGTGGAATATAATATACTACTATTGAGGTCCAACTTTATTCTTGATTGTCTTCTTTTTCTGTTTCTTCTTCATCAGACAACCCTGCTATAGTGCCCAATCCATCCTCAAGTAGAGAGGAGGCTCTCAATGCTGGATCAATATAGCTCCTCTGCTTCTCCCATTTTGGTCTACTATTGCCACCACCAGTAGTATTACTGCTACTATATTTCTTGCAATTACTGCTCTCCTTCATAAACCTTTCACTCATTGTCATCTTCAACTCCTCCTTTCCTGTAGCAGTATCCTCACCTAGTAGTAGCTTGATGGCTACTTTCTTGCATCATTTATTGAACAAGTCCTCTGTTCTTATCATAATCAGCTGTGGTTGTGGTGGTAAGGTAGTAACAAAGCATAGGCAAGAACACTTGCTTTAGTGGGGGAAAACAGTAGTACAAGAAGGAAACCAAAAAGCAACATGCCAAGCAAATTTTTCCAAGCCAAGGTTTGAGGGTTATGTCTCAATGTACCAAATACTGTGGTCAGCACCTTCTTAAAAAAACACATAGATAGCTGCTGGGGTGATATCTTTTGGAACAGTGATCCTTCCTTCTTCATGATGTGAGCAGTAACTCTGTTATTGACATAGAACTTTGCCTTGTTGTACCAGTACTTTAATACAAAACTCTTCAGTTCCTCTTCCACCATGTCACACATATTACTATTCAAAACTTCACCAATGTCTCTTTTTGAAAGAATGGCAGACTTGTTGCTACAAAGACAACTTACTTTTTCAGGTTCTTCTCTGTTGTACTAGGTCAACTCTTCTACTATTATAACTATAACTATAACTATAACTATAACTATAACTATAACTATAACTATAACTATAACTATAACTATAACTATAACTATAACTATAACTATAACTATAACTATAACTAGTATAACTAGTATAACTAGTATAACTAGTATAACTAGTATAACTAGTATAACTAGTATAACTAGTATAACTAGTATAACTAGTATTACTATTCTTACTATTACTATTACTGGTGATGGTAGTCTCTGTTTTTTTTGTGGTCCACCGCTGTGCTGCTCCTGCCTTACAACAAGAAGCTGCTTCATCTGGAGCATCATCATTTGTCAAAGGGGCAGAGCAGCTACATCTGTTCTTAGTATTGTTGTTGCACCACCAGGTGGCAGTGTCACTAGTATTATCGCACCACCACCAGCAGTCTGAGACTGGTGGTGCTAGTACTACTAGTAGTAGCTACTACTAGTAGTAGCTAGTACTACTACTAGTACTAGTAGTAGTGGTACAGTACTACTACTATCAACCGGAGGGGGGGGGGGACTGAGGACGAGGAGGAGGAGGGATACAAGAACTACTAGTACTAGTAGTAGTACCAATCACTCTTATCATACTCAATAGGCTTCTTCTTTGTTGTTAGGTTGCTTGAATGGAGACCAGGGACTAAGCAGTGCAGATTTTTTTCTTCAGGAGGGGATGTCACCATGGTGGTTTTGGTGCCAGAAGGTGCAGATCAGGTATGTATGTACAGTACTCAGGAATCATTGGGAATTATGGGTAAAGTTTCTTAAATCCTGTACCGTAGCAAAAAATGTCACGCAATCGAGTCATCCTTGCTTGATTTCACACTTCGTCTCATTATCTGCATAGAGTAAGTCGTGGAATCTAAAGATTTCAGGTTCCGGATGACTGCTTCGCGCTAATTAATATTATGTGCTTGTGACAGTCTGAAGACAAATTTTGATTCTTGGCAGAATTTTATCCATACGGTAGAACATACGGATCTCCTTCGGTCTGTTAAAATCCTTTTTCTCTCCAACAAAAATAAATGCACGACTGCATCCAATGGATAGGTCTCCGAATGATGAGTTGACTTGTGTTGATTCCTCGCAACATAATCGTAACAAGAAAACTCGTCGAGCCGACTGTCAAGCTTTGCGTTGTTCGTCTTATTATGAACGAGAGCCTGCTTGTATGAACAATTTAGAGCTAAAACGTTCAATATCACTTTGCGTTGAAATTTCAAGACAAGGGGAAAATTCAATCATTGCCTAGCAGCGCAAGAGATTCGTTTATAAAGATCGCCATGAAAAGCGATAAAGTCGGCAACAACATCAACAGCAAACTAAAAACGAAGAAAGACAAGAATAGAGCAAAGACGAAACGAAGAGGGAAGAGGAGCAACAGCAGTAACAGAAGCACCCGCTCGCAAAAGTCGACCGAAACTGTCCCAGCTTCTAACGTTTCTTCTTGCTCGGAATCCCTAACTTCGGAAACAAGAATAACAAACGGCCCATCGACTTTTTCTCTTAAAGTTCCCGGAGATCGGCTACTCACCACATCAAATTCAATCCTTGAGAGATCAGAAAACCAACCAGTGGATCTGGACCAACTCGTAGACACCATGGCGGCGAACAATAACAAAGGCCATGCAAACAGCCGCAGCAACAGTAACCACAATACTCAACAAATTGCGCTGTCACCTGCAGAAACATTCGACACTGTCCCGTTGGCTCATTCTCCCTCGTCGGTTTCATCGTCGTCGAGATTCTCCATAAACTCAGGAAAGAGCAACAAGAACAACAACAGAGATAGCAACAGAGACTATCTTCCCGTGTCGCTTTTGAATTTTGATTCTCCACGTAATGGAGTTGGGAAAAAGCCCAATGGTAACAAAATCAATGGCAACAAGGTCGTCATCGAACACCAACTGTCGCCATCGTCGAAGAGTAGCAGTTCTTCGTCTCCTCGATCGTCGATGCCACTTTGCGTTTGGTGGGTGAAGCCCATTCTTGGCATCCTCCTGATCATCATGTTATTATCGGGAGCGGCTTCAGTTTTTGGTTGGTTTTTCAAGTTTCCGTCCCTCAACGATCAGGTGGAAGCCCTCGAAGATGAAATCGAAGCCCTTCAGGGAGAAATCAACCGCCTAGAGACCCAGGTTGATCGCCTCGAAACCGAGAACGACCGCTACGAGTTTCTCAACAACCAACTCGGAATTGCTGTCTTTGATTTGGAGGAGGTCAAGAACGATCTGAACGGCACTGTGTTGGACCTAGAACAAACGGCTTGGTCCCTAAACTCCACCAAGGACGCACTGGCAAATGAGGTGATTGACCTGAGCCTTAAGAACGATGAGTACAAAGCACTCAACGATGAATTGAAGCTAAGCGTCAAAAAAATCACATCCGAAGCTTCTTTTTTTCGAACGGCACTAGATGGACTCAAGGAGGAACACAGCATCCTAACCAACACGACTGAGGCCCTCCGAGATCTAGTCTATAATTTCACCACCACTGCCAACGAAACGAATGTTTCACTCCAGGCGATGCTGCAGGAGACATTAGAGGGATTTGTTACGGAGAACGATCGACTGGAAGCTCTGAATACCAACCTCGAGAACGGACTGCTTTATCTCAACACCACACTCAACCAGCAGGGAGCGCAAACAATAGCCCAGGAGCAATCGCTCGAAGCAATCGTTGCTCTGTTGGGAGATAAGGTCGAACAGCAGCAGAGATCGACCCTGGTGCAGTTGGAAATTTCCTACCGGCAGCTGTTGATGGGATGGGATTGCGATTTCAAAAATGTCTTTTTTGGTGGCAGTAGCAGTAGTAGCAACAGCAACGGTGTGGTGCTTCTTCCTCTACCAGACGAAATCACAGCGTATGTTGATGAACGTGTCTTGTCCAAATTATGCCTTGATGAGTCGGACTTTCTCCAATACCTCTTATATACATCGTCTCCAAACTCGTCGTCGATCTCCTCTGACCAGTTTGTCCGTGCTCTGGTCTTGTACACCGAAGAAGCCATGAAATACTATTTTCCTTCCAGTGGCATTTTTCCTGGTGCAAACAACAATGCCAGTGATCGTGATGGTCTACTACTGTCACATTGGATCGATGCTGCCTTTCATTGCGAGTCTCTCCAGTCTCCTTTTGTTTTCTATCCAAATGGAATTAGTACCAGAAGATCATAAGAGGTAGATAGAAACAACAACAGAGGCAAGAACGGCATCATCATGCAGGAACATGGACAAAAAGTCTCATGCATGTGTTTCATAAAAATTGAAGTGATAAGCTTGTCAAGCCATGACACAGGCAATTCATTTTCTATTTGAAGCTTTCAGCATCATCTCATAATTTATACATAGTTTATTTGATAATCTTGGGCATTCTGATCAGTGTTAATTTTTGGAAATAGATGAGCTGTTCTTACAACAACAACCATCATATTCTTGTTGTTTTTCATGGAGAATCCATGATGTGCACTGCTAATACTACAAGTAGTAGTTGTTCTAGTACTACTAGCAGTAGTACTAGTAGTCATTTGTACCCTGCCCAGCAATATTGCAAATAAATTGCTTAGTAGTTGTACTGCTAGTTAATACTAGTACTTTGACAAAGAACAGCTTGTGAGAGTAGCTGCTGTAGTGAAATCCTCACTCCTCTCTGTTAAAGCTTCCTGCAGGCTCCCCCCTCCTCCCTTTTCTTCTTGCTTTTTGTTCTTGTTTGTAGTTACTCTAAGAAGATGATGTAACAACAAGAAGAAGCAGTAATGAACAATGGATTGTCTCAGCACAGGCCAGTAGTAGACTAGCATGTAAATATTGTCAATTATATCAATTCCCCACAAACCAGCAGATCTGCTTGAATTGTCCAAAATGGATCTTAGTTGGCCAAATGCTGGCAATAAAGTTGTACTACTAGTAAAGACTTGTTGCATGTAATAAATGGAATTCCATGATACAACAAAACATGATGGCTTCAAATTCAAATACGAGCTCTAGTATTACAACCCTTCTGAAAAACATTCAAAATGTCAGAACAAATGTTCATCACGGTGGTGGTGGTGTAGAATTAATTCATGCCTCCTGTTTGTAGTGACAAAACTTTTCTTGCCAGCAGCACCAAAGGTCTCTTCCAAAGCTCTTTGGTGCTAAATTCCAAGCAACCATCTACTAGTAGAATGAAATCATCCTTCAATGATGATGCCTCAACTCTTTCCAATATAAACAGAAATCCTTGACTGGTTGAAGCCCGGCCCAAAACTTGAAGCCCACCAAGGATTGAAAGATGATATTGACACATCAGATTTGCCTTTTACCAGTGGTGCTACTAGTACTACTACTAGTAAAACCGGTACCACTATTAGTAGTATTAAGAAGTGCTGGCAGGAACCCAAAGCTTGTGGGAATAAAGTCTTCTTTGCATGGTGCCACAACATGTGTGCCAGTCTGCGGCAATTAGTAGGGAGATCTGCACTGGCAATGGAACTGCTACAAACCAATCTTCTGCAAGCATGAACCACTGCTTGACTACAAGAAAAACAATTTTTTTTGGAGGGTGTAGTACTAGTACTACTAAAGTACCTTTAGCCTAGTTGTGGTACTACTACTAGTACTAGGTTTTACAAATATCTTCCTTTAGTCATTTGCCATTTCTCAACTAGCATGGGTGAAATTGTTTATGCTTGTAGTATTCTTAATCACCTCCAATTACTAAAAAAATACCAAACATTGAATTATTTGGCAGTGCACAAAAGTGCAGCTGCAAACCAAAGTGACACTTCTTGCTGTTGTTCCTCTTTGTCAACCAAACACATTCAATTGATGCTGCCAATAGAACTATTCCTATGGATTAACTTTTATTCAATAGGTAGCAGTAGTAGTTTGCAGTTACAACTACTAGTATTTCTCAACTAGAACTATCAATATGTGGATGCATTTGACATGACTCTTCATCAACTACTATAATACCAAAGTAAAATAGGGAAACATTGCCTTGTTGGCAATGTGCCAAACTAGTAAGGCTATTTCTTCTTACTGGACATTTCTTCAGATACTAAACCGCGATTTTTGTGGGGCCATAACTGCTCCCCAGATCTGTGATTGGGGCTATGGCCGTAGCCAAGTCCCAGAGCTATAATTAGGGCTTCAACTAAACGCAGATCTAGAGTATGGTTCTATACTTCAGGGTGTAGCTAGTAGTTGCAAACTTTCGTTGGTACTTTTTTGGTCGGTTTTCGTGTAGCACTGCATCCAAAAACACGATCCGGCAATCACGCATGCAATGCACCACGATTGTGGCTGGGATCTAGTAGAAGTAGTAAACTAGGGTCCTTCTCAGGCGTTTCCCCCCCATATACTTCTATGTTTTCCGTATGCCGATGTTGTAATGCAATCAATCTGATTCTGACGATGATCCGTAGTCCCCTAACAAGCTTGCCAGGCTATTCGTCTTGACCGTAGGCGTCGGTGCCGGTGGCTCACTCGATGTTGCTTTGGAGTCCGTTGTTTTCGCTTTTTTCATGCTGTCTGCCTTTGCTACAACTTTTTTCCTTTTCACCTTGATTTTAACAGATGCACCAATGAATGTTGTCTTGTTGGCGTTCGACGAGCCGTGGTCCACTTTTTTTTGTCGTTGCAGAATGAGTTCCATGTCTTTTTTTCGTTTCTCTTCTTCCCGTCTTTCGTCGTCGGTGCCGAGACGCAGGACGGTACTAGCCGGCCTATTTCCCCTTTCACTGCCTCCGTACATCATTTCTCCCCCTGTGCTATCCGCAATTTGTTGTCCCCTATTCTTTCCGAAACGTATAGACTGGATAAGTCGTTCTTCTTCTTCTGTTGTGCCGTGTTCGTTTAGTTCCTCCGTTTCGTGGATAGCCTCTTCTTGTATCCGATCGTCCAGAGCTTTTAAGACAGCTTTTGCGTCGAATCCACCATCACCCGATGAAGACATCAGTTTTAAGTGCTTGTGATTCATTGCTCTAATCTCCTCGAGATTGTCCAAATCGGCCATTTCTCGCTGGCTCTCCAAAACCCGATTTTCCAGGGCCTTCATCGGATCTTCCTTTTCGTCCTTCTCCTTCTCAAGAGCCATTTCCTCTTCGGTTCGTTCCTTGTCCTTGTATACCTCGTAGTTCCGAGTTCCGCCCGATTCCATTTCGTAGTCCGCGTTTTTGGGATCCGTTAAAAAGGATATCGTCCTAGAGCAGTGCGTACACTTGATATAAAACCGAAAGCGCTGAATTCCCAGGTACCGACCCTCAGCCCCTCCCATGGGTTCTTTTTTGGAATTGAATTTTCGTCCCCTGTACAAAAAAGTGTTGCAGGTGCTGCACTGCACTGAAAAGGGGAGCATCATTCGTACCGGGACTGTCCCATCTTTTTTTGAAAGAGCCTTTCCGCGGGGGATCAGAGACGGGTCGAAATCGGCCGGGATGTATTTGTTGAGGACTTTCCTTTCACCCATCTTGGAAGACCAATAATTGACGTGCCTTGCGTCGAAGGGCGTTAAATTTTATTTGGTAGCCTCTGTTTCTTTTTTGGTAGAACCCTTTAGCTTGAGGCGTAAGTTGGTTCGGCACGTTGTCGTTCAGGATCCAGGTTCTGCTGTGGTTGTTTTCTAGCTTTCGTTTTACTCGGAACAGTTCATTATGATGTACAGCTTTCGCCGATACCGTTCAGTACGAGTACGAGGTATGTACCGTAATGAAGGCAAAAAATGCATGCTTGATGTTTGTAGTACGAGCTTTTTGTCTGCGACAAACAGCCTACGTAACGAGTACCTTGCTTAGTTTCCTAGATCCCCTAGATCTACTGATATTGGGTGTGTTGGTGTTTTAAGCAGGTGTTAAGGGAAACTGAGTAACCCTAACCCTTTTTCCTGTGGGGGGGGATAGAGTTAGGGTTACTGCTTGTTCCGCTGGAGCCTGCGGATCCCCACCACCGGCACACGTATCATTAGTATCTGCCAAAGGACCACAGGTCACCGGGGGGGAGCGAAGCGCGGGTTGGGAGAGCCGGAAGGGAGTGTGTGAGGGTGAGTATGGATGCGGAGCGGGTCGGAGGTCATGTAGGAGGCGTTGGGACAATTGCTGAGCGCGGGGATGCCGGTCACGTCGCAGACGGTACGGAATCCTTGCAATCCTCAGGCAGGAAGCTGTAGGAGCCGTTGTTAAACATGAGTGATGCTAAATTTCGAAACAGCGGTACTGATTGTTGGTGTAGGTACCGCATCATGGCATCACTATGCCAACGGGCCAGGAGTTTGATCACGTTGGAGTCGCATTTTCCCTGTAGCAGGGCCATTGCCCCTCCCGCCCGCAGCGACCGGGCGCTGAGGGACCGGGGGCATATGCCAGTTGCATGTTGTAAGATGGCGGCATGCCATCGCATTGTGGTAATTACCATTGAGGACGTTACACGTACGTTGGTGCCATGGTGATTATAGTAACTTGCTAATTTGATGGTGCCGTCGTAGGAGGACGTCGCTGCCTCTGTTCGATGTTGAAGGAATTGTCGAATAACCACAGTGACTGGGCAGCACAAGGGGTCACCACTCCGCGAGTGGGCAATAATGTCCCCTTTGATGCCATTTTTCTGTGTGGTGAAGGTGAGCTGGATGGATGTCGCTGCCTTTATTTCGGCGTCAGAGGCTGTTGGAGAGTGCAGCCTTCTGGCCCCGATAAAGAATGCGACATCATCGAGTGTGAAGGCTTGATCGTCGGTGGTGGTTCCTGTATACTCCCCCGGCCTCAAGCAGAAGAAGAAGGCAATGCACATCATATTGGCCACTGCCTTCCGCTCGGCCGTGGGTCTCTGACGATATGCAAACTGTAGAGTGTGAATGATGATGGTGATGGGAACTGGTTTTACACGAGAAGGTGGGGCCTCTTTCTTCCGGTACGAGCGGAGTTGAGCTGTGAGCCTGTAATCTAGTTCCCCGAACCTGTTGAACCTAGGGTCTGGGGCCCCCACCCTGGTGATCTTCTGTCCCACTGACCTGAGGGCGTCCGATACCGTGTGAGCTCTCGCACGTTTACCGCTGGGGGAGGCCCGTCCGTCTTGGTATCTGGCTCCAAAGACTTGCAGATAAGGGACCGGGTCTCCGGCCTTTGCGAGGAAGGGGTCCAGCCCATGAGACAGACAGAAGCCAACCCAGCAGTCCCAATGGGCATCCTTTTTGCGGGCATACCCTTCAGTGACACTGGATCGCATCTCCTCTTGGACAGCCCCAAGATCAGACTTGAATAAAAGGGCCTCCTGAGGTGGCATTCGATCCAGGGCAAGGTCTGTGGATAAGTGTGGTTGAAGTGATGCAACAGTTGCGCGGGTGAGAGTGCAGAGAGATGCCAAGCACGGGACAGGGTGTCAGCCATCACATTGGCTGGCCCTGGGATGTAATCATGCAGGGGGACATATCTGAACACCCGTTGGTGCAAGGACTGCAGCCGAAGGAGGTATGCGACTGGTCCAGTGGTTGTCGCGGCTCCCTTTCTTTGCCAGTGAACTGTTGCTGTGTTATCATAGAGGTTGTGGACAGTTCTTTCCGTAACCTCCGCAAACTGGGCTAGTACATCCAAGTGGGCGATTGAACCGGCCAGCTCTAATTCGCTATTAGTGATGGATCCTGTGGGATTGGAGAAGGACACTAAGTCCCTACGGACCCATGGGGGAAAGGAGTGGCACCAATAAATGGGCTGTATTTGTCCACTCGATAGGGGAATGAAGTGGACCCCCCCCATTCCTGCTCCTGCTGCATCACAAGCTCCTATGGTGGCAGGCCATATGTCTGGCACTAACTCGGCGATTCGAGTGGGTCTAGCCACTATGTCCTCGGCAAGCCACCGAAAGTCCTCCAGGAAACTGTGAAGTGAGCCTGTGAGTCGTATCCGCTGTCAACCTTGTTCCTTGTGTCTTAGGGCCTCTTGTAACATGGAAAACAGTCCGAGGGACCCCGGGAGAGCTATGGACATCAACCTTAGCTCACCTAGGAGTCTATGCCACTCCGCGACTCCAGCATATTTCTGCCGTGGCTCAATGCTCCCCAGAACAGACCGCAAGCGTTCGACTCGGTGAGGAGGGAGACTGATGGTTTTGTGTTCGGTGTTTAGGAGCCAGCCTAGGATGATCTTGGATGTGGCCCAGGTAGCATCTCCTTTCTTTAGCTTCTTGAGGGAGGCTGGCTCCTGTCTGTAGGGCGTGTCTTCCTTATCTAGCGGTCGAAACACACGGTCCAAAGAGTGAAGGAGGGCCCTTTTCACGGCTCTCCGTGTCCACTTGTTACCTTGGACCAGTCCACAGAAATCATCCACATAAATGTCCCAATACCGTACTGGGGCCTTAGCTGGTGTGGTTGTTCTCGCAGAGGGCAACTTGGCTTGCAGGGAGTGTTCTTCTCCCTCGGCGGCTTCCCCTGCCGACTCGGATATTTCATCCAGTCGGTGAGGGCGCCCCCTCATTCGAAGTAGGCCCCCCTGTTCTGCCAGTAGGGAGTTAGCTAGGTCAGCTACTGTTTCGGTGCAGGCACTGAAGTTTGGGGGTGATGAGCACCACCCCATTGGGTTGGTTAACGGGACCCCAATAAGCGGTTCCTCCCCTTCCCGTGTGGGAAAGAGTACTGCAAGACAGATCGTGTCTTCTGGCTTAACCCATAACCGGTAGAAGCCGTCTGAGAGGTCTATCTTGGACATATAGACTGGTCCGAACCGATCATTCGCTCTATGGATGCGCTGCAGCAGCCTCTTCAATGCTCGGCCAAACTGCATGGCTTCCACGGGGGCTTCCGAGACCGTTGCCTTGTTCACGCCAAAATAGCTGTAGTCAGATATCATGCGGTCCCTCCGACCTCTTTGTGGCACTAAACCTAAGGGGCTTAACCGCAATCCCTTTATTTTGGTTACTAAACGGGCTGGCAGAACGGTCCACTGCTGTTTGTCCATCATGTCCGCATACTCCTCTCGGAGGAACTCAATGCCGTTGTTGGAGATTTGTGTGGCCCCCTTGCCATTGCGGCAGCGATCTGTCCCTGTGTCCATGGGGGGCCTGACATCACGGCCGGTGTTCCCTCCCGCTGGAAGCTCTGAAGCAGGCTTGCTGCCGGATGGGGGAGTTTTCCTACATCCGGGTGCAGGTCCCCTCTTCCCCTAACCGCTCGCACAAATCCCCTCCAAGAGGAGGCTGCCTCGAAGGCTTTAACTGCCCGGTTGACGTGGTGGTCTAGGCGATCGGGTGGGTACGGTACGGTTGCTGGTGTGTTGGGCCCCCAGGTCCGCACTGGCGGGCCCGTAGAAGGCTTGGATGGTTGGAAGGCGATTCCTCCTGGGGGGATGTAGTACCCGTCATCCCCCGGAGCGGGGACTCACCCCCCAGCGTGGTCTTCGTGTACTAATCCTTCCCTATCCTCCGGAGGATCTCGGCCCTCACTGGAAGAGGGGAGGGGGGTCCCCGGAGCGATCACCGGTGTCTCCCCTCCTTGTGCGATTTCACTGCTACACTTACCTAATTCGGTTGTCCAGGGCTGTGTAGGGGCCCACTGACTTGCTGTGTCTGACACCATCCTCCGCACTACAGGTGGGGGCAGTGGCACAGCAGGGGCTAGTAGGGATGTTGCCTTCTGCCTGCCTCCCCCTCATTGAGGGCCATAGGCTTCCTGGCACCATTCCCAGAACTTATCACTATCTTCCGGGTTGGATTCTTTGTGGTCATAACTGAGCTTGCAGCCATCGTAACAGAATCCTTTGGCTCTCCAAGAGTGACACATCTCCTTTCCATCGCTACGGTTACAGGGCCCCTTTCCTTTGTCCTTCATGGCGCCCATTGCCTTGGAGATCTTCCAACTCTTAATCCTTGCCCCCAGCTCTCCGTCTGCGGCGGATAGTCGGGGATCTTGCTTGGGATTCTCCACCCGCTGCTGAGTGGTGTTTGAAGAGGGTGTTGATCCCCCTTTGCTATTGGGAGTGGTTCTATTGCCGTTAGATCCAGTGGTTCCTGCTCTTCCGGAGGACTTGGCTGTGCTGGCACTGTTATTGGCTGGGGACAGCTTTAGTCCTTTTAGTGCGGGGATATCTGTGACGACTGGGAGCCAGCTAAGGTTCTTGGATAACTTGAATAGCCGCAACTCCCGGGTGAAGCTGGGGACCTCCACAACGGCGTGGCTGTCCCACTGCTCCTCTAGCCAGCACCGCACTCTAACCTGGAAGTAGTACACTATGATAGCTGGGGCTAGACGGTCTCTGCACTCATCGATGAGTGCATATCTCAGGGCTAGCTGGATCCGTTTTAGTCGGTTGAGTCCTTCCAGGTAGCTACGCACGATGGCGTGTTCCACACCTACTACGGTCGCTAGTACGGGCAGATAACCCTCTGCTTGGAGGATAGCTTCAGTCCAGTCAATAGGAATGTAGCCTTGAGCCTTCCCCAAAGTCCTGGCATCCGCTAGGTTGATGGAGTTTCCCTCTGTCCCCATGAGTGTGTCGTAAGCCATAGCCGTTGCAGCGTCCTCCATCTGCCGCTTCCTTGCGGTTGGGGATCCTCCAGGAGGGGAGAAGGCCATAGGGAGGATCCCATCCCCCAGATTACATTCATCTATCCCGTAGAAACGAAAGGCCTGGAAGGTCTTCAGGACAGAGGTTGGCACAAAAGGGGGTTGTAGTCCCAGTTCTCGAGCGGATTGGTCTACATAGTTCTGGAACAGTGCATGGAGCTTCTCCCCTTTCTTTTTGCCGGTCCAACCTTGGTAAATAGGGGGGAGTTCTCCTTCTTGGTCTGTCCGGCAAAGCGATTTTAACCGGGTAATGTTTAAGGATCCAAAGACATCTTCCATGGATGCAGGTTTTGACTCCTCAGCTCGCCTCCTTTCGTTGGCTTCATTCATTTTTAGCTGGTTATCAGTAAGTGTGGAAACAGCGGCTGTTAGAGCTGCGGCTTCAGGCCCAATGTGGCTGGGGATATTCAGCAGGCCACTCAGGTCGCGGTGCAGTACTTTTTGTTCCATGTACACAGTTAACTCAGCCTCAGCTCGGAACAGCGGTCCCGGTTCATTAGCTGCAATTTCGCACACTGGCTCGGCTGGGTTTCCCGTGGTCGTAGCCCGTAGTACATTGGTTCCTGCTACTCGCAAGGCGTCTACTAAGGGCTTGGCATCTGCATCCCACCCCTGGGCTTGGAGCCATGGGTGGATGATGAAGAAAGCTTCACGGGGGCTAAGGTTCTGTCCCATAACAAGTGGGACAAGCTCAAAGGGAAGGAAGAATGTATGGCGACACTTTAGTTCTTCGGTGTTGGGATCGGCTTCAGTGAGTGGCCCCGTGAACTCGGTCTGGGGGTTAGCTTCCAGGACCATCTGATGTTGCTGCACCGTATGGACCCTAGTCGTACTCGTGAGGGAGAACATGGTGGTTGTTACTCGTACTAACTCCCCTCTTCCTGATATTACATCATCCAGATAGCCAAAAGCCTTGTTAGAGTTTTGCGAGGGCGTTAAGAGGCTCCCTGGATACTTGCGGATCCCGTGTATGACTCGTAAACGGGGGATGGCATTGATATCGTTGACAAAGATGCCAATTCCACCGACAGCTTGTGCTTCGAAAAGATTGAGTACATGTTCTAGGAGTGTGGCAGGCGGTAGAGCCGGTGAAGGCCCCTCGCTGGTGAACTTCTCGTATATCCCTTTGTAGGCTCCCCGCCTCCTGGCGGCGTCCAGCCCAAAGGGGTTAGCCGAGGGATCTTGGAATAAGTCCAGGTAGTTAGTGGGCCGGGGGTCTGCCGTACTGCCCATCTTTAGTAACTTAAGAGACTGGGGCAAGCCTGGGGTTGTTGGCCCCAGTATACTGCGATCGGTTACTCTTATTCTACTCTTACTTTTCCTCTTCGCAACGCAACGATTACTCGGATGGAATAATGATTCCAGAGAAGGGTTGTCAAGGGTACAACCTGTCAGGGTCAGAATTTACACCTTCTGTCTTCCTTTTGTTTTGTGCATTTTCTGATTTGTTCTCCTCCATTCATTTTTGTGCTCTGCGCGCGCGCGTTTCTTCTTCTCGTTCATTTGCTGCGGGACTCGCTACATCGATACCGGTATGTTGCAAGTTTCTTTTTCTTCACTCAAAAAAAGGAAAAAGGGATTCCGTACGCACGTCGTCAGGTAATTCTTCAGATGTCAGAAGATCAAAAGATCTCAAGATCTTCGATTCGATGGTTCGATCTCAACATCTCAAAAAGTTGAGTACGAACACGAAGTACCGTACCGTACTTCACTACTTCGAATTGAAGTAATGAAGGAAACATGGTATTTCTGTGAGCAAAATACTTTTGATACTTTCGCTCTATCGAACGTCCAAGGAAGAAAAAGATGATACGAATCCTTTCTGCTGTACTTTGGGCTTTTCTCTGCGTTGTTTCCATCCCATCGTCTGAGGTTCGAAACACTGCTGCGGTGACAGCATTCGCACCGAGCCTTTCTCGCCATCACCAAAAGCTCAAGGTTCCAGTCGATCTCCATGTCGGACAGCTGCGCACTCTTTCATTACCGAAAATTCCATCCGTAAGAGTTGTTGCGCAGTCGCCGGCTTCAGCCAGAACGACTTGTACAAGCCTACCCAGTGCAAAAGTCCTGCCCTTCGTTTATACCGGATTTTCAGGGGCACTCCTGTACAAGGCCACAAGACTATCGACCGACTGTTCGGAGACAATTGTCCTCGTGGCTGTTTCGGCTCTATCGTTTTTGAACCTGGGTCCATCTGACAATGCCCGCCTTGCGTCGGCGAAACGTGCCTACAAAAAGACGGAACCGGCCTCCGCCGGGAAAGAAAAGCAGGCCCGCCAAGCCGCTCTCACCTGGAAGAAGGCGGTGAGGATAAAGATAATTGGGCAAGTCATAGGTTTAGGGCGAATGGTACTGGCTAAGGAATGTAGGGGCGTTATGAAAGGCGCAGCGTGGGTCATGGGAGCTACCCTGGCATTTCTCATGGCTGGAGGCGGCAGCGCCCGCCACGACGACATGGGTAACTTGAAGCCCATTCCAGAGAAGGCGCTGATGGGTATAATGACAATCGACGCAATTCTATTTGCTGCGGCCCTGTTGGCGGCAGAACCTTCGTCGTCATTAGGTTTTGTGGCAGCTGTGGTATATGCTGCCGGGGTCTCTGTTGGGAGCCTGGAAGGCGTTCCTCAGTTCCTAAAAGCCATGAAGGGCAACAAGAGCAACTGAACTGCAAGTGAGACTCCACTCTGTTTGTGCAACATGGTATACAGCTCTAGATGTATCAAAGGATCAATCGGTCCTTCGATCGAAGTTGTATAACTCATGAAATAACCAAATAATATCATTATTTTACACTACTAACAAGTAATGCAAATCTCAGTGGGAGAAAATCAATGAATCACAATATTTTGCAGGATGAAGGATCCATAGTAGTTATTGTGAATGATAAGAGGACAGCTGGTGGATGCAATAAATTGTACTAAATGAAGGACTGAAGTGCAAGCACAATGATGATCGACTCATCATGCTGAGATCTGTTCTTGGTCGACAGGTATCAACCCGTACTACTACTCTGATTGGACAACCACAAATTTTATGGGCACCAGGGGGCCCACCAGCAGTAGCAATCTCGAAACCCTAAAATCTCTTTTTTGAACACATTTACTTCATTACTTAATTTTATGATCCTGTATTCTTCTTTGAATATTGGACTCACAATTTGTGGATTAGAATGATTTGCTGTGTGGTGTTACCATCACGTTAAGTGATAGTGCACTGATAAAAAATAACCCACGAATTTCGGATTTCGGGACATATTCAAAACTCGGTACGTACGTACGAGTAACTCGTACCTTACATATGAGCTCATGGGTTCGAGGAAAAATGAAAAACAATATTTTTTGGAATGGTACGCGGTTTACAATCCGACCAGTTCGATTGGTGTATGTTTATGCTTTATTCGATTATGAATATGAATAAAAATATTTAAAATTTTCCGGTTTGAGAGACAAGAAATGTGAATGAATTTTCGTCGGAAAGCTTGTTTGTCGTATCGGTCCGGATAATTGTAACGATGGTGGCAATGATTCTGAAGCGTCACTAGATAAACTGAAAGAAAAGAAGTGACCACAACAATCCGATACGAATAAATCAAGGGAAAGGGTGTACGATGTCGGAAGAAACAAGGTTTCCAATCCCTGCATCTCTCCAAGATTTGGAGCGAGAGCCTTACAACCTCTTGCCCTATCCGAATGATTTTGACGACGACAACGAAGCTGCTCGTGCCGACTCTTTTTCTCGGCTCGTCACATCAATTGAACAAGGAAACCAAACTCTATTGACAGATGGCATTTGTCTGTTTCAAAAACAGGATCCGCATTTGAACGAAGTCCACTACACTTGGATGGACGGAGAGCGAACACAAGCTTTGTACACATTGGTCCGGTACGTTTTGAGCCGGTTCAAATATTTAGAACATATGCTTTCAATCGACGTCAAAGCCTTTGCTCACTCAATCAAAACATCATATTGCTTTCGTCTCGCTCGTTATAAAATCAAATAGTAAATCGACATCTCTCGCTCCAGGCACTCGTTGGGCCTTGATCCAAGCTCTATGCCAATCTGTAAAAATTCTTTCTTCGCTCCTAGAAGGTGATGTGAATTCCAATCCTGACGATAGGGAAGCAATTCAAGGTGATAAGGCGATGGCGATGCCGCAGTCTTCGCAGAAGACATCACGGCAAAACAACGTCTTCAGTCAAGAATTTCGTGACGCCATGGCTTGTCATTTGTACATGCTATTTTCCATCATGTTTTTCATGGAATCCGAAGCAAGAATCGGGAATTCTAGTGGCAACAAGAAATCTTCATCCCGGGGTGGGGTTAAGAAGGGCGGAAAGAGTACTGGAGATTCATATTTGGATGGAGAAGACACGATCAAAATGAGAGCAACTTGTGCCGATGCGATGTTGATAGCGGCACAGAGTATGGGGGCAAATCGATTCAAGCTATGGAAACGTGGAGTCGCAGATGAATCCGTCATTGTGCTACCCTGTCGTATCGCATACCAGATGCTTGAKAGTGCATCTGGTGTGATTGCTCGCAAGGCAGCTTCTGGCGATGCAGCTCTGGCCATGATTGCTGCAACGGTAGATTCATGCGATAGCCTGATGGGAACTATCATTGCAGCATTAATGGACCTTATGCATTCATTCGAACACCTAGCACCATTATGTGCTGAGCTTTGTACGCTTGTTTCGACGAACAAATTGGGCGTGGAGCTGATCCGCGAAGTTGGACGACTGGATACGAGTAGGAGCGGTGGAAGCGACTCGGCAAACAAAGCTAGTGGGATCAAATTTGTTGCCCCTTTTGTTTGCGAGCTTGCTCTTTGTCTTCCGCAACTTGTTCTATCCAATTTTTCCCATTTGCTCCATCATTTGGAAACGGAACCATATTACTTGAGATCGGCAATTTTGACGGCCTTAGGACACATAATCGAATTTATCGGGAAGTCACTTCAACCAAACAGCTCTGAAAGTTCATCTTCTCAAAGCATAGAATGCGAGACATCTCCAGGAAACTTGCAAAAATCTCGTTCTGCGTTGTTGGATATTCTTCAGGAGCGCTCTCTCGATATAAGCTCGTATACCAGATCTGCGGTCCTTAAATCCTGGATTCGTCTAGCCGATTCTGGAAGTATTCCAGTAGAGCGGGTTCTTCCAGTTACAAGAATGGCAATCGATCGTCTCCAGGACAAAACTGTTATAGTTAGGAAGCAGTCGTTGCAGGTACGTTATCGATCGGATTTAACGAACACTATTTGTTGAAAATCTCAGCCAAGAAAACTAACTGTTTATGTCTTGTTACTGATTAGCTATTGACTAGTCTGTTGGAAAATAATCCTTTCATGGGAGACTTAGATCCCAAGCCATATCGCAATAAACTGGCCGAGATGTATTCTTTCGTGAAGGATAATTTGCCAGAAAATATAAAGGAAGCATACGAAGCAAGTCTTGCTGAAGCGAGAGCGAACGAGGAGTCAGAAAATTCAATACTACAGTTGGAACAGGCCACCTTGGCTGCTGCAATTGCAGAAGCAAATACCATGGATGGGGTAGATGAGCTAAATGTGAGAGAAAATGAATTCCGTTCCAAAGTACAAGCTCTAAAGTTTGCTCAATCAGCGTTAGACTTTATTGATCATTTTGAAGATGCGAGTTCCAACCTACATGGAATGCTCTTATCTGCTAATGTTAGCGATGTAACCGAAGCGCTACGATTCTTTGTAAAAGCCCGTCATTTCAATCTCCCTTGTGCAGTAACTGGAATGAAACAAGCATTGACGCTCATGTGGTCGACAGAACAGAATATCCGAGATGAAGTACTCAAAGCGTTCTTGGATGTATTCATTGCCAAGCCAGGTACTGATGGAAAAGATTTTCTACCGAGCAACCAGATTGCCAATAATCTATTAATTCTAATGAGCGACGCAAATGTCAGTGAGCTTGCATCTATCGAAGAGGCAATCGGTAGCTTGGTAAAAGATGAAAAAATCCCTGCTGAAGTTTTCTCTAGCCTTTGGTCAGCAACTGTAATAGCGAGGGACAGAGATACCAGAGCATCAGCATTGCATATTCTTGCTATGGCCGCTAATACGGATAGAGCTATTGTCGATAGCAAATCTCGTCTCAAGATTATTTCTGATCATGCTCTTGGAGATCGTACAGAAGAAAATCGAGATTGGAAGATGGCACAAGCCGGTGCACTAGCGTTGCAGCGAGTTGATCGAGCTCAAATAGACACATCTTGTGCGAAATATCTAGTTTTGGAGTATATCATCGAACAGCTCTGCACAATTGCCAGGGGGGATTGGTGCATTGATGATGTCGAGAAAGATACTCTCCAATGGTTTTCAACGGCGGAGCAAGTAATTGGAGCATTATTTGTTATCTCTCCTGAACCCGAAGTTTGCTGTGCAGAGATCGTCAATGGAATGCACAACCAAACTCTTGGCGGTTCTTCCAAAGTAGAAGAATGTCACCCCCTTCGCCTTGCGAGGTTTTTCCATGTTCTCGGTCACATTGCTATAAAATTGCTTGTGTATACAGAAGCATTGTCGGGGTCGGTTCGACGAGCAAACGCCAAGAAGTGTCTGAAGAAGCAGGAAGAGGCTGACAAAGCGAAGCAGGAACGCATGTCTGAGAGTTGCCGTAGTATAGACGAAGACATTGAAGCTGAACTTGGAATGGAGGCAGAATTGGAGGCAGAAAATGAAAGGCAGGTGGCAGAGATTGCTGAAAAAGAAATTGTGGGCAGGGGGCTCCTCAGTGTCTTCGGGCCACTGTTGGTTCGTGTTGTTGCAAACGATGGAGAAAAATTTAACTCAGAAATACTGAGACAGACTTCAGCACTCGCACTCTGCAAGTTCATGTGCGTATCAAGCTCTTTTTGCGATCAGCATCTTCCGGTTATTTTTACAGCCCTGAACAACGCTCCAGAGGACGATATAACCCTTCGTGCAAATACTGTAATTGCACTGGGAGACTTGGCTTTCCGGTTCCCGAACGAGGTGGAACCTTACACTCCTCGCATCTACTCCTGTCTTCGTGACAAATCTACAAAAGTGCGGAGGCACACTCTGATGGTTTTGACTCATCTCATTTTGAACAATATGATCAAAGTTAAAGGACAGGTCTGTGAAATTGCAATTTTGCTGCGTGATCCCGACCAGCGGATCCGGGATACTGCAAGACTGCTCTTCCACGAGCTAAGTAAACGAAGCAATAATCCAGTGTACAATTTGCTTCCTGATATTATCAGTCAACTCAGTCTCGTTGAATTGGCCAAGGAAGACTTCCGATATATTCTTGCCTTCTTATTGGGATATATCAAAAAGGATAAACAAAACGAAATGCTCATTGAAAAGCTGTGCCAACGATTCTCCAAGTGCCGGACGATTTCTCAGAAGGCTGATATATCGTACTGCATGGCTCAGCTGAAAGTTAATGAACGTTCGATCAAATTTCTTGTCGACAACTTCAAGCTTTACAAAGACGCTCTTCACGACGACGATGTGAAACGAAATTTTGCCTCGATTTTGTCAAAGGCGAAGAAAGTTGCTAAACCAGAGTTGAAACAGGGACTGGATGAATTTGAAAGTAAGATCAACCAGGAAGCTGAGGTTGGAATGGAAAATCAATTAGCTGGGGAAAAGGCAGCAAAGGCAAAAGCCAGAGCATCAAAGAGATATGGAAGGCGGTTGCCAAAAGCCATTGCAGAAGAGCCTATTTTAGAGAGTGACAACGACTCTGATAATGAGTCAGAAATCGAATCGGAGGATGATGTCCCCTCAAAGCCCCTGACTCCAGTAAACCCTAACAAGCGTTCAGGACGGCGGGCTTGTAGGAAAACACGAAATCTTATGTAGTGAGAAATTGGGATGTTCGAGTATATATTAACTTTTAATTGCATGAATAATATATCATTTAGTATCTATTGTCTGTCCATATAGAAGAAAAAGTAGTACTACTATCAGTAATACAATAGTACTATAGTAGTAGCACTAGTAGTAACATTTTTGGAAAGTTCTTTGCAACAACATCCTAGTAATAAGCAAAATCTATCACCACCGGAGAGCGTCACACAAGATTTCACTGGTCTTTGACGCCTACTTCAAAAAGAAGCGACACAAACAACCTGTCGTGCCAGATCCTTCTTTGGCTCCTCCTGTCAATTCTTCCAGTTTACTTCAAACCAAGCTCAGTCAATACTTTTAATTCCAGTGAAACAAACCCCTGGTCACACTTCCACTAACACTCCTTGGAGGGAAGTGCAGCCCCTCGGAGCAGCTAGGATCATTCTTTCTAACAAAAGCTATGGTTCTGGCCATATAGTGCCTCTTCTAGTTCACGAGGAGGTAAAACATAATATTAAGATTTTTTTTAATAAGCAAAATCTATCACCATGACTTTAAAAAACTCTTCTTCTTCTTGGAGTAGTAGTATTACTAAACTGAGAAACAAAGAAACGAATTCTAAGAAACAGTAGTAGTATTTAGTACTAGTAGTAGTATAGTAGTAGGAGGAGCCCTGCTTCTTACTACAGAAGATACAATATCAGTGGGCAGCAATACTACAAAATTGTCATCATCTGTTTCTACTGTTGGGTAGCACTATTAGAGCCAGCAAGAAATTAGACAATCCTGCCAAATATTTTAATTTTTGTCTATGGGACAGTTTTTTTCACTGTAAAAATGAGCTAATAATTCATCTTGCCAGCATGGTGCTTGCCTTTAGTAGCTCTACTACTGTCCCCGTAGGCACGTAAAGTACCGTACATGTGGCATTGCGATGATGATTTTTTTCGTTTTATCATCACTTTGCATATGACAACTTCCGAATTTGAAATACGAGGATTTTGTATGGTTTTTCCTTGAACAGAAAAGCGCGACCAACCACGCTGATTGATTTTTAATCCAAAAATTTATTAAAAAGTGACTTGCTCCCAACTTCTCTTGCGCCTTTTTTTTTCGTCCCTTCCGTCGTTCGATGACATTATTATTTATGAATTATTTTCTTCTCACAAAGTTGCGGCGGAGGGATCGGCTGGCTTTCTTCGCGCAAAAGGCGTGCTTCTCTGCTTCATCTTTTTTTGCTCACATTGTGAGCGCAATTTACATACACGGAACACGTTGCGTAGGATTTGGCAGATCTCACGGGAAAAAAAAACACAACAAAATTTGCAGTAACAAGCATCCGGCAGAAGCTACGTTTTCGTCCCACGGATGACAAAAAAATAAACTCTACTTCCTCCTGCACTATTAATTTAATCAAGACATCTCATTGTAAGTTTTATATTGTCCAGAACTATTCCTCGTGTTGGATCATCGGAACCGTAACCAATATCGATCGGAGGGTCGCATTTGTTTGCCCCGGGGTTTCGTGTGCATCTAAAGCGATGTCTGAAGAAAACACATGATTTTGGGAAATTTTGTTTTCACCGTAGTAGATTCTGGATGTAGATTCTACGTATTTTTTCTACGTTCGGCAAGCCGGGGAGGGTTTGTCTCGTTGTCAAAAAAATTACAAGAATGATAATTGGAATCTCTCACACCAACAAACAAATCACTAATCATCACAACCATCATACTGCTTTGTCCTACACTCATTTAATCAGACAATCAAATCTTTAGGGTGCTCGAAGCACATTCAAGACAATGTCCTTTCCGGGTGGTAAAATCCCCGATCACCTGACCGACAACGACGTCGAGCGTCGGATTCAAGAAGAACTTCGCCTCCGACAGCAAGAAAAAAGCATGGCCGAGTACATGCGACTCATGACCGGAGACGGAGCCGGCGCGAATGCTTACTATGGCGCAGCGGCTGCTGCCGCTCACCAGAGAGCCGCCTATGGACAGCAGCAAGCAGCGGCCTTTGGAATTGACTCGGCGGGCATGTACGCTCGGCAGCATCAGCAGCACGCCCATGCTGCAGCGGCTGCAGCGTATGGATATGCTCCCCGGGGAGGAGCTGGTCATTACGGTTATGGTCACCATGCACCAACAGCATCGGATATCTATTCGCAACAGATGGCCATGAGCAACATTGAGCAACACCAACAACGTGCTGCCGCTGCGTACGGGCAGCACCAGGCTGCTGCGGCACACCAGCACCTTCTTGCAGCAGCATCTCCTCAGGGGAAGCCTCCAACATCGGCCACTTCCTCGGTGACATCCCCCGCAGGCACCGCCGTGCCCTCAATGGAAAGCACCCCGTTGCAGGCGCATCTGCAAGGATCACCAAGCTTATCGGAAATTGGATCGGCCCCAAAATCTTCCCCAGCCTCCCTTTCCGGAATTGGATCCATGGGCATACCCAGCACTCCCATGACGACTTCATCGAGTTTGACGCCCCCCCGCACGACATCCACAAAAAAGAAAAAGAAAATAGAACCCCACGAAACGGTAGAGCTCGACGACCTCAAAATCGAAAAGTGGTATTCGGGATGCGTTCCCTTGGGATTGGAGGACGACAAATATTGGTTGTCGGAACTGCAGGTCTACCTCAGAGCAAATTTTGGTAAGTGTCAAAAAAATTCAACGACGAAAAGAGTATTCATTCAACTACTTGGATGAACATGAACCATTTTTGTTCACAATCTGTTTGTTCACCCTCGTTTTGTAATTATCGTCATTATTTACTGTGAATTTCTTTCTTTCATTTCAATGAAATTAACAATAACAACGACAGCCGAAGCATTTGGTGCCACAGAAGAGGATATTGCCGCTCCTATGCACGGGCGAAACAAACCCATTGCTCTTGGACAGGTTGGAATACGTTGCATGCATTGTAAACGTAAGTACACCACTCGTCATCGTTTTCTTCTTAATTGCGCTGCTAGGTGCTCCCTTTCCAGTTTCTGTTTGCAGAATTGCAGTCTCATCTAATAAAAAATTCTTGTGTGTTTTGTGAAATTTTAGATGAAAATCCTGCGGAACGAGGGCAGCAGGCCACAAGTTATCCGTCTCTCATCAGCGGCATTTATAACAGCGTCCAACAAATGCTTCGTTTGCATCTCGATTGCTGCCAGGCCATGCCGCCAGAAATTCGTGCAAAAATTGAATCACTAAAGGTATCTAGCTCTAGTCGTGGTGGCCGCAAACAATATTGGATCGACTCCGCCAAGCGATTGGGTTTGGTCGATACCCGTCATGGGATCCATTTTGGACGGGATCCGCTCGGTCCTCTTCCTCCCTTGACGGGACCTTCCGTCAATTCCAAGGAGGGGCGAAAGAAAAAAGAGGCCCAGAAAAAGGCGGAACCTACTCCACCTCCTCAGGAAGAAGAAGAGCAGGATCCTCCTCCTCCTGTGGACGATAGACCACTTGTCTTCCCGGAGGATCAAGATCTGATATCTGACTATCTGTATCTAACTTTGGAACAAATGAGTCCTTGTGTTTTGATGGAAGCCGATCGTGTGGGTTGTTACAAGGGACGAAAGGTTGGTTTTCCCGGTTTGGCCTGCAAACACTGTGTTGGTCAAGCCGGATGTGGAAGGTACTTTCCGGCCTCCGAGGCCTCGCTTTCGCAAACTACCACGTCGCAAACGATTATGAATCATGTGCGTAACTGCCGTCGGTGTCCGATGGAAATCCGAGAAAATTTGGAGCTCATGAAGCGAGCCAGAATGGGTCCCGATGGAAAGCGTCTGGATAAACCCAAACACGGAGGACGCAAGGTATTTTTCCGCCGGCTCTGGTGCCGAATTCAAGGTCTTCCTCTCGACGAGCCCAGCGAGGGAAAGGGGAAAAAGAAGCGCTACAAAAAACCTGGAGTAAAGGCCAAGAAGAAGAATAAGAAGTCGGCCGACGACGACAACGGCGTTTATTCTGAAAGCGAGGATAACGAAGCGAAGGAAAGCGTGAAACCAGCACCAAAAAAATCATCTACTTCCTCCGGAGAGGAGACAGAGACCGAATCGTCGGAGGCTGAAAGCGACGATGAAGGCGGAAAGAGCTCGGCTCGAAGTAAATCCACGAGTAAGAGCAAGAAAAAGCAGAGCCCTTGGTTTGATGGATGCGTTCGGCTCACAAAGCACGATGACTCAAATTGGCTCTCCGAGTTGCAATGTTTTGCAAGAAGTGATCTAGTAGAAGTATTCTGCTGGCACAAGAAAGATGGCCTCGCTGGATATTCTGGGAGAAAGGAGCCTTCCGATGGCCAAGTTGGTATTCGCTGTGTCTTTTGCAAGACCTTGCCGGATTCTGAGAAGCCCTCCAGCTGTGTTGTTTTCCCAGAAAGCCTTGAAGCGATACAAACAAAAGTGGGAGAAATGCTTCGGTTGCATTTCAAATCATGTCCTGCGATTCCAGACGACAAAAAGGAGGCCATCAAAAGTCTCAAAAACTTTGGGCCAAAGGTCGATGAATCTGGTCAATATTGGATTGACTCTGCAAGGGATATTGGGCTTTCAGACATTCCTCCCAGCTCAGGTGGATGGGGCATCACTTTCCGTCGTGATCCCTTGCAACCAAGTCCTTGTGACGAGCTCGATCAGGAGGCTGAAACAGGTGACGCACCAAATCTTAGCAAATTATACCTCATCAGACCTGAGGATCGTGGGTCGTGCACAGATCAGGTGTTGCTTATGATGCGTCAAGTCAAAGTGTGCCAATTTCAACAAAGTGATCGTCGTGGAGGGCCCGGTAGCCGCGGACGAGATCGAGTGACTGACTATCCCGGACTTGCCTGCAAGCATTGCGCCAACAAGAATAACATTGGACGATATTTCCCTGTTTCGGCGAAGAATCTGACGGACAATACCGTGAACTCCATGCTATCTCATATTGCAACCTGCAAGCGTTGTCCAATACCTATCCGAGCCTCTATTGCGTATTTGAGTCACAGAGCTATTTATCAAAAGACCGAACTGAGTGGATCATGGAAAAAGGCATTCTTCAAAAAAATCTGGGATCGATTGCACGTCGAGCGTGCTTGGGTCAACGTGATCAAAGATGACCCCGAAGATGCAGCATCAGGTACTGGTGACGACAGTGAAGATCCAGAGGATGATGGGGATGAATCCGACGGTGAAGATAGCGGGGACAGCGATCGAAGGAGCGATAACGATGAAGAGGTTGGCGACAACATGAATGCTCTTATCAAGGCTGCAGCCATCTGGTTGACGGAGCAGGATCAAAGCAAAGAAGCCAGCGGTTCTGGGGGCAAAAGTGGTCGAGGACGTAGTCTTCCGAGTAAGCGTTCTACGAACACGGGTTCGCCTCAGGGTCGTGGAAAATCATCTGGTGGCGATGATGGCAGCTCAAGGGGAGGCAGCCTCACCTCTGGAAAGCGTCGAAGAGTTCACTTCTAAACGGGAATAGGAATATCAAGCCAAGGGATTTGAGTTTGTGTTCCGCTTGTGACAAACCAAAATCAATGCTAGGATGATTCACATCGGTGAATTTTTGGTACGTCCTTCCCGTCGCGGAAATAGATGGCATGCATCCCTACTATCACTACAGGTATTAGCACACGGAAAAGAATAAAACCACCTAAAAATGAAAATATGCTCAAAATAATAGAAATCTGTTGTTTTTTGGCAGCATGCAAAAATTTGATGAGAATAGTTCCGATCCGTCAGGTATTCTTAAGATGTTGTTTTTAGCCCAATGGCAAGTGGCGTCTGCATCATTCAAGATGACATGCGCAAGTCCATCTATCCCTAGTGCAGGAATTTAGACCAACATAAAAACATCGCTTTTGGAGCAAAAATCTGTCCTTCTCGTTTACGGATCAAGAATTCCTCGATAACTTTTTTCTTAGAGCCGAGACTCGCGTCGTGATCCTTTAGATCATCCTTTCGCAATCAAGAACTACGGCTGCATATGATTAGGTACGTGATTCAGCAATAGTTCTCTTATTATCTGTCCTGAAAAAATGGATTGAAAAGGCACCATCCATTGCGATGCGTTTCGGCTCGATCCTGAACGAATTTGTTGTTTTGAAAACATGCGATTCGATGCCTCATTATTCCAGTCCACCAAAAGCATCCACAACCTGCGGGCTGACCTTGATGTGGCGGAGGCTTGCCGGCTTTTCGAGCCAGAGTCCTTCCAGGCTCTTGACCCGGCTCAGCGCAACGTAGCACTGTCCGTACTCGAACGCCGAAGAGATGTCCAGCGAGGCTCTCGTCAGGGTGCTCCCCTGGCTCTTGTGGATCGTGATCGCCCAGGCCAGTTTCAGGGGAATCTGCTTGCGGACCAGGCAACCCGGCCCGCCGTCTGGATTGAACCGCTCCGACTCCACCGGGGGTACTTTCGTCACGAGCCCCGAGTCGAACCTGACGATCGGAACGGGGTTCCCCTCCGGGCCTTTCACGATGCGCTCTACGACGCCCCTCGATCCGTTGACGAGGTTTCGCTGCAGGTCCTTGTTCCGCGTCAGCATTACCTGTGCACCGATCTTCAGCCGCACCTCGTCCGGAATCTCCATTGCGATACTCTCTTTCATTTTCTTCTTGGTTGCGGCGGGTGTCCCCAGCGGCATGCTTTGTCTCCAGTTGTCGCTCGCTTTGCAAACAATCTCCCTGCCCTTCAGTTCGGCGAGGCGGTTGATGTTTTCCGAATCGACGTCCTTGTTGAGCACGTAGAGACGGGTCGGAAGAATTCCGTCCGTCGGTATCGGGTTGTTTGGGCCGATCAAGCACTGCCTGTTGAGTTCTCGAATGTCCTGTTCGGTCACCTTTCCGATCCTTACCTTGTTGAGCAGATCCACAAAATCCCCGTGCTCCTGCCTCTGGACCTCCCGGAGCTCGACCACGTTTTCCGACAGACCGAGGTCTTCCCATACAGGGGATTCGAAACAAAACGGGCGCCACGTCCAATCCTTGGTCCCGTCGTTCCGGTAGACGGGGGGCAGCTGAAAGAAATCTCCAAAAGCGATCACCTGCATGCCCCCGAAGGGCTCGTCCCGGAACACACCACCGTTCCGAATCCTCCTCGACACCATGTCCAGTGTTTCCAGCAGCTCGGAGGACATCATCGAGCACTCGTCGATGATGAGAACGTCCGTGTCGTCGATCCGGTCCATGGCGGAGCTGTTCTTTCGGACCTTTTGCAGAATGCTGGAAGGGGAACCCTTTCCGAGGCCGATTCCGAAAAAGGAATGGAGCGTGCTGCCCCCGACGATGACGGCCGCCACCCCGGTCGGGGCGCAGACCCCCACCCTGGCCTCGCCGGTTCCGTCCGACTCCCTCGACTGGAGCGCGTGCACGATGTACTTCAGGAGGTGGCTCTTTCCCGTCCCCGCCGAGCCCGTGACAAAGACGTTGCGAGGGGCCGAATCCTCCTCGTCGTGATCCTCGCCGGCGTTCCCAAAGATCCATTCCGCCGCCTTGCGCTGCTCTTCCGTGAGGCTTTCGAACTCGATTTGTTTCGGGGCGAGGGGGAGCTCCCCCTCTGCCTCGTCGTCTCCGCCGCCGCGGTCTCTTGCCTTGATGCCGGTGTATTTCGAAACCATGTCTAGAATGTCGTCCCCGTAGAGCTCCACCTTTTTGGGACCAATGCCCTTGACGTCGAGCAATTCGCTCTCTGTCGTTGGGAGTTCTCTGTATATCCCATCCAGTGCGGCGTTTGTGAACACGGTGTAGGCCGGTTTGTTGCCCTCCTTTTGCTGCAGTCGGTATTCCTTTAGGTCCTTTTTCAGCTGGGTTTTGCTGATTTTTGTTGTCGCGTTTGTTGTTTTTGGCTCCTCTTTTTCCACTGTTTCTGTTTCCGACTTTGGTGGGGAGTCGGCACCAAAGCTTTCTTCGCTAATTTCGTAGTCTTCTTCGCCGTACACATCGTCTTCGTCGTAGTCGGAGTCATATTCGTCGTTCTCTTTGTCATGGTCGTCTAGGTAGGAGAAGGGAGCAGGGGCAACATACGAGTCGTAAGAGAAGGGAGCCGGAGAAACGTAGTCGTCGACAGGAGCCGAATAGGGAGCGGGGGCTACAAAGGAGTCCACAGAGAACGAAGAAGAGGACACGGTATCCTCCTGCCAATTGTCGTGTTCTTCGGGAGTTTCCCATAGGTCGAGATCTGGATCCGGGGCATCGTCGTCGAGGGGAGCTAGATAGGGAGCGGTGTCGAGGGTCACCAAGACTTCGTCGTCGTCGTCGGAATCCTGCTCCGGGCCTTCCGGATCCGAAGCAAGATCCGGAACAGCAACGACCGGATCCGCGGCGCTCATCGGATGGTTGCCCGCTCCCGGTATCGGGTCCGCTTCGTTGGTGCCGGCGACCGCGGGGGAAGAAGCAGTGGGAGCCGGTTGGGGAGCGACGTGGTAGTAGGTAGCCCCCGCTTCCATAGAAAACAACGACACGTCGTCGATGCCGTAGGAATCCTTGGCCATGCCGTACTTGGTTGTTTGTACAGGGGCGATGCGATATTTGTTGCCGTTGTTGTCGTCGTTGCTTGCGCTGCTGTTGCTGTTGCTGCCCGCGGTACCGTTATAGGCCGAAAGGACGCCCAGAATCCCGTCGCCAAAGTCGCTGACTTTTTTCGGGCCCAGGCCCTTGATTCCCTCGAGGAGCTGGTCCGTGGTGGCCGGGAGGGGCTCCGACGCGCAAATCCGGTCCAGCACGGTGTTGGCAAGAATCTGTGTCGGGAACTTTCCCAGCAGCCTTGCTTGCGAGGCCCGGTATTCCTCCAGGGCCTCCCGGAGTGGCCCGTTTCCTCCTGGTTGCGGTGGCTGCGCAGATTCTCCAACAAACCCCGCCGTTCCGTTGTTCGGTGCCCCGCCGAAAGGATCCGGAACAGCGCCGTCAATGGCATCGCCATCCTTGTTGCTGCTGTTGTTGCTGCTGCTGTTGTTGTTGTTGTTGTTTTCGACTCCGGCTGTGGACGACAAGACGTCCAGGATTCCGTCGCCGTGGGCCCGCAGCGTCTTTGGCCCCAGGCCCCGGATTCCGAGCAGCTCGGCCCGGGTGGTCGGCGTGGGCGTCTCGGAACAAATCCCCCGGAGCACGGCGTTCGACAGGACCTGGGCCGGGGACTTGGACAGGGATCTGGCACGCTCGGACCGGTATTCCTCCAGGGCCGCCAGGAGGGCTTCTTCCCGCGTCTTCCGGACGGGCATCCCGGTCTCTCCGCCGCTGGCTGTTTCGGTGCTTCCGGTGCTAGTGCTGCTGCTCGAGGAACGCAGCAGAGAGCTTGTTGGCGGTCGTCCCCCGGTGGTCCGTCGGAACGGTCCGCATCCGCCTTCGTTTCCGTGCCTTGCCGAGGATGCCCCGGAACCCAGAGTGGGTGCCGTGGTCCGTCCCCTCGCACCCGGGAATTCCAGATGGCCGGCGGCCCGGGCCACAAACGAGAGGGATCTCCCGGAGGGGCGGCGCACCACCATGGCCATGGCCATGGCTTTCGTCGCGGAAGGCGTGGCAAACCACACGGAGACGGAGAAGGAATTCGGGTTGGCGACCACCAGCAACACCGCGGTGGCAGCCCGAACGGCGGCGGCGACGGACCAGCCCCTCCAGCAATAGATCTGGGTGGTTCCTCCGATAGAACCCCCGCGGCGGATCTTCATCGGTGATGCCTCTGCTGCTGCTTCTGTTTCTGTTTTTGCTTCTGCTGCGTCTCCTCGGTGCTGCTTCTGCTTTGGAGGAAGGCTCTTTCCATTGGCAGGCGGAGGGAGATGCGAAACCCGGACCCAATCAGGAATGCTGTTCTAGCACGCAAGATGCTGTTGTCGGTGGTTGTGTCGTCGTTTTGATACCCGATGGAGTACGAGCACAACGAGTACGCAATTCGGATCAGCAACTCGTCGTTGGTGATGCCAACAGTTTTTCTTTTGTTTTGGAAATTGGAACCGGCAAGTTGTTCGATCCTTGGATCCGCCATCGGGCGTCTGTCTTGCGCCAGGATAGGAGCTGCACACAGGCTCTCCTAGGTCTACCACGTAAAAGTTCCCGTACCGTACAATAAGTACGGTACGATGCGGTTGATTTGAGGGATCATTTTTTTCAAAAACCTCCCATCGCGGTCGGATGCACATTGGTGGATGTTAGTAACGGTATCGTATTGAAACGACTGCGTAGTACGAAGTCCTACTTGTAGTACTCGTACTCTGGGTACGAAGTATTTCTTGTCGGGTTGATTGATCACTTGATTTGACTAGTCCGACTTGTCCGACTTACCTTGATAGATTTCGAAGATCAACAGACCGTCTGCACAACAAACATGATTCGAAATTCGAATGGATGAAGCAAAAACCGGAATGGTCTCCCGTCCAAAATGCTTGTCACAATCGATGCACCGTAGCAAAGCAAAGCAAAGCACCTTGTCCACCTCTCGCCACGCGAACGCTCGTCGACCACGGCTGGCGAAACCGCAAAACTACGATACGGCATCGGACTCCTGCTTGCTTCCACTTTTGCTGCATCGATGATCGGGAGAAACCGTAACCTACGGGACGGACGAACGGACGAACCATGAAGGCGGCCCCGTGGCGAAGGGTCGTCGTACCGGCGCGGGCGGCGCCGGGGGCCGGCCGCTGCGGCCTGCGCCGCCACGCTTCGCGCACACCCTGGCACCGGCCGAGTGGGATCGATCCGGCGGTGGCCAAGCGGCCCGCAACGGTGGGGTCCGGCCGGTCGTTCTTCTCGTGGTTCCGCGGAGAGAACGTGTTGTTGGCCTCCGGCGAGACCAAGCGGCAGCGGGGTCGCGAGACGGTCGAATCCCCCGGCCCGAGCGAGTGGGAAGATTTCTACCGGAGGCCCGTCACCCGGGAGCTCTGGGAGGAATTCAGGGACGAGCGCAAAACCACACGCAGCTATCTCTCCTCGGCCACCGGCAGCAAAAGCAGCAGCGACAGCAACAGCAACAGCAGCACAGACTATCGAGTGCTGGCGGAGGAACTCCAGGCCGGCATCAACGCGGCGTGGAACGATGAAGATCGCTCGCCGCCAGCGGAATACGGCCCGGGCGGGCGGTGGACGTATCGGTTCGAATGGATCGAGACAGAGAGCGACCCCGATGCCCACCAGACGCCACGTCTTCGGCGGGTCTACCAGCGGTATCCGGCCCCGAAACAAAACGACTCTTCTTCTTCTCCCTCGTCCTCGCCGCCGTTTGCTCGGCCGCGGCAGCCCGAGCCGCAGGTAGTCCTCGAGCTTGCCGACCCAACCGACGAAATTCTTTCCATGTCCCTCACACCCGACGAAACCTGCGTCGCGTGCCTCGTTGCCGGCGGCGAACGAGCCTCCGGTGACCTCGTGGTCCGGGGCATCGATTCCGGAACCGAGGTCGTGGTGCCCTGCGACGAGTGGCTCCAACGCGTGGCGACCCGCACAAAGGGCAAAGAAGAGGCAGATCCCGCCGGCCCCGCCCCGGCCGAAATCGTCGGCCTCGAGTGGGGACCGAACCTCCGGAGCGGGGAGGGATCCTTCTGCCACTCCCTCTATCTCGTCCTGGCCGACGCCACGGGACGCCCGGACGCCGTGGTGCTCTGTAGGATCGATCCGTCGACCCTGGAACCTTCTTCCGGCGAGGCGGAGCCCATCGTCCCCGTCTATCGGTCGGACGATCCCTCGGTCATGGTAGATGCCCAGCGGACGAAGGGGTGCTCCTTCGTGGCCATCAAGGCGGCGTCCAAGAACAGCAGCGAGGTGCTCCTGTCGCCGCCCCCGGTGGCAGCGCTGGCAGCGGGAACAGGAAGCGAAAACCCACCGGAAATCGAAGACGAACACGAACACGAACACGTACMGTGGGCGATTCCGGTGCGGCCGAGGCAAGACGGGGTCGTGTACCACATGGACGCGGGAACCGACGGAGACGTGGTCCTCCTGACGAGCGACGAGCGGGGAAAAGGCGGGGGGAACTATGTGCTGTCGGAAACCACCCTGGAATCGCTGCCGCTGGCCGCCGACACCACCCGGCCTTCCCCCGGAAACGGGGGTGGGAATGCTGCATCAGCGGCGGCGGCGTCATCCGGCGGCGGTGGCTTTTTCGTGGAAGACATGGACCTCTTCCGAACCCACATCGTCTTGTACGAGCGGTCCCTTGCCGATGGGGATCAGCGCATACGGGTGCTCCGGCGAACCAACCACCTCCGCGGGACCGTTGGTGACCGCCTTTCCGATGGCACCGAGGTACCCAACCCTTGCGAAACCGTCCTGGATTTGTCCTTTGCGTCCAAGCAACAGAGGAAAAACAATAGTGACAGCGGAGGCAAGCCCACCGAAGAATCTCCATCGCTCGAGGCACCACTCTGTTGGAGCAAGCTCTCACCGGTTGGCAACATGTGTTTCGATGCGAGATTCTTTCGGTTTGAGCTGGAATCGCCCGTGGATCCTGGCGTTGTGTACGAATACGATTTCGACACCCAAGAAATCACAAGGGTTTCTGGTCAAGAATCGGTCCGCGATGCTTCCGACCAAACCAAGGAAAACAGCCAGGCTCTGTCCGATACGCGGGTGGTTTCCTTCCGCAAGGAAAAGGTTATGGTGGAAAGCCTCGATGGCACGAAGGTTCCGCTCAGTCTGTTTTTCAAAGAAGGAGGGAACGGGCAACAAGAAGGCAGCGGTGCCGAACACGCCGGAACGGAGCCACAGACCGTCGTCTTGGTGGGCTACGGCGCCTACGGCGAACCGATGGACCTCGGGTACCACCCCGGTTGGAAGCCCCTCCTGGACCGGGGGGCCGTCCTCGCCTTTGCCCACACCCGCGGGGGGGGCGACCTGGGCCGGGCCTGGTACACGGGGGGCCGGAGGGATCGGAAGGAAAAGAGCATCGAGGACTACGAGGCCTGTGCCGTCTACCTCCGGACCCGGTTCGGCCCATGCTGCTCGCTGGTGGCCAAGGCGGTTTCCGCGGGGGGCGTTCTGGTGGGTGCCGCGGTGAACCGGACCCCCGGCCTCTTCGACAGGGTGGTCCTGACGAACGCCTTTCTCGACGTACTCCGAACGATGGAGCGGGCCGACCTCTTTCTGACCGAGCACGAGCACGACGAGTTCGGAAACCCGGCTCGCGATTCCTCGGCCGCGGCGGGGATCCGGTCCTACTGCCCGGTGTCCAACCTCGATGGGAGGGCGCAGATGGAGGACACGGAAACCCGCTTTCTGCTGATCGGGAGCCTGGACGATCGAAACGTTCCCTACTGGAACGCTACCCTGTACTTTCGAAAGCTAATGCTCGGGGGCTCCGTGGATTGCGGGGACCGCGCCTTCCTCGAGCTCCAGCTGCGGGGGGGGCACAACTTTTCCAGCGAGAACCGGACCGAGGTCCTGGCCCTCGAAACCGCCTTTATTCTAAAGGATGATGGGCCTGCTAGTGTCTTGCCTCCGTCCGGCTAGCTGGATCGCGTTCCCCGTCTCGAGCAAACCAAAGGAACAAAGAGGCAACTCGAGTGTCAGTAAGCAATGGTATACAAGTGCTGTCGAGCTAGTAGAAAAGTACCGTTGATAGAACCGATCACAACCACGACTCCAATCTTGCACAGATGAGAAGACATATTTGAAACACCTTGGTATTAGTTATCAATCTCGCCTATCTTGATAATGGGGCGTCATAGTGGACGGCGTCGGCGTTGTCAAGTTGGTTTGGTTTGCTGTATATTTCCAGCCAACATGCGGATAGGATACTAATTGTAGTGTAATCCCTCAGGTATTAATAGGACAGGAATTGGTCTTGATGTTGGTCCTGCTTCTCTTGTCGTTTGACTTTGTTCTTTTCATTTGTTTATGTAGTAAACAATTTATAATGTTGTAAAACTGGTCTGTTTCTACCTTCCTAATTTAGCACTCATCTCGATTACATTCATTCCAGGAACGTTATTGCGAGTAAGATGGAGAGAGAAAATAGTTCGAAAATCGCAAGGAGGAAAAACAAACATACAGCAAAAGCGACACCGGCAGGACTCGAACCTACGCGGGATAAACCCAATCGATTTCTAGTCGATCGCCTTAACCGCTCGGCCACGGTGTCATACCAATGACGGTGACATTTACCTTATTAATTCCTGATCAAAGTCCTTCCTTCAACCGTAATTGGTCTCGGCTACCATTATTATTTATGCACCTCATCTTTGGACATCAAAAATGAAAGAGAGAATTTTTGCTCGTCTAGAAAAAACTTCTTTGACAACAAAACGGATGAAAAATCCAAACTAACAATTGACAACAAACCTCTTCGTTAATTTCCAAGGGTAGCGCATTTCGGTGAAGCAAAAGGAGGATGCACTCGGCAACAGCAACCAACGTATAAGTTATCGATCTCGCCACCAATCTGCCGCAAACCATTCCCCTGAATCCAACCCAAAAGAATACTACGCGAGATCCGCGCAGTAGCTAGTGACAAAACAGATACCAACGCGATACAGTACAACACAACAACAAAGCGCATTGCGACAGGCTGCTGCTTTTGGTTCCTTCACCATGGCGATACCAGAGAAAGTCAAGTCCGAAGCGAAGGGGCCCAACGTCTTGGACATTTCCAGTGACAGCGATCAAGAAATGGCCGTAGCGGATGCGATTCCCAGCAGCAACGTTGCCAACCAGAGCAGCGCGATCGATTCCGACAGCAACGACGAGGTGGTCCGAGAGATCCCCGTCTTTTTGTCCCCGGACCTCGCGCACCAGATGCAGCTGATCCAGTACCCCCTCCAGCAGCGTGCCCACCCCGCGGCACCGGAAGCCGTCCGAGTGAAACCCCGGCACTGCATGATGGAACAGGACCACAAGACCCCCGACAACATCGGATTCAACGGCCTGTACCACATGCCCTCCCGGACCTTTTCGAGCCACACGATCCCCGTGACGACGAACATGGCCCTGGGCAAGCTGGTGGGATCCGATTCTGGCGACGGTGCGAGCCTGCACCTTGTGCCCCTGTCCCGAATAACACAGATGCGACCGAGCTTTTCCCACATCGACGAAGCAATGGCGGCCTCGACCGCCACCACCGAGGAGGAACTCAGGCGCCAAGAGCAAAAGACCGCCGACCCCCTGACGGGCCGCAAGTCCATCGGATTCCAGAAGAAGGAGTCCGAGAGGCAGGAAATGGCCCGCAAGTCGAGCTACGGGTACAAGAAGGCGAGCGAGGACGCCGAGGGCTGGCATTCCCTGGAGGTTTACGACGAGGCGTCGCTGCAGGCCAACCTCATCCTCTCCAGGGTGGCTTGCCCGATCGAGCACCGGGAGACGTACCTCCTCGACGTGGAGCGCCTCAAGGTGGAGAGCAAGTGCACCAACATACAGGGCACCTCGCCGAACGCGAAATACCTCAACACGCTGAACTACCTCCCCCCGCGAAAGGACTTTGGCGGAAGCGGAAGCAGCCCCCCCGCCACAAAGACGCCGGGCGGCGACACCGAAACTTCCGGCACCGACGAGCTCACGCTCCCCCAGATCGTTGCCAAGCTGGTCCCCCTGATGCGGCAGGGCCAGCCGGTGCCCTTTTCCCTGCTGCGGGCGGAGTTTCCCCCGGAAACCGCCACGGACGACCAGCTGTTCGTGGCCCTGGGGAGCTGCGCCGTTTTGGTGCGGGGGAACTGGTGCCTGGGCAGCAAGTTCCTCGGCTACTCCCCGCCCATGACCCGGACGCGGACCTTTCTGATGTGCCTCTTCCAGACCATGGGGGTCGTCCACAAGGAGCGGCTGCTGGGGGTCTTTGCGGAAGACGATGGCGACGCGAGCGAGGGAGGGGTCACGCCCGAGGTGGTCGACTTTTTGCTGGAACAACTGGGCGAAAAATCTCCGGCCGGCTGGGTCCTCAAGGTCGCCGACGACGCAAAGTTTCAGAAGCTACACCCCCAAACGACCATGGTCCACCTCCAGCACTGGGCAAAGCAGATCGAGTTGTTCCGCCCCATGTTCGAGACGTACCGGGCCGATTTTGGGTACGATGGAATCGACGATGGCGGCATGGACGAGTCCTAGGCTCGAATCGAAGCGGGACCAAAGGAACGGGATCGAACCATTGCCGCGTTCGTGTTGGACGCTAGGTTTTCCAATAAAAATCACACCAACATCCTAGAAGGGGTTCGTTTGCAGCGGTTTCGAAGCAACAAATCATACCTAGGTGGGCATGCAATATTCCGAGACAACTGGACAAAGTAGCTGCGGCCAAAACGAGCATCGTTCCATCCTGCTCTATCATACCGTACCGTACTACACCTGGACCGGAGCCGTACGGAATGTGTACAACCATGGACGTCAGAATGAAAAGTGATTGATCGCGAAGTAGGACAAACGCACAACATATGTTGATCACAGGACAATGCTGCAAATTGCAATCAAAATAATGACAATATTAATACGAAGGTGTTACAACGGAGAATGGTACTATTTTACCGCGGCTAGGTTTCTGGATTCAATCCCCTTTGTTGTGGCAGCATAGACTGTACGGATATAATGGATAGGATGCTGCTGTGCAGTGAAGAAATAAATGGATGGATGGAGGAATTCGGCACGATTTGCTTGTCCGGTGGGGCATCGAGACTGCCCCGCCTCGTCGTTATCTGTGCGTGTGCGTGTGCGTGTTCGTGTGCGTATTCGTATTCGTATTCTTATTCGTTTCGGCAGTTGCAAACACCGTCATCGGCCTGCGTGCTGCAACCCGCGGTGCGGCAAGAACCCGCACGAGCATCCCGCTGCTTTGGCGGCTTATTTCTTCTTTCTGGCGATCTTGTTCCTCTTGTTGTTCTTCTTGGCGGAAGCGGCGGCCCCGCCCTCCCTGTTGCGAAAGTAGATGCTGTACTGGAGGGCCGTGGCGACGGCGACCCACCCGCAGGTGGGGACCATGTACCACCCGGCCCAGACGTCGATCCCGTAGAAGAGGTAGGCGCTGGCCAGCAGGGCGGCAAAGAACAGGGTGATGACGACCGTTCCGGATCCGATGCACTCGAGGCCGAAAAAGACCTTGTTCCAGGTCTGGTGCGGGAGCGGGAGCCGAAGACAGCATAGGGTGGGTCCGGCATACACCACGGCGCGTGGGAGAAACGAGAGGGAAAAAAGTGCGGTGCAGAAAAAAAAACCAAAAGTGAGTGCACCACCCACCACGGCATAATGCTCGCAACATTGTCCATTCGCGCAATGCAATGCAATGCAAATCCACCAAGGCAAGACAGCAACACAGCACACMAAGGCAAGACCGCAAAAACACTACGCGGTCTGTCTGTCTCTCTCTCTCTCTGTTTGTTCGCGCTCTATGGCATGGTACGTACGTCCCCGAGCGCCAGCATGGAAGCATAGACGGCGAGGGGCACCAGGGGCAGGGCCTCCACGGCCCCCGTCTCGGCGTTCCGGGAAAGGCCGTGCTTGAAGATCCGCGAGGTCGCGCACAGCTGCGTCGGCTTGCTGACGACGAGCCACATGATGGGAAAGGCCCACCCGGGGGGGTTCCACCAGGGCTTGTCGAGGCCCGAGTACCAGCCGGCCTCCCCCGTGACCTCGGTCGGTTTGAGGGCCTGCATGGAGGCCGCCGAGAGGCCCCCGTCGAGGACCGCCCCGACGATGCTGGACCCAAAGACCACCAGCATGGAGGCCAGGAGCGTCACCAGGGGCTCGCCCAGGACCTTGGCGGGCAGGGCGTTCTCGTACTTGAGGCCCGCCAGGAGGATCCCCAGGAGGCCGGCCGCCTCGGCAGCGGCCTGGATCTCGAGCTTGAGAAAGAGGGCCGGGGTCGAGTCGCTGCAGGCGCCGCCGCGGGGGATCGCGGCAGAAACAGAAGAAACAGAATCGGCCGAAACAGAAACAGAAACAGAAACCGAATCGGCAAGGCCACTCTTCCCGGCCGCGTCGCGGAGGCGGTGGCCCTCCCCCCCTCGGACGAGGAAGGGGGCCCTGCCGGTGGCCCGGAACGGCGAGGCGCCGGCGGCTTGCGGGACGGCGGTCGCCGCCGCGAGGCAGAGGAGGGCCGGGATCGAAAGGAGCTTCATGTTTGTGCTGCGAGAAGGGTGGTGTAGTGTAGTGGAGGTGGTGTAGAACAGTGGAGGTGGTGCGGATCGGAGGGAGGGGAAGGCGAAATCGAAATCGAAATCGAAATGCCGTGTCGTTTGCTCTTTTTCGCTTGGGGGGGGTTTGTTCGTTAGGAACGGATGCCTTGCCTCGGGTGACCCACCCAAACAGCGGGGAACCTTCCGTAGGGTCTCGCGTGACACTTTTCCCACTCCCCACGAAAGATACCCTCCCCTACCGATACAACGTGATTCTACGGAATGTCGTGCTTGAACGACGATGACGAGGATCGGATCGATGTTCCGACGCCGGTCCCGTGCCTGGTACTCGTACTAGTATTTGTACGTGTCACTTACAGTACAAACTCGACTCGACTCGACTCGACTCGATTTTGTAGGCTTCCCAACGGTATGATTTGTGCCAACCATCGAGTACTGTACGGTCCGTACAGATACGTACGTACTCGGAGCACTCGTACCGGTACGTACCGGTATGTACGTCCTGGTACGAACTCCAAAATTTGACACGTTGTGAAAAAAAAGTGTCCGGAAAACTGATGCCGTCAACTAACACCTAGTCTAGTCTTTTTGAACCATGCGCGCGATGAGAAATCGCGCGGAAACAGATGGGGGGGGTCGGGGGCGCGGAATCATCGAAAAATTTGGGGGAATCAATCAAAGGACGAACAACGCTAGCCCGGATCGGCAACGAGAAACTGCTCCAATACAAGGACCGACCCCCAACAACGATCCCGGATCTGTTCCTCGGCCGAACAGATTCCGAGAAAGATAAGAAAAAACAGAAACCGAAACCAAAGACGCAACGCAACGAGACACGACACGACGCGACAAGACCTAGCTCGCACGCGATAGCATCGAAACGAACAACCTCGCTCCCCGCGCCTCCTTCCAACCGCACGCACACCACCGGCATGGCGGCGACTCCCGGCTCCCCGGCCCCGAAGCGCCGCAAGACGCAACAACAACAACAACAACAACAGCAACAACCGCTGCAAGCCGACGCGGCGGACGACCCCCCGCTGTGGGGCCCGCACTACCACCCCCGCTCCTTTGTGACGTGGAACTGCAACGGCTTTGGGACCCGCGCGAGGCACGACGCCGACCGGCTAGGGGCCCTCGTCGCGGAAACAGGCAGCAACGGAAGCAGCAGCCATGGCCCCGACGTTTTCTGCCTCCAGGAGGCCCGCCTGAGGGCCTCGGGGCCCGGGCACCGGAAGGGGACGCCCCTGCCGGAAGGGGACAACGGGGGCTTTGTCGGGAAGGCCCTCGCGCGGGCCTTTGGGGACTACGAGGCGGTGTGGTCCCTGGCCGACACCAAGTACGCTGGGACGCTCACGCTGATCAAGAGGGACTGCCTGGAACGGGCCAAGAGCGGAAGCAAAAGCAGTGGCGGCGACTTTTGCGCCTTTACGGCGGACTCGGCGATCGATCTGTTGCTCCGCCGCCTGGGGACCACCCGGGAGGAGTGTGGCCTGCTTGAGCCGGCCCGCGAAGCCAGGGCCGTGGCCCCCGCGTCCCCCTCCAAGAAACCGAAAGCGAAACCGAAACCGAAGCACACGCAGACCTCGCTGGCGTCCTTCTTTGCCCCCAAGGCCGCGAAGGGGAAGGCCGGGGGGGCTTCCGGTCCCGCACCCGGGCAGAGAATCCTCCCCCACCACCCCGAGGGGCGCTTCCAGTTCTTTTTCTTTCCCGGGATGGACCTCCTGCAGACCTACGTGCCCAACAACGGCACCAGGGACGAGTCCTTTCAACGGCGGGCCGTTTGGGACGGGGAGATGAAGCGGTTCTTTCGAGACCGCAAGAAAATCCTCGGGGKGGTGGCCTCCCGCAACAACAACAGCAACAGCAAAAACAACCACCACCAAAACCACGTGGATGCCTCGGTGGATCGAAAACTCTTGTGGTGCGGTACGTCCCGATCGCCCGTGGTGCAGAGGTGCAGCAAAACAGCATCCTGCGGTACATCGGCCGCACTGGATCCATCGCTGCGGCGTGCCTTCTGCGAACAATCACTCACAGCTTGTCCTGTTCGTTTCGCGTGTTTGAAAACGATGGCTCACTAAGGCGACATGAACGTGACTGTGGACTATCGCGACGGTTCTCACTGGGAAAAACGAACCAAGACCAACGCGAGCCGGAACGGGAACGACCCCACCAATGCCGGGGACAAGGAGCAGGATGGCGATGGCGGTAGCGAAACCATCTACGAGTGGTTCCGAGACACCAAGGTGTGCTACAGCAGGTTTAGCGATAACTTCAAGAATCCCCCCCGGCTGGAAGAAAACAGGGGCATGCCGGGATTCACCACCGCCGAGCGCCGCCGGTTTGCCGAGCTGCTCGAAGAGGGAGACTTCTGCGACGTCTGGAGGGAGCAGCACCCGAACGGGGAGGGAGGGATTCTTGGCCGCGGGACCCACGGAAACGAGAGCAAGGGCGGCCCTCCCGCCTCCCCCTGGGACCTCCCGAACTACACCTGGAGGGGGGCCCTCTCCAGGGACCCGGCCGGGGTGGCCCGGTACCAGGGCAGGGGGATGCGCCTCGACTACTTTTTGTTGTCGCCCTCGCGGCTCGGTGCCCGGGCTTTCCGGGGGGGAGGAGCCAGCTGCTCCATCCGGGGGCACGGAAGCCTCCGGGAGGGCCTCTTTTGCGGGTCGGACCACTGCGCCGTGGAGCTCCTCCTGGGAAGGGGCCGCACAAGCGGAGGACCCCGAGACGAACCACCCCACGCCAGAGGCGGAACCGACGACGATCGCCCCGAGCTCGACGGAGCCCTGCTGGTTTGACGCTGTTACCTCGGCGCCACAACGCATTCGCATCCGACCTAGTTACGTAGTACTACGGTACTGAGGTACATCAAAGTAAGAGTTCTAAACGAAATAACTAGATAGGGCGGAACAGTAACCCTTAGCTGGCTACAATAATTTAGGATAATGCAATACGTTTTTGAAATCTTAGTGCCGTGATAGGAGACGGCATGGAATAAAACCCAAAAAGGCACACAAAAGAGGAGAGGAAATGGGCAGCAGAAGCGGCGTGGGCAAAACGAGCAACCAACCAACCAACAAGCCGCTTAGCGGAATCGCTTGAGCTTCTTCTGGTTGCGTCGGAGCCAGGCGGCCTTCCAGGATCCTCCCTTTCGGCCGTTGGCCCGGTGTCCGGACTTGCGGATTCCGCGTCCCTTGCGTCCGGCGCTGGTGAGTCCGCGCATCTCGCGGTGCTTGTGGACGGGGTTGACGATCCAGTTGATGCGGGGATCGTTGCGGATCTTCTGGTGGGAAGGATCGATGAGGATGACCTCGTAGTATTTCATGGTGGCGTCCTGGTTGACCCAGTACGAGTTGAGGACGCGGAGGTTGGAGTACCGGCGTCCGGCCTTTTCCTCGGCGACGGACTGGAGGTTGCGCTCGAACTTGAGGTGGTTGATACCCTGGTGCTTGGGCTTACCGAATACCATACCACGGTGGTTCTGTCGCTTGCGTCCCCCACGTCGGACTCCGGCGCGGACAATCACGTATCCCTGCTTGGCCTTGTACCCGAGGCGGTGGGCCTTGTCGGTACGGGTGGGGTTGTTGCAGGTGTAGATGTTGGGGCGCTGGCGGTATTCCCAGGCGCGGACACGCATCAAGAATCTGAGGGCATCAGATTGCTTGTGACGCCAGAGCTCTTCCATGTATTTGTAGGCACCCATCTTGACGGTTGTGTGTTATTTCTGGAGCGGAAACGAACGACGAGACGGAAACGTGAGGAACGGGACGGTGCAAGGGCCACTACGGAATCATAGATAACGCCGACCGCACAACACAAAACAAACAACACCGGTCGAAGCCGATGGTCTTGTTGCTGTTGTTATTCTTCTCTTTGTTCAAAGACGGGCGACGTCATGGTCTTTCCGACATGGTGCTTCTTACCTCGCAGTGAAATAATGATGAAAGGCCTTCGTAAGGAGAGTTGGTTGGTGGCAGAAAACAACGGTTAATGGATTTCTCTTTTAGTACGGGTTTCTACGGTAGGGAGCAGTCACGCAATAACGTGATTCAGATTTAGTAACTGATGTAAAAGGTATGTTCTACCATATGGTACGCATTTCTACGAAAAAAAAGCAGTAAGCGTTGTTTTCGTCCTGGTTTCCAACAAAACTCAATACCCGTTACTACACTCCAGCAGTTCGGGTACAATTCGTTTTTATCCTTTGAGGTACGACCATGGCAGCCGTGAAGCAGAAGAGAATTGAGGCACTATTTCCATTCCGATTCGATTTTCAAAGTCCAAGTCCTTTGTCCCAGCTTGCATCGTAGCCTTACGCTCGTTCTTTTGTCCTTTCAGGTTTAATTGTCGCTTACATACACAAATAAATATTCAAAATGGTTGCCGTATCGGATCAATTGGTTTGGGAAGTTATCAAGAGCAATAACAGCTTCTTGAAGAAGAGAAATGGAAAGACTTCTCGATCGGGAAAGATTGAATTCAGTTCCGAAAAGGGAAATGTCAAATCCTTGAACCGATTCAAGTACTCCGGACTTGCCAACACTAAGGTCTGCGACGTTGTGTGCACGGACGACAACAAGGCCGAACTTATTGTCAAGACCGCCAGCAAGTGCGCCACACAGCCCGCCAAGGGCAAGGCCTCCATCGCACTCAACAAGTCCGACTTCCGAAAAGTTGAATCCACAATCAAGAAGTCCACAAGCGATGTTTTCTACCGCCGGGATTTGGAAGCCGCCATGCTCGGAAAGTGGACAAAGGTATACCAAGCAAACAAGCGCGCCAACGGAGTTAAGAAGGGAGTCCCACCCAAGATGGGACGAGGAACTCTTTAAGTTTGTGCTAGTACAGAGTCCTAAACAACAACAATAACCTCATACAAAAATTGTAGTCCATTTATTTGACAACCCCCAAACGAAGACATGAAAACTTGAATCTACGGTGTTGCGATCGGTCGAGCCTTGCGTATGTTGTGTAAAATTCTGCTAACAATTGAGAACGCGATACGGTCAAAATCGTTCATGACAACAGCATTTCAATTATGTTGGTGTTTCGAAAGCGTGCCTGCCCAAACACATTAGTTGTATGCATTTAGGTTCTTCTGGATTGCCACCGGCCTATACGAAGAAAACTACATAGTAAACAGAACTGAACAGCTTGAACTATAGACTCTGGTCAAATCGTTGGAGCCTCTCTGTTGAATACAACGGCAAGGAAGTTTGAATACTCGCTAGATACCCAAAGAACAACTGGAGCATGATGATTTCCAGCAGGGTTTGGTCAAACACCACCACATGGTCCACGCGACACATGATTCATACTAGTAGCTGCACTCTTGTTCTTGATGGCATGGTGTGTAGCACTAGTAGTGGCTGGCTGCAGAGCATTTGCAGAGCAATCAAACTCTTTGTTTTGCCCTGGTGGTGTAAAATAAAAATCCCAGCAGTTATTCATTATGTGCTTCATTAAATTCTTCATTAAGGACGATTCTGGAGAACACAAAAAGAATGAGAGGTAGTAGTAGTTGTACAGTGCTACTACTAGTACTACTACTAGTAGTAGTAGTATCTTCTTGCTTTCATTGAATAGTACTAGTAGGTAATGAAAGCCATGTACAAAGGGACCAGCTAAAGAACAATGGTGGAGTGAAATGTGATTATCACCAGTCACATTGCACAAGAATATATGGGATTTTACCTTCCTCTCTCCTCTTGTTCTGGATGCAGAGGAGAGTGACAAGATACTATCTGGTGGTGTATCCTCACAAGGTACTATCATGTGGCATATTATATGATATGACTCTTTTTTAAAAGATTCCCACCATCTTAAAATTATCATTATTGTTACTCCTTTTTGTTTGTCTTCTTTTTGTTTCTTTCTGGTGGTGTGTGCTGCTGGGAACCAGTCTCTTTAGCTAACAAAGGTCCTCCATAAAGCAATTGTTGCTCCTGTTGTGTCCCTGACAAGGAAACTTGCTAGTAATACAATAGCACCTGAATTCTGGTTGTATGAAAAGGTCAAAGGTGATATTGTGCTGCTGTTTTTTCAGCTCTTTGTTTGCAATGTTTGCAAGGGATTAGTACCACCACTACTAGTACTAGTATCATTTTACTTCATAAAACATTGTTTCTTTGGTCCTCCCATTTTCCCAACTATTGCATCAGAGCCAATTGCACCAACAAAACAAAACTAGTAACATGGTGGGACTAAAGCAAGAAAGTACCACATATTTTGATCAAGAATAGGCAGTGACCATCCTCTATGATGACAAGAATTTTCCTACCAAAAATTATCGGCATAATGGCCTACTAGTATTTGATCATCCTGCTGCTGGTGGCCCTGCCTATTGAAGGGACCATATCATCTACTAGTACTCTGACATTTTTGTACCATTGAAAAATCCTCTTTGTTATTCAGCATGATTACTTAGGTCAAACTAAATAATCCTCCCCAGTTATCATATTTGAAGTTAAACTAAACAATCTGCAAATGCACCAGTGACAAGAATATGCCCTCTGCTGACATCATCAGCCAGCTCAATCATTACTGGAATTGGGATGATACAGTAGTAGAACATTGAGCTTGTCACAAATCAAACTCTTAAGAAGTTACAAACTGGTGGTGGGCACCAATTTGCAGGTTGTATTAGTATTAGTGGTACTAATAGTAGTAGAAAAGAGCAATACTCAAGGATCATTTTTGAAATTTTCAATATTACTAGAAATTGAGGCACTAGATATTATTAATTATGACTTCTTCAGGTTCCTTGTCACAAACAAACAGCATATTTGTCTGTCTACAAAATGAGCATGAGTTTGATTTTTTGGCACATGAAATCACCACAGTCTAGTGTTAACAAGGCAGCAAGAAAAGATTGGCACTGGTGTGGTGTCCAATGCACCTCTTTTGAACAATACTACTACTAATGACAATACAACAACAAGAAAGCTATATACTAGTAAGAAGGAGTATACTACTACTAGCCTCATAAATCATCTACTTCAGGCTATTGGGTTCAAGTAGCAGCATATCACTGGCAAAACGAAATCTATAGTATTTTTATTATTCTATTTGAAAGTTTATTCCAGTCTTACTACTAACAGCACAACAAATCTTATGGGCGGGAATAGCTCATCAAAATAGTACTATTGGATGAGATCAGTAGTAAGACAAAAAGGAACTACTCAAATTGCCCTTACATTGAGCTTATTTCAGTAGTAAAGGTGCAAATTGTACACATATTGGACTGGAGGAAGTAGTAGCAAGTTGCTGCTGGATATGTCACTGCTGGAAACCATCTTCTATTTTGGGGGTTCTTCTACTAGCTGTATCAAGGATCATGCTACTACTAGTAGCAGGGGTATTGTCATCATCTAAATCATCCTTGTTGCAATATATTATGGATATGGTTCTTTGTTCATAGTACTTGTACTAGTACTAGTAGTAATGGTATTTTAACTACTGGCTAGTACTTAGTAGTACCAAGAGCACTGGTTACTGCTGCTGCTAGTAGTAGTAGCTTGTTAGAAAACACCACTTGACTTCTGATCAGTTCCACCAGCAGCACCAATTCTGATTACTAGATTAGTAATTCCAGATGCCATTCATCAATACTTTTTCCTCTCTTGTTCTTCCAAAAGATATTTCCTGATGATTTTTCCTGTTCACAAGGAATTACTAGTAGTGTCCTCATTAAACTCTCATCAATAACAATTTTATTTAATTGCAATGAAATATGACTGATTGTGTTGTACCACAACTACCAACCACAAGAATGACACCAAATTCTGAAAAAGAATGACCATCATACTATGGTGAGAAAGTTCCCCCCCATACTCAAGAGGATGATACTACTAGTAAGCTCATAGAAATGCTACTATTTCTTGGCTTTCCATTTCTGCAAGATTGGCCATTAATGGCTACTAGTAGTACTAGTATTGGAACCCGTTCAATCAGTAAAATAAAATGTACAAGAGTTGCTATGATGTATTGGGGCTGTTCCAATCTTAGTACTACTAATTTCATGACACTAATAGTAGTAGAGATTATAGCTCATAAAAATACTACTGGGTTGGACCAGAATGATGGCACAAGAAGAACCATTCAAATTGCCCATATATTGAGCTTACTTCATTTACAGAACAAAGGCCACCAGTCATTTAGCTCTAGTAGTATTTATCAACCAACTACTACTACTACTACTAGTATGTATATCCAATTTAATGCACAGATGCAACATAGGAAATTTCTTTACTCCTAACAAATAAAGTTCTTTTTGCTTAGACCTCTGGCTGCCTATTCATCACACCAAAAACAAGTACCATCTGTTTCACCCAACTCAGTTTGTGCCAAATTGAACTCTTTCTCAAACTACTCCCAGTCAGTTTTCAGAGGCACAGAATACCCTTACAATAGACAAAGAATACCTTTTCAGGATAATCAGGTTCATAGAGTGAGCACTTTGTTGAACAGAGTCTGAAAGTGTTGCATCCATCAACCATGCCTAAATCCAGCAAGTACAAACACCAGCACAGCAGTTCTTGCCTCACATTTCTAAGGAACCCTTTCCAGCCTGACAAGCTGAAGACTGTTACCATATCAGTGACCCATCCTGAGACTGGAGAAGGGGCAACCAGAGTGGCCTCAAAGAAACTCACCAGAAGCTGCCTGGTCTTCTCTGGGGATTTGGACTACAGGAGTTATTCTATGTACAGGAAAACTTTGAAGATGCAATCTTGGATCTGGAATTGAAGGGAACATCATTGATTGATCAGAAGTAGCAAATGGTTCTCTCTCTCTCTCTCTCTCACACACACACACACACATAGAGAGAGAGAGAGAGACTCAAGTGGAACAACCTTTGGAGAGGCAATGACACTCTGAAGATAGATAGAAGACACAAAGCAGACTGGGTGGTGTGTAACTAGAGAGAATGCTATTAGAAGGAGTTGAAGTGATATGTGTGAGAAGATAGATTTTGGCTAACCTTGCAAGAATTTCTTTCCCTTGAATATTCCTGACAAAGGAAAAGCTCTCAGAAGAGTTACATTCATGTTCATGTTTACATCTGTGACTAATATTGACTGTTACAATGTTGATGAATTTGTGAGGGTCATTGTTCTCTTCCAGTTTTTGGTGCACCACCTTCTTTGTCCAGCATCAGCTCAAACATGTTAATGTCAGTATTACCAAAGCTGGTATCTCCTTGTTCTTCTAACTCTTCAACTTTGTCACATTGTTTTTGCAGAATGTTCTTATTAGTACTAGCAGTTGCTTCAAAAGCAACCACCTTAGATTAAAGTCTATTGGACTAAGATTGGACTAAGATTCTTCTCTTATGGTTGCTCCTCCACAAAGGGCTGCTGCTCAGAGGAGCACAAGCTAGGAACATTCTTCTCTCCAGAACTTATGGTTCTGGCCAACAGAAGGTTAAACAAAATAATAGTATGAAGATTTTTTAAGATTCTTCCATCAGTTCCACCAGCAGCACTTTTCTGCTAGTAATAGCATTTTTGCTATGTTCATCTTCATAAATTCTTAGTTTTAATTGAAGAATACTTAATACTTATTTTTCCTCCTGCTGTACTAAACTAGAAGAAGAGGCACAGGGAAGAAGGCCAGAACTCTCAGCACTTCTAGTAGTAGTTGGGAGAAGGATGCTCCTAATAGGCCCTATGAGGGGCTGGTGGTGCACTCCTGGGGGAATGTCACCACCAGCAGGGGATCTTCAAAAATAGATATCAAGAAGCTCTTTTCTTATTCTTGTTCTTCTTAGATTGAGGAAGGTAGTAGTAATAGTACTAGTACTAGTAGTGCCTGTCAGTTAAAGAATACTACTGCATCTATTGCACATAGCTAGCATACTGGCTCATAACCTGTGGGAGTGACTGTCCTAAAAGAGATGTAAAGTGTGTGCTAGTAGAAAAGTGAGTCGATGCTCTTATCGAGGATTGACGAACTATGAAATCTAGAATGGATCGCTGTGAGGATCGAGTGAGGTGTGAATCGAATGAGTCAAGTCACGCACGCAAGTGAATGAGATGAGTCGCGTCGATCGTRTGAATCCTAGGGGATCGCGTGAGTCATATATGTATGGTGTGTATGAATTGTAGATACGTATCGTATGTACGTGTCGTATGTATGAATCATACCCACGGTCTGATATCCTACGGACAACAACTAGTACGTAAACCTACTTTTAGCACAGTCACAGTACTAGGGCTCATCACACTGTGTTTGATGGTAAGAAAACTACCCCCAGAAATATTGCTGGTGCTCCTCCTGCTGGTGCTTTTGGTGTTATATTTGGAGTAGTATTTCTTTCTCCAGCAGGGAAAAAAATATTGGACTTTATAAAAAACAATGTACGAGGACTAGTAGTCGTACTACTACTAGTATGCATTCTTGTTGCTGGTGTTGGTGATCAGCAGAGAGAAATAGTAATAATGGTATTTACTCACCAACCAGCATACTAGTAGTGATACTAGTACTAGTACCACTACTAGTAGTGGTTTTCAAATGTCAAAACATTCCCAGGGCCCTCCGGAACCAATATCGGGGGTATGATTTTGTGTTTTTTTTTTCAAATAAAATAACCCACGTTTCTAAAACGTGGGTTATTTTTCTTCACAAAAAATAACCCATGGTGTTTTAAAACGTGGGTTCCTGGGTTAACCCACTAATAACCCACGAAAAACCCACAAACCTGCTGGGCCTTTTTCCAAAAATTAAAAATAGTGATTAAATAACGACGTTCATGACTCAAATACTTAACATCCTTGGTTCTCCATCAACCCAGATGACTGTATATTCGTGCTACTCGTGGGTTCTTTTGTGGGTTATTTTTCAAATAAAAAACCCCACGTTTTAGAAACGTGGGTTATTCTTCCCATGAAATAACCCATGATTCTAAAACGTGGGTTATTTTTCACCAAAAATAACCCACGTTTTTCTAGGGGAGGAATTCGAAAAGGGGGATGTGCGCGTGGGTACCGGAGGGCCCAGCAGTAGCCTAGTACGAAGTAATACGTAGTAAGTCGTTCAAGAGTTTTCCGAACACCCGTTGACTGTGAGCCAAACACGCGCAATTCGCGTAAATCACGACTGAGTGAGTACGAACCCGTAATCATCCTAGCACTCACTCTTCATTTTTAACACGTGCGAGTTACGTACTACTTTACGCAAAGTGCAGACGCCGAATGTCGAATTTCACAATTCACGTTGGTCTTTCCTTCTTCGAAGAAAAAACAAGATTACTAGTGTGACAGTGTAACACCGAATCCGCTGGTCTCTCAAAACCCAAGATAAAAAGGAGAATGCGGTGCAATCGATTCATCCGAAAAAAGAAGCACGGCGGCACCTGATGGACAAAGAACAAATATTCGGACAAGCAACAGTGATGGACAACGGCGCGAACTACCTTCCGGTGGAGTTGTGGCGGATCTGCCTCGGATTTCTCGGCGTGCAGGATATTTGTCGATTCGAAATGGTCAGTCGGTGCTGCAAAAGGATCGCGGGCGACAAAGATTTCTGGAAACGATATTATTGCAGTGCATGGAGAAAGAATCTTCACCTCCCGTTCACCCTCCCGACGCCGGAATGGAAAGCCATGTGTCTGGATCGTCGCAGTCACAGCCAGGGCCATTTCCTGTCGACGGGGTTCCGCGGCAAGCGGGTCCGATGGGGCGGACCACACGTTGCGTACACCGGGTTCGAAGGCACCGAGGAGCTCGTGTACCGCGTTCGTTCCTCCATCCGGTCGGAGGATCCGCTCGTCCCGCTGGTGTCCGCCAGCGCGTTTCGCGGAGCCTGCACCGTGTACTACGAAGCTACGATCCAGGGCGGAGGGAGCGTGGGCATCGCCGCGGCGGACGACGGCCTGCATGCTTTTGTTCGGCACCGCCACCGGTACGGTTTCCTGTCGCGGTCGCGCCCGGTCGGATCGCTGCCGGTCTCGTACGGGTTTCACGGCGGGGACGGGCGCATCCACTTCCACGAGGGCAGCGCGGGGGCGACCGGCTCCCTCGCGTTCGATGAGCCGTTCGGCGCAGCAAGCGATGCCACGACCCTGGTCGGCTGTGGGTACGACGCGGCCCGCGGACTCTTGTTTTTCACCCGGAACGGGAGGCTCCTCGGTGTTTGCCCCCGCGGCATCCGGTGCCTCGGGTACTGTGCCGCGGTGTCGCTGACCCACCCCGGCGGCAGCGCCACGTTCAACTTTGGCTCCGCCCCCTTTGCCTTTGATCTCGAACTATTCTGCGCGCAGCGGGCAAGGTTCCTCCAAAACTGCGAGAACAACAAAAACGAGAACAACGACGAGAACAACGACGAGAACAACGACAAGAACAACGACAAGAACAACCGAACAGAAAGTGGTGGTAGATCCCATTCGCGGGATTATGTTGTAGTTTTGTTTAAGAAACTACCAGCGTTACTACTAGTTCTAGGAGTGCTGGTGATGCAGTATACTTCATTGTTTTTTGTAATCTATAATAGTATTGCTGGATTATTGTAGTACGAAGTAAATTCATTCATCGAATAGATCTTCTATTGTTCGATTCTAGTATGAATATGAATAGTAATAGTACTATGATCAGTTTTTGATACTACTCCAACTCGTATTGTACTAGTGGAAAAAGAAAGTCAAACGTAATAAAACCATTCGGTTAACTACAGTAGATAAAGAAACGAACGAGAGATTACATGATGGAAACAGAATCCTCGTGTGTTCGTTATTGCTAGTATTTCAGTATTTTTGTGTATTTGTTCCTCTTCGTCTGATTTTGCGGTGCATACCAGGTACCATTCCGTATGACATGACACAGAAGGTGTCAAGAATATGTCATTGTCGGGTGACCGACAGACATCCTCATGCATGTCATTGAGCGCGCGAATTGTTTAGGGTTACAATATCAAAATTCGGTGTTACAGGCATCGCATTTGTGCCCGAGCTGGTCTAAGGGGTTCGACTCAAGTTCGAATATATTCGTATGCGCGGGTTCGAATCCCGTCGAATGCACTGGACATATCTTGTCCTTCGCTTGCAATTTTCGAATGGTCACGTGTTCGATTCACGTCGGGTGCTCCACATGCAACTGTAGCTCAGAGGTAGAGCGTTCGATTGCAGTGCTGTTTTTGTCATCATTTTAGGACTTCCGCGCGGTACGGTGGTTGAACACTTATGATCTCTTGGATGCTCGAGTAGTGCACAAAAAAGAGCACAAACGAGCTGGATTCATGCCACTCATGCTCCGAATAACGACCTGGATACATGCCACTCATGCTCCGAAATTCGGAGCATGCTCCGAAATTCGGAGCATGAGTGGCATGTATCCAGTTCGTTTGTGCTCTTTTTTGTGCACTACTCGAGCATCAAAATTACACCATGTGCGAGTTAAAGTATTAGAAAACTATCGTACGGTACATACGAGAGTATGCAGAATATGATGTTCTACATAAGTTACCAACCACCCCTGCTTCGGGAGCCGAAGGACAACTTCTTACTACGCATCACGTTAAGTCCTACCGTACCGTTCTACTGTACGAACTGGTACGTACGTGCTACTATTCGAATGTGAGGTTGTTGTTGACATAATCTACAGTAACTCGTACGAGTACGATTAGTACTACGTTCGTACTCCTCCTATGTTGTGTGTTGTGGAGACAACGACGGTTTTTGGAACGTTTCCCGATGCCTAAGAAATTCAGAGAGTTCGATCTTTGTTTTTACGCGCGAGCAACGAGCCCTGGCGAAATTCCTACCTCAGAAACCCTGCGCCACTAGGATGTCAGGGTCATCCTCAAAGCCGTCGAGTTGCGTTCCAGGTGCGTACGTAGGATTCCACTACGGTACGGTCAGGCCACGGAACAAACCCAGCACCGATTCGGTGACACGCACGGAAATCCTTTACGTTCGGTACGTATGTGACAACCATTATGTCCTTTATGTACTATGGCCTACGAGGCCGGCGGGCGGTCAATGGCGCCCCCGCACCGGTGTCACACATATTCCGAGTCTTGTGAGCGGCCCGGGGGCACCGCAACGAGGTCCAACGGGGAACCTTCCTTTCGTCCCTCTGTGGTTTGGCGCCCTCCGGAAGGGGACCCAATGACCCCCTTCCCTCCCGGGCCACGCACGGAAGATACCACGGAACAGACGATGCTTTTGGTTTTTTGGTGTCGGATTCCCCCGCCGACACGTCGCTGGGGAACAACAGCTGGACCCAATGCGAGTGCGGTTCCGTTCTTCGGGGACGGGATCGATAAGTGTTGCCGCTGTTCTTCCATCGATCGATCCTCGGTGCCGTCACCCAAGCGAAGAATGCGACGGAAGATCGTGAGGCACCCCACGATTCCGACAAGACTCCCACCGGTACGTACTACCGCACCGCACCACACCGCACCTCAGATCTCACCAATAGCACAACTCCACTCGATGCCACCCGTGTGTCACTTGTTGCAATTGCATACGATTGATTCGCTCCAGAAGGAGTCTTCTCCCTCCTCCACACCCACCACCAAGATCCCGTGTCGCATTTGATAGGACGACCCTAGACCTTCCCAGAGCGAAGCACCCGATCCCGAAGCGAAGCAGAATCCGAATCAATACAGTACGAGTACGAGTACGGTACCGAACCCAAGACCAATACTTCCACCATGGACCTCCTCTCCTCGGTCGCCAGCACCCGGCCCGTCGCCTCGTCCGAGGCCACCTACTCCTGCACCCTGACCAATACCTGGTCCGGCGCCACCCACCCGGTCGGCTACGAGGCGATCCGCAGCTCGGCCCACTGGTCCCCCCCCGTGGTGGTGGTCCACAACCAGCTCTACGACCTGTGGAGGCCCAAGTTCAAGGCCTCGGAGGGCGTCAAGCTGCTGGCCGAGATGGGCCTCACGGACAAGCTGGTCCAGGAGCTCAAGGCCGCCTCGCAGACCACCGGGAGATACGTGAAGGAGTGGACGATCGGGAAGAACCAGTTCAACTCGGTGGGGATTCCGCAGGTCCTGGGGGACGTCACCCTGACGCAGGACTTTCCCTACCTCTCCTCCATCACCATGGTCGCCCCGAGCCCCGACTGGTTTAGCGGCTTTCCCAAGGTCTCCCCCATCGAAAACACGGACGGCGTCGGCTTCTGGTTCGAGTCCTTTTCCATGGCCACGTTCCCCTGGGACGCCGGGACCGAGGCCGGGGAGGCCTACTCGACCTCCAACCCCGACCAGGACCCGAGGGCACCCATCACCCAGCTGACGGCGGAGACGGTTCCCTCCAGTGGGATCCTCCTGGACCCGACGGGGGAAAAGGTCCTGCCCATGGCGACCTGGTCCTGCGAGCTCCGGCCGCTCCCGTYGGAACAAGACGAAGACCAAGACGAAGAAGCGGAAGGCCCCGGGGACCGGATCGATCTCCCCGAGGGAACGGGCGATCCACAAGGCGAGAACGAAGACAGCGAGAGCGAGAGCGATGGCGAAGGCGAGGTATCCCCTCCCGGGCAAGACGGCACCGATCCGCAGGTCTTGGACGACGAAGAAGAAGACGACGGGGGAGATGCCCCCCCCGCGACGGACGGGGAGGACCCCGGAGAATCCGAAGAGCCCGACCAGAAGCCCCCGGGCGTCGGCGTCGGCGTCGAAGACGACGTCGAGAACGAGAACGAAAACACAACCGAGACGGGAGACAACGAGCCGGTCAACCAACCCACGAACCCAACTCCCCCCACCCTGGACGTCCCCACGAACTGCCTCCGGTACTTCTTCTCCTGCCAGTCCAACGGCGAGTGCTGCTCGGGGAGCTGCGACCCCCGGAGCAACCGCTGCTCCTCGATCGGCGGCCGGCAGAGCGAGCGGTCCGAGTCCAAGCGCCTCTCCAACCAGGGGGGGATCGTCATGGGGGGGTCCGCCGGCCGGACCTTTCGGCGCTCGGGGATCCTCGGGAGGACCCACGGCCGCGGAAGCGGGCGCTCGCTCCTCCCCGACCCTGCGGAAACCGTCGGGGAAGCAAAAGCCGAAGCGGAAGCCACCCGGGGACTCCGGGGCCGGGCCTAGCGGAAGCACACCGAACCGAATCGCACCGAACCAAAGCCTCCCCCACGCCACCCTTGGGAGCGAGCGGACCACCCTGCGAACACCCCACAAACAAACGAACGAACGAACGAACGAACGAACGAGCCAACCAGCCAATCGCTCCGTGCCGACAACGATCCGTCCCACCGGTGACCACCGCCTCTGGTTGGCTCCGAAGGATTCCGAAAAAGACACGGTGGTTTCGTGTCGCTCGGAACCTTTTCTTTAGTACCGTACCCACCACCGAAACACAATTCCTACATTGCTTTATTCCTACCAATAGCACTCGCTGTATATCTATCTAACACAACACGCGTGGACCGTCCTAGACAAAACAACAACAACAATGATTGAATCGTATGATGATCCATCTAGATAAATATTTTGAACAACACACCCCTATTCCTTTAAGTAGTGTACCGTAGCAGTAGTATTCCAGATGAACAATAGATTATGCACTAAAAACAGTTAGAATGCAGTTCATGGTTCATGCAATATGTAGGTAATGCAGAAGATGTTCGATTCCATACTTTGTTCTCCTGAATTTCTTTTCTCTTGTGCTCTATTTGGTGATTCACGACCTGTCTAGGTATGCATCCCGCCTCGTAAATCAACAAAACCAACGCCTACCCCAACAGACTAATATTGTTCGGGACCGATCCTGTATTTTTGCTTTCAAAAACTCCTCGGATGGACCATGGGCTCGGCGATTATCGCTGCAATGATCGGAATTGTTCTCAGCGTACCAATTGCGTTGGATGGATTCAATAACAGTCGTCTTGCATTGCGAAGATCAGTATGGAAGTGGTGACAAGCGTCGTAAGAATCAGGAACTGCACGAACCCAAAGGCGGATCTCCGTCCCGATCGGCGGTCGTCGATTCCGGGAGGAATCATGCTGTCCAGGTTTTTGTTGATTTGCCGAGCTACCACGGTCATGTGGCGGCCCAGCGCTCCCTCTGCCGCCAGAGAGAAGGCGTCGTTGTCGATTTCGGAAACAAAGTTGACGGCCGTGAACCTCAAGACAACGGCAATCGCCGATGGCGATGTCATTACCAAAAAAAAAGCCGCCAGTACCGCCGCCCAGCCCAGCGTGATTTTCAAGCAAGACGCCAATCCAAACATCTCGTGCGCGATCCAATGGTCGAGTTTGTCGTCGCGGCTGCTCGTGTGAAATAGAGGAAACAACTCTATTCCCACGATGATATCCATTATGGACGAGCTCGGAAACAACACATAGAAAACTAAACACAAGATCTGTGCCGCCCTCGTATCGGTGGTGAGATGTGTTGGAAAGCATACACCATCGTGTTCATCGTGCCGTGTACCAATAATCAGGACTACAAGGAAACAGATCTGGAACAGAACCACCAAGAATCCGAAAACAAAGGAACGTATCGAAACATTGAATCCGATAAACGAGTATATATCTCGGTGAGAGTTTCTCATCGCATTGATTGTTTCTAGATGCATTTTTTCCTCATCCTCGTACTCGCAACAGTCCTCTTGTGCTTTGACCACGGCAGTGAGCTTCTCGATGTCTGCCCTCATCGTTTCAATGCGCTGCAGAATATCGGCTTCGAGTGCTTCGGGACCACAGTCGTCCGATCCATTGTTGTGCCCGGGTACTTGTTTGGCAATCTTTTCCTTCCCAACTTCATTGCCTGCAATCCAAGCGTCGTCCGTCCCATCGGTTTCGAGGGTTTCACGCCCGGAATCGGCCCGAGCCTCGGTGCTGCTAGCAATCTCGTCCCTCCCATCCACGACCTTTGGGGTTTCAGGTTTTTGTTGTGGTTGGCTCATGTTGAATAACCAATACATTCGTGAGCCGAGTCCGGATGGAACTTCATCGTTTCCTTCCATTGCATCCTTCCCATCGGTCCTGGGGGTTTTGGGGTCGAATTCTGTCGTCATCCTGGGTGGTTGATCGAGTTGATGCTTGTTCTTGGTGTGGAAAACAGAAGTTGTCCGATTCAAAAATCGATCACCGGGAAATTCTGTTCTGTGGAGCATTTAGTTTTCGGCGAGCTTGTTGCACCCGTGGAACGATATTGCGAAAAACGTTGCAAACTCAATCTCATTTAAGGGCTTGAAAGTACCGTACTTAACCGAAGAACCAACGATCGTCAAAAGTACGAACTTAAAAAACATAATCGATCTACGTACTGTATTTTCGTTTTCTTATTACACAGTAATAATATTTTCAGCGATTATTTTGAATGGGTCGTTCCCGAAAACTTAAATCGAGATACGTTTTCGGGAATACTGAATGCATAGCCCGCCCTCGCCTGCTCAAATTACATAATTCCCCATATACCGAGCCGGGCGTGCCAGAATTTACAATACTGTCTTTCTCTTCCTCATTTTCATAGTAATACTAGTAGTTTTGTGGTACAGTAACTGTTTTAACCCCTGCATTCTCTATTTCCAATCGGATTGGACAGGAATCAATAGCTATCGATCCACTTCATATATATTTTTTAAAAATTTGAGTCCTTTTCTGATGTTGGAAAACGCTTGTTCTTCGGTACGAAGTTGGGAAATGATGGAATAATGCCGTATCTATTTATCTCAAAATTGATGATACTATTCAGTAAGAAGTAATATCATGATACGTCTTTGAATACAAAACACCTGGTTTTGCTTTCAACAAAAAGAAACGAAGAGCGCCACTGCATACTATCCCAACAGCAGAACATGCCAATGCCTTTTAGCTATATTAGATTCTATTTCATTGTGAGGAATCGAACAAGCAAGCCAGTAATCCATCCGCATCCGCACTCCCGCAATCCACTAAGATCTCTCACAGAAAGTGGGACCACTGGCTCGCCGAGGAGGGGGTTTCGCGGGAGTTCTCTCTGAGGAACAAGAGCTCCTTCTCGGAACGCTCGGCGTCCGCCACGAACAGGTAAGGGGTTACCGCCCAGACCTCCACGTTGGCCACCTCGAATGCAGCCGCGTCACCATTGTCTTCGCAGCACAAGAGCAGTGGGTTCCCGTAGGTCGCACACGAGCTCGTGGATCCCCTCTGCAGGTCCCCGTCCAGCAGGATGCCAAAGCCGTCCCCTTTGTTGTTTACCACGCCACCCCCACAGGCGATCCTATCCTCAGTGACTAGCTGGGAGAGCTCGTTCGCACCTGTGGAGGGAAATACCTCAACAAGCGGTTCGCTGGCGCCTTCCTCCTCTTTCTCCCCGACGAGCCTCCGCCTCGTCATCCTCCAGAGAAACGACTCCCCCGAGTGCCGGTACTGGTTGTTCGACGGGACCCATGGCTGTGTTAGTTTTTTTGGCGGCAGTTGTTTGGAGTTGTTTGTCCAGAGTTGGGAAGGCATTGCATCCCAACAAAAAAGAAATGCGTTGGAACAGCATAATTTACGATTGGATCACAGCAGGCATGAGTGAGCACCAATCAGCAAAACGAGGGACCACGGAATGCAAAAACCAAATGGTTTATCGTATTCTATTGCATTCCATCGCATGACGGAAAGAAACGTCGTCGTCTCACCTTGGTCATGAAGCAGCCAAGCACATCCCCCCCGAGTGTCTCGATCGCCAGGATGCTAAACCTGCCGAGGCCCGACTTTGCTTCGAGGGCGTGAAGGGTCGCACCATCCCGGAGCAATGAATACCTCAGCCAGAAGTTGCTCTCCGAGTGGCGTTGCGGCAGGTGCTTCTGCAGGGCGTGGAGGAGGGGGGGCGTCAGAACGTGGGGGGTGCATGACACGTCCCCCCCATGTGTCCCGAGGACGAAGAAGCCCGCGCTGTCAAAGTCTACCCCGGGCCCGACCACGTGGTCGGACCATCGCATCCGTCGTCGCGGGAGTGGTTGGCCCAGAGCTTGGGCCCCCGGTTCCCCGTCGATTCCGCCGCCACCCCCGGCTTCCGGAGCCCCACCTTTCCGTGTCTCGGCACGGTCCCGGAAGGTCGACCTTATCCACCGAAAGAATACCGTTTTTGCGCTTTCGTGGAAGCCATCCCACTCGGTGCCCACCAATCCGATCCGCTTTAACCGTTCGGCAATGTACTCGCGCTGCTTTCTCGTCAGCATCCCGTCCCCGGCCCACCTCGCGAGGACGATGGTCATCGCGGAAGCGACCATCCCAAAGACCAATCCAATCGTGATCCATGCGTTCCAAAAGGGTCTCAGTGAGAGGGTTTCGGGATCGGTATCCTTCCACAAGAGCGAAAGGACGCCACCGGCGGCAAGGGATGCCAGAGAGCGAACAAATAGAGCACCAAGCGTCATTATGTGGGCCGCCTCGTCCTTGTGGACAACCCTCAGGGTTCGGCCGGTTGCTATTCCGATGTACGAAAAATAAAGATCCATAGCGCCCCGGGTAAACACGATGAGGGCAACTAAAAATACAAACGCTTGGGAGGTTACTCCCAGCAGCGATTCCTCAGTAGAGCCCTCGACACCGTTCAGCACCAATGAAACAGGCACCAACACATTGGGGGCACTTCCTAAAACGGCGCTGATGCTGAGGATGCGGTATATACCATTCTTGGAACCATTTTCCACGTCCATGAGTCGTCCCAGAGCCATGTGGTGACCGATGGCTACGATCAACCCCGCAGCCGACAAGACGGCTCCTACCTGGCCCTGGGACAAGCCGATCCCGCCTGCTTCCTTCGGGACGATCATAAAGAGCGGCAAGGCCTCGTCGCAACAGGAAATTGCAAACGAGAAGGACCAGTATGCATCGAGGTGGTACCGGGCCGACCTGTTGTTGTTCCAGAGCTCGACGAAACTGGACCAGAGATTTGGCATCGTTGCAGTCCTGGTCGATACCGAGCCAGCAGGTGTTAGAAGCGGGCGTTCTTCGTCGCTCGATATGGAAAGCAATGAATCCTCCCTCTGTGATGCTGGAACGGGCGGCGGGTTCTCCACGAAAAAGGCCGTGCAGAACATGGATATCCAGCACAGAATCGCACCGCAGAGGTTCGGCAGAAGATAGGGACGGGAACCGTACCAGCCCAGTTCCGATTCGGACTCCAATCCAAATATAATCCGCAAAAAGCGTGGATCCGACAAGAGCCCACCCACAACGGGACCGAGCGCCGTGCCCCACCACATGATCGAGAGCACAAGTGCCTGGGGATTTCCCTCTCGGGTTTCATCTTCGGTCAGGATACTGTCCTCACCAATGCTCCGGGCACTGGCCGCCCGCTTTCTCATCGCATTGTACTGGAGGTTGATGGCGGCTCTCTTCACGCAGCCGCTAATGCAATTGGAAAGTCCCTGGACAAATCGTGCCACGAGGGCCCCGGAAAAGGTCGTGGCACAACCCACCCACAACGAGGCCAGGCCCGTCAGCAAGAGGGAAGCAACCAAGGCACGCTTCCCTCCCAAAAGATTCCGGACGAACTTCCACGGAAGAAATCCCACAAAGCGGCCGAAGGTGAAGGTTGCGCCGAGCATCCCGGCATAGATCCCAACATTGGTCAACGTGACATCACCGCCATTGTTGTCGATGAGTGCCACTGCCATGTACCCCGCATACGGAAAGAAGCTAAACAGGAGGAAGGAATGCGTAGCGGCTGCCAGGCACAACGAGAGTGTCGCTTTTGTCAAATGTCTGCACGGTAGACATTTCATGGTGTTCTACGACAATCATGCGACTTCTCAAGATGCGCTTGCATAAAAGATTTCATTGTCAAGTGGACATCAACATGATTACTGTAACAGGATTCACAAATTACAACTTTCGACGTTCTGTATCGATCGTACGGTACTACCGGGGGATTTTTTAGGGGGAACGAAAAGATTGTTTCCTAAAATCCAAAATGGTTTTTCTTTTCAAAAACTGGTGTCAGCGGATCAAAAATCAGTCGCTGGAATGTTTTGGCGCATCTGGTTCTTGAGTTTGGCATGTTTGTTTTGGTGGCGTGAAAACGTTCCAAATATCAGTAGAGTGAACGATGAAGAACACTTCGGAATGTCATGAATGATCGTTGTAATCCTATGCGATATTCGTACTAGGGTTCTGTAGCTTTTGATAGGCTTATTACAATACAGTAATCGGATTAAACCCTTTAAGAACAAGAAAACTGGATTGAACCCTTGTAGAACAAGAAAACTGATGTTTCTTCTTTACGTACATCGTCTACGTACATTACGGTAGACGTATGGTACTTAAAGTATTTTCAATCTGATTCGTCGAGATGAGATGTCGTTCCACTTCTCAATCTTTTCTGGACAGTGAAATTGTTGCTTGATGACAAGACGGTTCACACAACGCGATCTTTCTCTCTTAAGTGTCTCGTCTTGACGAAGAAAAAAACTCGAAAAGAGAATTCATACGGTCGCTCCAGATCCTTCCTCTTTCTCTCCCATTCCATTAATAGATGTCTCACAACTTTTTGTTGCATTAACGATCAATCACACACACACACCACTTTCAGCATGACAGACGAATGGAAAGGAACCTGCAAGTGCGGAACCGTAAAGTTTGAGCTCAACGGTGCTCCGATGATGAACGCCCTCTGCCACTGCAACAACTGTACCACTGTCAACGGAAACGTTTGTCCCGTTCATCTATACCTCGCCGCAACCAGTGAAAATTGGAAGATCGTCGAGGGCGAAGACAACCTCAAGAAGTTTAGCGGGAGTGGATCGCTCAAAATTTGGCGGTGCACTTCGTGTGGCAGCCCGGTGATGCAAGGACCCGAAACGGTACCCTTCCGTGCCTTCTTCCCTCGTACCTTCTTGGGATACGTTGACGGAAAGTGCAACAAGGTACCTGACAACCTGAAGCCAGCCATGCACATCAACTACGAAAACCGAGCATGGGACGTGAACGACGACCTTCCAAAGTTTGCTGCCTTTCCGCCCGACAACATGGTCAACAGCGACGGAACTCCCATCTCCAAAGACTAACCGGAAAGACGAGGTGTGATTCGCCAAGTTGCATTGTCTTGAAAACATGATACGGATTGTGTTAGCAGAATGCTTGACGACTTATGGAATGACTAGAAGACCACCAACTCATTTCGGCCATGGACATCCTTTTGCCTCCGCTTGATCATTATGACCGAAGTGTCACTAAGAAAGTTTACAACTAAGCATATCGTTTGGAGTTTTTCAGTAAAAGTAAATTAAAGCACAGAGTAAAATACTTGTAGTGCAGTCTCTTGCAGTCATCTATTCATCAGAAATATTGTACGATTTGCTAGACGACAAATTCTCCAACAAGTAAGACGGCTTTTGTTTCATTCGTCCCTGCGACGATTATGACCTAGCTTTACTACGTGTCAGGGTTGGGGTTTCGGTGTTTCGAATCTGAATCCAATAAATAATGCAAAAGCAGGACCCCCCAACTCCACGGAGGCTTCGTCCGAGGCGCATAGTTGAAGAACTGCGGGGTGCGCAGCACCTGGACGACGGTGTAATGCCATTCGACCGGTTTTAGGGAGCTCTTTATGAGAACACATACTAGTTTGCGTTTCTGTAGTATAGAACACGTGGCATCTTAGTATTTGTATCAATATTGTTATTTTTCTGTAAGGAACAAGGGTTTCCATTACTTGTAGAACGACACTCTCTACTATTTGTGTCTACTTTTTATGACGGGGTTCCATCCTGAATACAAATTTTACTATAAATTTCATCTAGGCACACGTTCGAAAGTCCATATCGACAACTTTCCTACGACTTAAATGTAGCCATTAAAATACTTGCCGACGTTGTAGATTTCTCGATGACTGGAGTATTTCATGATCAATTTTTAAGTTATCTCTTCATACGTCACAATTTATTATTAATTCTTCTTGATTGCTTTCGCAGGGTATCCTAAGTCGCTAGTTATGCATGGCAAATTGTATCTATTAGAGTGTGCAAATAGGTCTACATTGCGGACCTCCCGGATCTACTTTTTGCGTTCCATCACCATCTCGTAGTCGTAAAAGGCAACGGCCTTCCCGTTCACCTGCTGCCACAACACGCCCTCCCTGGAATTGGGGTTCGGGGTGAGGTAGATAGCGATCCGCGAAACGGCCCGCACCGTGTCGCCATCGACGGGGAGGAACTCGGTGATGACTTCCTGGTCGTTCGCGGAGACGCTCCCGGTTCCGACGGTGATGGTACGGCTGCGCTCCGCCGCCGCAAAGCCGGAGGAGGATTCCTCCGTCTTGCGCGCCGTCAGGTAGACCTCGGCCTTGCGGGGCCCCACGGGCCGCATGTCGGCGGCGATCGGCTCCGTCTGGTACGTCAGCCGGGTCGGATCCCTGGCGGAGTCCCAGACGATCGAGTCGGCGATCACGGGAGACAGCTGCTGGTAGGAACGGCTCATGGAGACGAGGTTGAAGGCTCGGTCCGCGATTGTTTTTTCGTTTTCGCTGATGTAGCGCACGGTGTAGGAAGTCGTATCCCCCACCTGCTCTCCCCGGTTGCGGGGGGATCCCTGTACCAGGGAATGCGACGGAACAAAGTCTGGACCAAATGGAAAGACCTTTTGCTGGAGCGTCGACCTCACGGTCCATTCTCCGGCAAGGGACGAAGGGTAGAAGAGTTCCCGGTCCGAAAACGGCGACAGGGACTGTTGCAGGGGGGCGATCGCTCTGGATGATGATTCGTCTCTCGTGGTGCCTATCCGAGAGAGTCCCAGCTGGGTGGACAGGCGCGGGGAGCCCTCCCGCCATTCGTTCGACCGCTCTATCGTTGCCCGCTGCTGCAGTACCGCCCCGCTTCCGGCCGGTATGAGTGCATTCAGCGGATCCGCCGAGGCTTTGTACGCAGTGGATGGATTTCCGATCAAAAGCGACGACAGAGACGCGGTGGAAACAATACCGAAGGTCCTCCGAGATGCCGATGCCGCTGTTGAAGCCGGCGTCGGGGCTTGTCGGTGGCGGTGCTCGGGCTGTACCATTCCGGTTGCCAACGCGACGCAGCATACAACTGTTGCGAAACACAGCACGTCGTTGTTTCTTCTCCCCTTCATTTTGTTGATCGATTTGGGTGTCCTGTTCTTCGCTCCGATCAAATATCTTATGATTGCGAATATGTGTAGTGTGGCAGTTTTGTTGGCGAGGACAACAGCGACATCGCCATGCAGAGGATCAAACCAAGAAATGTGAGTGAGTCACAGAAGGCATCAGTCGTCAATACCTGCACAGTACTTCGTACTACAGTACGTACGGTAGTCAGCTAAGGTATCATTCATTTTCAAGCACGTTTGAATCAAGTAGGTCAAGTTTACGGGGGACTGAGAGGGTATTAAGGGACTCAAAAAGGTAGAAGTAGGTTCGTCTGTCTCTTGGCCACAGACGATGATGTTTTCGAACCGGACGGTGCATGAGCCGAGCAAATCATCCTCTTACTCGAACCTGGAACAACACCGCATTACGATCGATACAACAAACAACTCCAAAATTGTGTCAAAAACCCACGTACCGGTACGGCAACCACTATCCAACTATCCAATCCACAAGGACCGAAGCTACTTTTCGGTGGAATAGAAATAGAAAGAAACAGAACACATCTAATTCGCATACAGGCAAAATGAACTTCTTTGGAGGTGGTGAAGAAGCAAAACCGGCGGGCCCCGATCCGGTTTTTGCTGGTAAGTCGTGTCGAATCGAGTAGCACTAGAGCGGACGCTGGTGTTTTGACCTGCGTAGTTCTGCTTCCTGGTTGGCTTTGAATGCTTCGTTTCTCGTGCAAAGGATTCATTTGGTTTGTGCCGAACAAGACCGCGCGGTCCAATAATCTGACTCGAGATCGGATTGCTAACCTTGGTTTTCTTCGTTTCTCCACACATTCTTCCCGTCTCCCACAGCCAAGACAGAGATGGAGATGTACACGGATTTGTTCAACAAGATCGCCTCGACGTGCTTTTCGAAATGCGCCAGTCGCAAGCACAAGGAACCGGATCTCAGCCTGGGGGAAATGACCTGCGCGGATCGATGCGTATCGAAATACCTAGAGGGCCAGGAACGGATCGGTGTCGTGTTGCAGAAGGCCAACGAAGAGCAGGCGCAACAAATGGCGGCACAGCAGCAGATGCAACAACAATTTGGTGGGCGGTAAGGAATGCGTATGGTGGAAGCGTGTGGCCATGGTTTAATGGAAGATTTAGTTTTCTAGCATCATAGATACCTCTGGTGATTTCAGATCAGAGATGCGGTCTCAATACAAGAGTAAGGAAACACATGGCGACATAACAACAACAACAACAGCAAAAAGAAACATAATTTGGACGGATGGATGCTGGTGACAGGAACGGTCGAAGCGGTTTGAATCACTTTCCGCAAGGGAAGGGCTAATGGATCCTGGTGTTCCGTGGCGATGTCAAAGGCCAATTGTTTTGCTGCCATCGATTGCGCTGAACAGAACATAAGATTAGAAAAATCAATACGTGCGCTCATATTTTGAAAGACGTCCGAGATGCATTCCACCTTATTATCATTTTCAAACCGGAAGAATTTTATAGTGTGTGATTGAGTTTCTAGGTTCGTATCATTACGTGTCGTATCCAAGTCAATCTAGAACAAAAAAATCGGGGACATTCAAATTACAGAACCAGTTCTACGATGCTGAATTCCCTTATGAAATTTCGCAAATATATGAACGGAAACTTTGGATCTATTTGTAACTAGTTCCCGAAATATTTCTTCCCTAATTGCTTTAAAATTACAGTAAATACTTCTACAAAAATGCTTGACGTAGCGCGTATGGTGAGTAGGCATGCCAATTCATTCATCCATGCCAAGAGAGTTAACCCGATCCGATCTCCTAAAAGGAAGAATCCGCAAAGAAACTGTCGCCTGAAGAATTGTCAAATGAGATCCAGTCATCTTGTTCAAAAATAGTTTTGGATGCTTCGGATCCTTGCATTTGCTGTTCCTTCCGGTGTGCACCGAAAGAACTAAAGGCACTCGTCTGACTCCCCGTTTTGTTAGTAAGAGATTTCAGAGACTGCGAGGATGTAGTTGATGCAACCGTGGACGAGGAGGATGACGAAACATAGGAAGAGACGGAGGATCGATCATCTCTGGGCTTTCGGTGGCGTATTGTGCCCATATCCATGCTCTTGGATTGTGTGCTCATTTTTGCGTGACACGACTCCACAAATTGTTTTGGATCTTCCTCGTCCTGCGAGGAATCTAGGTACTCCTTGATCTCGTTCTCGATAACGTCGTCGAAGTCAGTGTGCGCAACCCCGGCAGGTTTGTTGGTGTTGCGTTCCCCCAAAATCTCAATCAGCGTCGGAGACGATGCCGGAGACCTATCCGGAGGATTCAATGGGGTGCGAGATAGAAAGCCTCCCAACAGCTTTGATTGGTTGTTCCGCTGCAGTATAGATTTGTGCGGCAGCTTATTCATCAAATCACGAAAGGCGATGCGGGCCGGATCACAGGTTGGTGTGACCCCCGAACTCGATGGGAGGCAGGGGCGAGATTTCGCATCGTCTGCGGTGTTTGCCCAGCTGTCGGCGGCCTCGGAATCGGTCTCGTACAGGACGGGTTCACAGGCAATGGTCTTCAAAAAGTCGAGCCGGACGCCCTTAAGAATAGAAACAGGCTGGGATGGCAAATCGAGAGCGCCTTCGTCCTCGGGAGAAAACTCGATAGAGTCAAAGACGTCCTGCTGGTCATCATCTCGGGCAGGACGGTAGTCATTGCTGCCGTCACAAGAACCACCACGGTCTGTGACTTCCGAACCAGAACGCGAGAGTGCCTCTTCGCTCCCCTTGCTGTTGTCAGACGAATCAAAGTTTGTATAACTGGTGTCGCTCGGTTCCAGGGATTCTGTTCCGTTCGTTCCCACCGTTTCGGCGGTAGGAGACTCAGCCGTGGTGCGTTCAAAATCAGCTTTAAACGAAACACACTTGGTTGCCTCTCCCTTGAGTGGTCCGAACTCGTCGTCGGGAAAGTCTACTTCCCACTCGGCAAATGCAGAGTTATTCTGCTTGGCCTTGGATGGAGTGCGGAATCGGCGTGGCGACTTCCTCTGCTCTTGGTCCTCATCCTCGTTGGCCATTTCTGCGGCGAGCATTGAGTCAAGGAAAAAGTCTCCGTCGTCGACAAACTGATTGCATACCTGCTCGTCGATGCGGATGGCTACATCTTCGAGGCACTTCATCAGATGGTCTAGCTCCTGTTTGCAGCGTTGTCGCACAAAGGGAGATCGGGCAAACCCCGGGTGCCGTGGTAGACATTCTGTTAAGAAAGCCACCACACGGTGCCCCATTAGATACAATTCTTCCAGCTCCTTGGCACTGTCCGTGGACGAGGACGAGCTTTTCTGATAGAGCTGATGGAATTGTTCCAAGGCCCTGTTACAGTAAACAATATGACATCGAAAACGCTTGTTAGTGGAAAGATTCCTACTTTTCGTTCAAGCTTCCAAGCAAGATGCAATGGCTAGCCAATCTTTTCTGGATAGTTGTTATCTTCTAGAGAATCAAGGAAGCAAGCACAACATAACGAAGTACTGTGGTCGCAAGTTAATGGCTAACTGAATACGTACCAGTGGGCAACTGAAAAATAGCGCTGAACAGAACAATCGAAACTCATCGAGAAATCCCGTCCACCGATTCGTTTGTCCTCCTCTAAGAGCTTTCGTCGTCGTGTTATCCCATGGGATCGCCATCGAGACTCGTCTGGACCGTCTGAGAGATCGTCGGCTGGAAGGACGAGAACATCATTGCTTTGGTGCGTTGCGTTGCTATTGTTGCTGGATAGCTGCATAATTGTCTCTATCCCGTTGTCGTTTGCTGCTGATTTTCGAAAGTTTTTTGCGCTAGGTTGTTTGAAACCAAAGTCTTGCTCGTCGTCTGGGAACAGATCGGATGTTGTGAAAACGGTATCTCCATGGGCTGATCGAGATGTTATTGTCGTAACTGCTGCTGCTGACGCTGTGACTTGTCTTGATGTGGCCGCAGACGATTCCGAGGTTTTACAATTTTTTCCGACCAGTAGGAGTGAAGTGGCGTGAAGAGCGGCGTACTCGGACATTGTGGTTCTTTCTTGTTCGTTTGAATAGAGAAAATAGGCGGCGTCGAAGGAGTGTTGTTGCAACAATGCAAGGTTCTCTATGATAGAGACCACTGGTTGAGGAGTTGGTGTCCCGATCTGGGATTGATTGTATGTTACACACCAAAGAGAAGGCCAACGCCTCGAGTCGTCAGAAAGTTAATTTGATTTGCTGAGCTACTATTACTTGTAATTTTAAATAAAAAATTATTTATTATTAGAGTGATTTTATAATCACTCTAATAATAAATAATTTTTTATTCAAAAGTTAATTTGATTTGCTGCACTAGCGTGATGTCTTTATAATATGTGAAACACTTGTTTCCACAGTTTGTTGAACCTCTACAGAGCTTGCAACAAGGCATGCGCTGTCACACAACGACTGACTGTCAAGCCCTTCCGGCTAGCCTTCATTATTTATGTATGTTTTGTTGGTTAGCGAGAGTTTGCTGCCGTCTAATCCAGGTTTTTGAACAAAAATCTATCGTGCGAAGTGCCGCCTCGCTCGGGATTTACAAGAATGTACAAAAAACACTGTCATGGCTTGTGTGCGCGTGCAGGTGATGGATGGCGAACCAATCCATTTCAATCCCGGCTGGAGGAAAATTTAGGCGAGAACGTTGGCATACGTATGCCAATACCAACCCGTATTCATACCCGCACCAAGGAGGAAATTTATTTTCACAAAATTTATTGGTTCCAGATCGGAATGATATTGGCACGTTCACCATTACAGTACAACAGTTACGCCAAATCCGTACCGTTCGTACGGTACCGTACGTATCTCACCATACCCTAAAACAAGAAAGGAAATTTCGGAGAAGAAACTGTTTCCTTCACACGAGGCAAACTTGGGCGACCGGAGGAACTCTCCACAAGAAAATCGAACGCGACAAATACTGCACGGCACTAAAAGAATGAAGCCTATGGAAGTCGTAGTCTCACTATAAGCATATTACCGCTGACAATCATTTTGGAACAAGAGGTAGTCATAGACAACAGAATACTGTACTTCATAGAAGCTGAAGTCAGAATGATCTTCTTTCGAACTTCTTTGAACCACTCCTCAATACTTACCCAACTAGCTGCTGTATTGGATAATAAAAAGTCTCTTGTATTCCGTCCTAGTAGTACTATAGCTAAAATTTACACTCAAGATCTAATGCTATCAATTGGTAAAAAAATAAGATAGTTTAAATTAGCTCTAGTAGCAGTACTAGTAGAATCCTCTATCGTGAACTATTTGATTCTAGTAGTATCATAGTGGCAGCTTAGCATACAAGAACACCAGTATTTTCCCAAGAATATGATAATTCTTTCGCTTCAGATATCCGGGGGAAATCTTGCAGTTCTGGTTCTGCTCCTTCTTCACTTCACAGCTGCCCCAGTTCAGGAAACGACGCATCGATTTCGTCCAAGTTATCAAAGAGAATAGCCCGGTGGGCATCACGGGCCAGCCCAAACTGGGTCTTCATTTCCGCCAGCACGCTTGGCCCCTTCCCGGCTGCGGTCAGGGCGCAGAGCATGTGCTCGAGTGCCAGGTGCTCGGCGCGGAACTTGGCCCTGATGAGGGGGACGTGGGTAAGGCGCTCGTCGCAAAAGGTTACGCCCTTGCGGAAATCCTTGCCAAGGTACTTTTGCTTAAATTCTTCTTCAAAGCCGGACTGGATGACCGAGTTTCGGGCCATTTCCATCATGTCTGTCATCGACAGATCAAAGGTTGCCCGAGCAACAGAGTATTCCTCGAGCAGGGGGTCGTCGGACATGTGAAACAGCAGGGGATCGTCCGTGGAAAGGGTGATGTTCAGGCCACGACGAAACAATTTTCCAACGGGACTCTCTCTGATTTTTCGGAACAAAAAGTTGTTTGAAAGAGGCGACGATGATATGCCGACCTGATCGAGATAGTATAGGTACTGCAAGCTGACTTGCTGGTGCAGATTAATTCCGTGGGCAATTGACTCGCTCAGCATGTACGTACAGGCAAGATTCAATGGATTTCCAGTCTCACCAGCATGGGGTCGGAAGGCAATCGTGTTCAGACCTCGCGCCTTTCTCAATGAATTTAGGACCTCCAGATTTGCCCATAAAAAGTACAGCTGCCACCAGTACGAAGGATTACCCGGCGAAGTCCACTCATGCGGACGTTGACAGCCACAAGCCGCCTTTGAAGAGAATAGGGGAAGGAAGCACGCAGGAAAGAGCAAAGGAAACAATTATGAGCACATTGAATACTATGAGCCAAGAAATCCAACGACAAAATGCAGCCATCGCTTGCCAGCATTCCGTGAACCATGTTTGCACGACACGCACCTCGGGTGCACCCTCGTCATCTACCGAGTCAATTCCCACAATGTGCGTCAGCGCCTCGGCCAGCTTGGGTTTCCGCTCCGGGTGCAGCGTCGCCTCGAACATTGGAGCGAAAATGTTCTCAAGCATTTCGTTGAATCCCGTGGTGGCGTCTTTTCCCGGTTTCGAGCGGTAGATACGCCAGAGCCGAGGGATCTGGATCATCCAGCGGTTGCACTCAGAGACCAAAGGCCCAGGAAAGTCACCCCCCTTCCAGTCCCGGAGCATCCACTCGGCGAGGTCGTCCCACTCGCGTCGTTCCATTCCGTAGATGCTCAAGCGCAACTCCATTCCAGAGGCATGTCCCTTGGATTCCTCTCTACGATTCAGGACGATTTTTAGTAGCTCCGCAAAATATCGCCCTCCAATGTGGTTATTGGACTTCAGGAAGATCCGTCGCATGTCTGCCATTCGAAATGGGCTGTACTTCGCATTGAAATTGTCGAATCTCTGATAGACGGAATAATCGGCGAGGACATTGAAGGCATCGATCGTAAGGTGGTCTTTGTCAAGACCCGCCTGTTCAAAGACCTGTCCAAGGGTCCTTCCGTCGCTGGAAACCACCGTGTCGGACTCTGTCTGCAGCTTGTTCATCACAAAGTTCACGAATTGCTTGGCCGTCGGTGCCCCGGCAGCGTGTATGTGATTGTCGATTTTCAGTGTCCGAAAGAAATCTGTCCCCAACAAATTACCCTGTTCGTGCGCTTCCATCGAAGCGTTCATGACCGTATGGCTCCGAAAGGCGGATGACAGGAGCTGCAAGCGCTGGAAGCAATAGGATCTCATGAAACCCTCGTTTACCATCTTAGTCATGTCTCGGTAGTCTCGTTCGAAGTCCTCGATGGTCGGCACGACGCACAAATTATTGGTCTTCTCCATATCTTCTGAGTGATAAATTTCCATGACACCATCACTGCCCATTCTATAAGAGAGCGCACTTTGATCGTTGCTTTTAGCATCCATCAAAATCTCGCTCTGGACGATGGAACTGTGACTCCCGAAATACTTTTTCCGATAGCTTCGGCATTTCTCAATGTTTTTGCATGCCTTGACATTTTCCACCGTTACGGCTCCAGCACCGTAAAACATAAGCGACCGCGAAAAGGACAGATTTTCCTACAGTCAGAAAGAGTATTGAGCGAAGTGCAATGATAATACAAAGTAAGTGACTTGTTTTCCGGAACAAATGTTTGCGTGTCTTGCATGACCGATTCGACCGATCCAGAAAGAAATCTAGTTTTGGTATTACTCACCCTGTAGGGCCAGTCGTGGCCGGGTGGGGGACGTTCCCGGGCTGGGGCCTCCTGGTTTCGACGGGGCGACGGGGGACAAGTAACGCCACTGCACGGCTTTCGACTGTCGCCACCGTCTTCGATGTCTGCCAGGCTCGAATCGACAATGCCGACATTGGCGTCCGACGCCTGGCGGAAAAATGCAATGGGATCGGGGGGTCCGTTGTTCAAATAGGTGTCGCTCATTGATGATGTTTTTGTAGCAAGAATATCAATCGTATTGGTATTTGTGATTGCAATCGTATTCGAAATTATTTTTATGAGACCGAATCAGTGAAAGGAATTTTGTGCAGCAATTGTCGGTATGATTGGATCAATTTTATTCGTTTTGATGTTCCAACGAGAACAAAGAACAAACTTCTTTTCAGATTCTAGCACGTTTGAAGTTACCACAGTAGAATCTACGGTAACTTGTTCTCTTGGACGCAGGACAAAAAAATCATCTCTCATCATGAAAATGCAGGAAGAATTTTCAAAGATTGAAATTGAATCATCTTCTTTTCGTTCTGCAGAAACTTGAACTAAATATCATGGCATTTCTCCTCAATACTACTACTACACTAGTAGTAGTGGTAGTTATGTGGTTCCTCCTTCTTGTTATTCTCTCTGCCTTTTCTCATGATCTGGTGGTATTTTGCATGTTTAATACTACTAGTAGTAGTAGTACTAGTAGTAGTACCTCCTCTTCTTCATACTCACATCATGTTTGCTGAAAAGAAGTATGGTGGTTGCGGTGCTGGTGGTACTAATAGTACTACAATACCAAGAAGGGAAGAAGCAGCAATGTTGACCTTGCATCTTTGATGGGTTCTTCTTCTCAGATGATTCGTTCCTCTTGCTTGGTATTTCAGAGAACAAAACTTGAAGAATAGTGAGCTGTCACTGTTGTTGGTCATTCACAGTAAAGATTTTGACTTCAAAGCTGTCATCTTCAGCAAGCATGGGACACTTGAATTGAAATCTTCTGATGTTCCAGATATTGCCCTGATCATCTTCTTTGAGGTCAGCAGCAGTCTCACCAAGGCTATCATAGACCTTATGAGATCAAGGGAATCAATCAACAAGAATTGCCTCACCATTTGCATCTTTCTTACCCACTTCAGTTTTGTCCAAGGTTGTAATTAAGACATCTGACATAAAGAGCCCACTTCAGCTTGATCTCAAAGCTGTACTCATCAAGCCAACTGAATTCAAAGTCATCCTGCGTGGTTCCATTGTGAACAAGGATCCAGACCAACACATAGCCATTCTTGATTGCAGTTTTGAAATCAAAGCACTCTCATCTTCCATAGATATGAGCACTGGCAAGAAACCTGCTGACGGTCTGCTGAAGTGCACAAGTTTCATCAATGTTCATTGTGTTGAAAAGATCCTTCTTGAGATCTACTGAGGCACCAGAGGATGAATAAGGTGTCTGAACTCTTGCCTTGCAAGGTGTTGGAGTCTTGAGGATTGATTTGGATGGAGTCATTGTGTTTTTGTTGTACTGGGTTGTCTTCTGTTGTGGTGGCTGTTGGTGGGGATGAGCTACTCCAGGGGCTTTGGGGGCTTAGAGAGAGATACCTCTCTCAGCAAGCTTCTTTGCTAGTGTGGACATACTCTGAAGAAGAGGAGGAGGGGGGTAAGGACATCAATGACAGAAGACAAGCTGCTTGTATTGTTACAACTGCTACTTCTTACCTTTTCCTGGTGCTTGAATTGCTTTTTGCTGAGGGATTGAAGGATAAATTGGGAGCTTGTTATACTATATGCTCAACTGATGCAGGCACTGGCGCGCTTCTGGTCAGGATTGCTGTTCCAACCAACAGTTCCTCCAGTCTTGAAATGAATATAAAAGTTATAGCAGATGAGCTTGTTGATATAATCTACTAATTGCTTATACCCAATCTCTGGTGACTTGCGTTTCAGTTCCTTGTTGACCAAACCAGCAGTCCTTGCCATTGTTTTCTATGAGAGGACCAGTATTCATTGTGAGAATGAGAGCTTGTTGGAGAGCAAAGAGGAGCAACAAAGGCATACAGCACTAGATGGAATACAATGCAATAAGGAACTGCGACCAACTTCTTGCTTTCCTGTTGCTGTTGATGTTAGCTGCTACTACTACAGCCAATGAGAGTTGCACCATCACCACCTTGCTGGTGTTGGTTACTTTCCTGTATAAATTCTACCAGGATTGCAATACAAGCACCAAGACGAAGAGGTTCTTTCAAACTAGATCCAGTCCTGGTTTAACTTAAGTTAACAACAGAGTGTCATGAGGTCACATTTTTCTACTGTCGTGTTCTCAGCTCATTTGCAGCCACTTCCAATCTTTTTCTGATCAACCATTATCTCATAATCTACACTGATCAAAATTAATTGGGAATTAATCAAAAATCAATAGAGAATAGATGGAGCTCGTTGCATGACTCAACCAAGTGACTCTAAAAAATCCATGCTGTGCAAAAATCAGTAAATTTTGTGTGACCCTTAATACTAAGTTTCCAGTGTCCCCCCTCCCCCAAAAAAGGATCTTTTTGCTCATCTCATATGCCATAGTTGTTATTGAATCTACTGCTCTGGTCATAGTTTTTGCATGCCAACCTCGTCATCTTCTTGTCCGTGTGGGATATTCTTTTTGATGTATTACTACCCCTCATAGCATGTACATATTTTACGTGTTTTTGGCATCCTGAAAAAATGATCCCCATAAAAAACTCTTCCTACTGCTTGTACTACTAGTAGGTACTGTATGTCCACAGTAAGAAGGCATGACATGACCTAAGCTAAGCTAAATTGTAAATAGCCAATGTGTACTTATGAGTATGTCCAGTCTTAGTAGTACCATAGTAGCAGGTAGATTCCTATTATTGGTTTTGAAATTGGCTATGGTGCAATGAACTACCACTATCATTTTTGCACGGTAGTAGCCACTGACATTGAAGAACAATTCTCACTGCTCTGGACTTCCAGTAGAAATGTAGATTCCATGTAAGCCCCAGTACCCCAGCAAAATTGCAAACAATTTAGTACCTTAAAAAAACAGACTATTCATTTTTAAAGAAACATTGGGTCATTGTCATGACAATCAGTCATTCATGTATTTTAGAGAACCAAATTGCTCCCAAGACTCAAAGAAGTCAGTCAATCCTCCTCCCAAGACTCAAGAAATTCAGTCAGTCTGGCATTGAAAAGAACCTAGTAACAACAATAATTATGGACAGCTTTGTTGGCTATGGCTATGACAGAAGTGCACCAACTGATGCCTTGTCAGATAAGTTTAAGTCCTACAAGTAATACTGGCAGTAGTTTGTCCTCTCCAAGAAGTTGGGGAGCATCACCAACATAGAACATAAAAATGTCAACACCAACGTTGACAGCCTCTACAACAACATTTAGTCACCAGCAAATGGGACAAGCACTACTACACCAACGAGTCATTGTCTTGATTGGCCATTCCAAAATCAAACTGATTATTTTTAAATGAAATAGAATGCCATTCCCAAGACTTGATAAATTTTTTCACAAGCCAAGATACTATCACCATCAAAACAAAACTGGTGGGCAAAATCTCAAAACTAGCCAAACTAGCAAAGGGGCATCAAGAAGAGTGGAAGGTTGCTTCTGCACATAGTAGCTGATGTGGGGAGGGATAGGACTCCTGAAAGGGAACATCAGTAATATCTGCAACAAGTACTACATGCAAGATCTCAAGGCAACCATGAACAATAAATAGCACTTCATCTGTTTTCTATCAGGGACTGGTGGTGGTAGTAGTACTAGAAAAAAATAAAAAGCACTAATTCATTCAACTCAAGCCAGTGGGAGGAGGATGAGACTCCCTCTTATCAAAATATTTCTACTATCTTTGAAAAAAATCCATGTTTCTTGAACTGAAAACAAAAACCCACAGGTTTGAATATGATGTCATCTGCTGGGGGAGCTTTCTTGATGATTTAAGAACAAATGGCTTGGTGTAAGAAGATCAACTCAAGTTTTATTTAAAACTTTGGGACAAACTCCCAAGGAAAGATATTTCTTAGTAGGCAAGAACATACTAGAGTAATACAGACAAGAAGTGTGTAGTAATAAATGATGGCATACTTTCTGAGTTTCTCAAAATGAAACTTTCAAAAAATACAAAGGGCAGATTAGTACCAAATTACACTGCTATTGTAATAAAGACCTTAAAAAACCTTAAGCTGCAGATTGACAAAACAAGAAGAAACTACAGGAGAGACATGCCATATTTTCAGAAATGCTGCTTACTAGTAACTGCCACATCAGATGTTGACATTGTTGCATGTGGAACCAAACCTTCCAAAAGGAGAAATCCAGTGCTAAAATTTCATATTGGTAGACCTGTCATTATTGATGACAACACATACTACTGGATGTTGAAAAATCAAAAGCAAAATCATAGAGCCATTTAATATACATTCAAGTTTGTCAAACTGAAAAATGGATACCAGGATTGTAAAAGTATCAACATTGTTGGATATTTAATTTGATGGATAGAGATGGTACTACTAGAAGAAGGAGACTTAGTAAAAAAAACGCCACCACTACCAACAATACTCAACAGGCACAACAAATCAATGAATTCCTCCATTCCTATTTCAGAAACATCAAACAGTCACAGTGCTATCATTAATTAGCTTCTACATTACTTTCAGAGCAGTATTTTCCACCTTATTGGCACTAACTTAGTTTTTGCATTGTAGAAAACCTGCCTTGTACCAGTGAAGAATACTGCTACTACAGCACTGGTATGTATCAAAGGTGTATCGGTTGGTCTCCTGCTTGCTATCAGCTGAAGGATCCTCTTGTCAAACAAGAACAAGAACAAGAACAAGAACAAGAACAAGAACAAGAACAATGGTGACAACCCTTCCACCCTGTCAGTGCAGCCATCCAATGCTTTCTTTGCTGCGCAGGAAGGACCCAGGGTTGCACCTCGATGATCATTCCTCTGCATCATCACCCAATTTCCAAGCTGAGTTGGCATTGCTGTCAATCCCTCCTCTTGTTTCAACAGGTTCTGATCCTTTACTGACCAGGTACTCTCACCAATTTTCAATATTGATTGTTTCCTCATGTCCTTATACCTTGAGAAGTCTGCACAGGCTATGGCTTTTGCCTGGGCTTTGCACTCTTCCGAAGAATTATTGCACAAGATTCCTCACACCAGGAGGTTGGTGATATGTGACATTGTTGCAGTTGCCTTTGTCTTCATCATCATTGTCTAACATCCTTTGCACCATACCAACCGGGGCCTCTTGGTGGGACTAATCATGAAGATTGAGTCCTGGAAAAGATAGTCCAGTTCATCTTGTTCCAGATCAGATGAATCAGAGAGGTCATGGTCAAGGAGTTCTTGGATCTTACCAAAGAATGCTTCAGAGTAGATGGCATCAGAAACACTTGTTCCTCCAAGAAGAAAACCCATACTACCACTACTACGACTACCACCACCACTGAGAACACTTCCCTCCTCCTCTTGGGAATGATTCCTGCAAGGGTCTGGACCAAAACGATCATGATCATCAGATAGGTTCACATCTGCATCACTACTGTCTGAACAGTGGTGCAAGTGGTGAGATGATAAGTTTTAAACATGGGTCATTCTTCACCAAAAATAACCCATATTTTTCTAGGGGAGGAATTCGAAAAGGGGGATGCATGCGTGGGTACCGGAGGGCCCAGAAAACCCCCCAAAAACCTGCCATAGGGGCGAAGCTACGAAAAAGTTGAAAAATCTGAGCTCTGATAATTGCTTCGAAATTGCATAATATTCGAACCCAAGATTCATTCAAATTCAGTCCCTAGCGTCAGCTTGATTTTCAAAGACGTACTTCAACAAAATAGTATCAATTCGTAGAGACTACTTAATACAATCCTGTCATTTTGAATTGCCTTTCCCCACAGAATATTCCTATCGTGTGCTTTAAGTATTGCTCGGACGTTCAAAAACTCTTTTCTATATGCAATGTTGAAGCGAAAATAAGAACAGAAAACGAATTAATAGTGTACTATTCTTGACAGGATAGTAATGGACGTGTATTTCTTTTTCTTGGTAGGTACCAGTCCACATTTTCAATAGCTGTTGTTTACAAGTAAAATTGATTCCCAAAATTAAAATCATTAAGTATTGGATGGCCATACGAAACAGTTTTGATGGCCGGTACCCGTAAATCGGAAGGGGAACCAAAAACTGCATGAAATAAAAGACACGAATGAAACCAATCTGATTTTCCGTACGAAATTATTATTAGTAGGCCGGCGAAGCACTTCCTCCACAACCTCGCCGCCACATCTTCGAGAGAAGAAATCGACTGAATCCGTAGTACTGGAATAGAATGAAATTGAGGAGCCACTCCATACCATCATCTAGTTCTACATTAAGTATGCAAGAAGTTCTAAGTCCGACTAAGATAGGGGAATCGTTCCTCCGAACCAGTCGCAACCTTTTCGACGTGGCCGCCGAAACCAGCGAAAGGACTCTCTTTGTGGTTCCTGCCGGAAGCATTCCGGAAACGGAAAGTAGAAAGGAACAAATTATTCAGGTGGTCGGTATGACCGTATTTTTTGTGGTCCTCCCTTTTGTGATCACCATCCTGTTTTGCTGCGTTGCTTATAAGCACTTCAATGTCACTGTCGAGAGGGACGATATCCGAAATGCGACGCCAAGGGTTCCACAGCGCCGATCTACGACTAGGAGAGAGCTTCCAACGGTGGAATTATCTTTGGGAGACAACGATGGCGATGGCGAAGAATCGTGCTCGGAAACGTGTACCGTAATGAGCCAGGATATGGACCTGAAAAGCGACATCGATGCCAAACAACCCGACTCAGTCCGATGACAATATGCTGAAATGTTTTATTCCTGGATACAAAAGTAGCAATAAGACAGATTTGATTCGAACTCTATCTCTCGGTAAAAGATTACTTTCTTTCCTTCACCCCACTTTTGATTCGATCACTGTTTCATCGGAATCATGAAATAGTGAGGGAAATAAGCTATGGCATTCCGGCGTAGAACACAACAAAGTAAGTGGTTTCCAACAACAAAAAGAAAACCCGATGGATATCATCGTCCGACAGAGAACGATCCGGGGTAGTTTGGTGCGGCTTCTGGTATGGAAAGCAACAACCTCGGATTATATCGGTGAAATGACATCGGCGAGATAGCATCGGCGAGATACGAGTCGGACACAGCACTATAGCCTCTCTCGTGCTCGGGGCGCTGCAGGCACAACCCGCAGAGGCTACCTTCCGGCATGGACCTATCGTTGATGCAGTAAATAATATTAAAAAACACTTAATCCATTGTAATGGTATTGTTGCTGTGATGACTATACTTTCCGCGCCTTCTCGATCTGTGTCATGACTGCCTGTTTCGAGACCTGGTTTTCGTTTTTGATGTGGTGCTTGAGTAGGTCCCGCAGGACGCGGTGGGCGACAGCTTCTTCGGTGAATTTCGCCGTGGATCCTTCCTCGTTCACGTAGACGTTCTTTTGGGATTCGTGTACGCACTCCTCCACCTTTTTCTTGTAGGCCTGTGGGTCCGATTCGGCCAGCTCCTTGGCAGCGGTGTTGGCCCGTGCGTCGGCAAAGTTCTTGGCGTAAAAGATTTTCTTAAGGTAGGTCAGGACGGTCACCAGGTAGTGCCGGGAGGGATCCCACGTCGGATACGCGCTCTGGACGTCGAGCTCTCCCGTGGCTTCGTTCACGTACGGATTAAAGACGTGACTCGAAAAGGTGATTCTCGGCCACATGTTCGTGTCGTTGTACTTGGCCGGCAGGTTCAGCCGGAACTTGAAAATCCCGTTGGTGAAGGGCCCCCGCCGGACAAAGATGATTCCGTGGAAATCCCGCAGGGAATTCATCGAGGGGATCAGGTACACCCCCCCCGGTGCATGGGATTTCAGGTGCTTGTATTCGATCGTGACCTTGTAGTCGCGGAGGGCTTGCTCGCGTTCTTCCTGGAGGGACAGTAGGGTAAAACGGGAGGGAAAGGAATGAGAGACGCGTTCGTGGGCGCCGCGGCGGAAACCGGGATGGTGCCGGTTGGTGCGGGGACGAAAAATATCGTTTCGGTTGCTGCGTTCGGATTCGCGGCCGGCTACGGTTGCGTAGATGTTCTTGTTCGTGTTGTTCTTGCCGTTGCTTTCGCTGCCCCCGTCCCCGGCGACGCGATGGTACCGCCTGGGCGAGAAACAGTCGTGCAGGATTCGCTCTACGAACTGGTGGCTGGAATTGCCGCTGGGAGCACCCAGGTCAAAGGACAGTGCCCTTCGAACCGACTTGATCCGGTTTCGATCGTTCCGCTTCTCGCGATTTGGACTGGGACGATTCATCGCATTTTCTTTATATCGGGGCGCCTCGATCGCTCCGCCGCAACCCCACAGAATTCAAACGGATCAAGAATTCTTTCCGGTGTCGACCATCGGTTCTCTCCGGTTGGCAATTTGTAACGAGGCAGGCATGTTGCCGTCGTTGGCGTTCGTCTTGTCGCAGAATCCCGCTGTTCGCAGGGTCACGGCGTTTCATAAGACCCGCCCACCCTGTCTCTGTATTGTTGTGCTGCACAATACCGTCGTGCCCATCGTTCTCGTTGCGGATTCAGCAACAGCTTCTCCCCGACAAACACTCCGTCCATTCTAAAAAAAGTGCACACAACGAGACTGACACAGACTCACCTCGGAAGCAATCGGAGAAATTGGTATTCTTGTCGGTGTTTTTGATGGCGTTGACATTGTGTTGGATCGTAGCGTTTCTTCTTTGATACTTCGATAGAGCGGCTTCGAATGCCGTCGCTAGTTGGGGGGAAGATTAGAATAGTTCCTCCTAGAGGATGATGGACATTTTCATGACATGACAGTAGCATACATACCCTTCCTCCATGGTCGTAGCGTACGGTACGGCATCTCATTTGAAAAAAATTCGTTGCCGTTTGCAACGTTCGCAACAATGTTCCGAGTTTTTCAAAAGGGGGGAAGAACAATAAGAAGAGGGGCGACAAACGAGCGCGAGCATGCCTGCAGGAGCAACATCGAACGCACTCTTGATTTCCTGGGACCATGCAGGCCTGCCAAATACGTACTGTACGTACCAATACTCGCATTGGTACTACGGTACGTACAAACTCTTTCTGGATATTCTCGAAAGGGGGGAAGGGCGCCATATCATTTTTCGTCAATGACTCTACTCGTGCGTCCTACTCCAGATTACTATGGCACGCTATGCTGGCTCAGCGTTCCTCGTGTACTATAATCCCGGTAGGATTCTGGACACGACTGGTGCGCGCTATTTTTGTTGCGCATGGTTTTGTACGGTAGGAACGAATTCGTACCGTTGGCCCCAACGCAACGCCGCTGGAAGGAGTTGTTCAGTTCGTGCAGAGTTCCTCGACGGTCTTTTTTGGGCTGATGAAAAAAAGCAGCTTTGCTTTGCTAGGACGAGCGTTTGACGGTGGGAAATGCGACGTTCGTTTCTCCACGACGCACGGCTTTTTTGTACCGTAAACCTACGCTGCGTACGGGTACGCTACAGAAGAGCACTTCGGTTGAGAAGGAAAAACAACGATTCTAGACGGGACCTCCTCATCAGTCCGGAAGAATCAAGACAAGCCGCACCCAGCGACTGCTTCAACCTCTCTACAAGTATCACCCACAGTTGATCGACTCCGTTCATCGCCAGCGTTTTCTCGATCGTTGCTGCCAGCAGATACCAAATCACGAACCATAGATAGACTAGAACAACACACCCCAGTTACCAACAGATCGTGCCTCAAAAAATGTCGTCGCAAGCCCCGAGTGTTGCCCAGGAAGTCTCGGCGAGTCTTTCGGACGGTCCCAGCACCGAGACACGGAATGCAGAAATATGGTCGACGCGGCTACAGCGCGAGCTTCTAGCGTTGACCACGGACAATGCCTCGGAGGAGGCCAAGACGGAAATGACCGCCGTCTTGCCGCCCTTTTGCTCAATAAAGGAGCACGCTTTGGACATCGAAGCCGGAAACTGCACCGTCACGTGTCTCCTGGACCTTCCCAAGGCGGCGAGCACCGACGGGGACAAGGCGGAAGGATCCGAAACAACAACTGAGGAAACTGACAAGGCAGACGCTCCCATCGTTGTCACCTTTGACGTGTCGCTGCAAAAGAAAGCCGACGGATCCGTGGACACCTCGGCCGTTTCCTATCCCTTTCTGAAGCCGCTCGCCTGCCTCGCCAGCGGTTGCGGAAACTTCCCGGAGGGATCGACGATCCGTGACGGAGACGCGATCGACATTGAAATGGACTGGACGCCCAGCCTGCACCTGTCGGACGCAATCCTGAATGTTTCTCTCAAGATCAAAGAGTGCTTGTCCCAGGGCGAAGCCTTTCACGCGGCAGAGGTCTCTTCGAAGGCCTCCAAGGCCGAGCAGGCCGTCAACGAAGCCGTCAACAAGGCCAAGACGCTCGGGGCCAACCTCGGTGCGAGCCTACGAAACCTGGCGCACAACGCCACCACCGACAAGGACGGCGAGAAGAAGAAGATCCGGCTCCCGATGGGACGAAAGAAAAAACAGCGCCCCAAGGCTACGGCCAAAGAGATCCGAATCGGAGACGAGATCAACATGCTCGAGGCCCCCTGGGTGGACTGTCAGGGCGTGTACTCCTGCAAGGCCATTCGCCGGCCCAAGTTTGCGGAGGAAGCCATTGCCCTGGCGGACTCCAAAGACAAGATAACGAAGGAAGAGGAAACCGAACAGGTGAGAAGACGAACCGCGTCCTTGCTGGACCAAGACAGCGATCAGGGCCCAGTCCCGGATGCCTTTGGAGATTACATGCGGCAACAGGCCGGTGGCGTCACCCAGGTGTGTCGTGGAATCGAATCGAATTGAATTGAATCGATTATCTTGTCGTTGTTGTGAGGCATTGGTTTCTTTGGATGCTCTGCAGTCTTGATCTCTAACTTTTGTTTTCCCACTGGATAAATAAATTCATTTGTTTGCGTTCTCCAATATCCACAGGTTGCAAGTGCGGGCTTTGCCGGCGCTGGACTCATGCTTCAAAAATTCACCAACTCTACCCGTGGACTCCTGGAAGAGTCGTTCTTAATGATCACCGAATCCCACATTATCGAAATGAGATCGAACAAATTGAACCTGAGCACCGGTACCGTATCCTTTGCCATTCCCATCGACATGATGGCCAAGCTCAAATTCCGGCGACAGGAATCCATTTCCTTGTTCTTCAAACCCGCTCCTGAGGATCCTCTCATCTACATGTGTCCAGACAGCGCGGATTGTGTCCACCAAATCCAGACCGTTTTGAAACGACACGGTGTCAAGGGAAAGCACACCAATGCGGCTACCCACCGCGCCATCAACGAGGCGCTTCAGTTGGTTCAGGAGATCCAAACCAAGGAGCTTGCACTGAAGCACGATCCCAACATCGAGCGGGTGAACCAAATCATGGATCTATACCGACAGGCCGCGGAACGCTTCGAGGTGGCCGGTGATGTTCGACACGAAGAAGTCGTGACCCACATGCGCAAGTTCTTGGCGTTGCCCCTCACCGTCAGTGTCTTGGATGGAAGCTACGTCACACCCACGCGCAATGCCGACAACGAACCCATTCCGTCCCCGGTGACCAAGGGAGGCGCGTACGACTCCAACATGGACTCGCTCCTTTCCAAAGCCGAGACCGACCTGTCTAACATGAAGGGTAACGACGACAAGGAACTGGACGATCTCTTTGCCGACGGGACGGACGATGCTCTCGGAAGCACCGCGGATACCATTGCCGAGTTCGAAAACATGCTCAAGGAGGCCGACAAGGAATTGGCCGAGCTGATGGCATCATAATACCACTGCAGGCATACCACCCACCACCAAATGGATGCCATATGCAATCCCCGGTACGGTGGTCGAGAAGGATCGTTGGATCAAGCACCCGTGGACCCTTGTTTCCGAGACAACGAAAGTGAAAACACTCTAAAATCCAAATCTGAGATGCAACTCTACCCTAGTGCCAAACACAAAAACAATAACATCTGTGTTAGAAGTTATTGGTTTGTTTGTTCGAAAGCTCTTTCTGTTGTAGCTTGCTATTCTAATAATAGTGGCACTAGCTCATACATTAAACATGCATTTAAAACATATTTTTTCTTAATGATCTAGTCACTACATTACGGAACACCGATCCACAAGGTATCACTGCATGCGTTTCCTTCCTCTCCATTGCCATGGCTAGAGCACGGCCCTGGTCCTTTTCGCACTTTAGGTTTAACGAGAGGGGAGATTGATTCCCACACTGCACCATGCTTGTTTGGTAAAATGCACCACCTGGTTATCACGGTGCGGAATCATTGGGAAAGCTTCTTCTTTTGTGACAGAAATGCTTGCCGAGAATGGATCTTGAACCTTCTTTGCCCCGTGCATTACTTTCCACAAGAAAATCGTATCAATCCCACCGCACAAACCACTCGAGGAGTTCGAGCGCCGCGTGGCATCCCGACAGCCAAGCCGGTTGATGAATTTTGTTTGGAATAGCAGTATGACAAAACCTACTACTCCTCGGTTGTCGATCTCAAATAAACGCTTGTCTGGAGTTGCAGGGACTGCGTTTTATTGTATTTTACCCAATAGATCTAATGTTGTACTTCTCGTTGTCTCTTTTGTGGCATTGTCTTTAAGAGTTCCGACGTCTATTGGTTCAGGGCACCACGTACGATACTGGTAAACTCTATTTGCGCTGCATCCCCACTATGTGCTCTCCACCATAAAATTGCTTTAATTCAAGCGCCAAGTGGTACGGCATTCGATTTGTGTTTTTCTTGGTTTATTTTATCAAAACTAGTTAGGAATGGGCATAGGTTGTGTTACCAATCGGCAGTCAAACGTCTGACCGTACCGTTGATATCTGTTCAACATTTGCAAGGTGTTGAGGCGGTTGATCTGCTGTGTTGTGTTGGTTCCAAAAAATTCTGCCCTTCTCCTTCTCGTGATTGGTTGGTTCTCAGATTCACTCGAAAAGGCACAGAACAACCACCGCCGATAATAAGGGATAGGTTTCTCTCGACTGATTTTTATCGAGTGCTTCTGAACGAATCCCAGAACCAAACAGCCATTTTACAAAATATACCTCGAAACGTCCATCTTTTTCGTCACGCTCTGCATGCGTTCCTCGACCGTTTCCTTCGTAACCGTTACGGTGGATCCCTCCTCCATTTCCGCGGAATCAAAGCTGATGGATTCCATGATGCGTTCCAGGACCGTGTGGAGACGGCGGGCACCAATGTTTTCAACGGTCTTGTTCAGCATGGCGGCCATGCGCGCGATTTCCCGGAGGGCCTCGTCCTCAAAAACCAGGTTCACGCCCTCCGCACCGATGAGCTCGACCTGCTGGCGGACTAGGTTGGCGACGGGTTCGGTCAGGATCTTGTAGAGGTCGTCCTCGGTCAGACCGGAGAGCTCGACGCGGATCGGCAAGCGGCCCTGCAGCTCGGGCAGGAGGTCGCTCACCTTGACGGCGTGAAAGGCCCCGCTGGCGATAAAGAGGATGTAGTCCGTGTTGACGTTGCCGTGTTTGGTGTTGATGGTGGTCCCCTCGATCAGTGGTAACAGGTCTCGCTGGACGCCCTCGGCACTGGCGTCCGCGGATCGGCCGCTAATCCCCTCCTTTGGAGAGCAAATCTTGTCGATCTCGTCGATAAAGACAACGCCGCTTTCTTCTACGGCCTGGATGGCACTTTTTTTCAGGTCCACGTTTTCCAACAATCGTTCCAGTTCCACCTCCAGTATGATCCCCCTGGCTTCCGAAATGGGCAGCTTCTTTCGTTCCGTCGGTGCTTTCTTACCTCCTCCAGCCAATCGTTGCACCAGATCACTGACGGCAACGATCTGCGGATTGGTCTGGTCGATTTCGGTATGGTTCTGTTTCGGGCTCGGCACATCGATCTCGATTTCTTGGTCGTCGAGGAGTCCCTGGCGGAGCATGTCCCGGAAGGATTCCCTCCCCCGGGTGGCGGTCTCCGAAGAGGGTCCGGCCAGAATGTCGAGGATGCGTTCCTCCGCGAGGGTTTCGGCCTGCTCCTTGAAGGTTTCGGTGTGCTGTTTCTTTGCTAATTGCATCGCCACATCCATCAGGTCTCGAATGATCTGATCGACATCTCTGCCGTGATATCCCACCTCCGTAAATTTGGTGGCTTCCACCTTGAGAAAGGGTGCGTCGTTGATCATGGCCATGCGTCGGGCTACTTCCGTCTTACCACAACTGTTGGCATTGTAAAAAGGTGGGTGTACGGTGAATTGTGTGATAGCAATGAAGAAGGGGGGCGAAAAAGAAGGTTGATGATAATCGGGTGAGTTCGTTTCTTTCCGACAAATGAGAAGAGTAACACAAGTTTGACAATTCCAGAGCACAGCACAAACAAAAATACCATGATCACAAAGATACAAAAACGACCGCTTACCCAGTTGGCCCCACCAACAAGACGTTGCGGGGCGTCACTTCCTTGCGCAGATCTTCTGGGAGCTGCCGGCGACGCCAGCGATTTCGCATCGCAATTGCAACGGATTTCTTGGCCTCGGGCTGCCCCACGATGTGCCGGTCAAGGGCTTCCACAATCTCCGAGGGTTTGAGATTCTTGTTCAGCTCGCTGCTGGGAACGTTGCTGGCACCAGTAGCCGTCTCGTCTGCCTCGATCGGCGAGGGCTCGTCGTTGCTTTCGTTGTGAGGTTCCTCGTCTCCGGCATCATCCGTGGGGAGGGTCGAAAACCCTCGGGTTGCCACAAGAGCAGCTTTGGATTGGAAGCCAAGGCTTCGTGACGGGCAGCGAGCAGCAGTTGACGCGGTTGTTGCAGAGGAAACAGTAACTCCTACATTTGTAGTTGCATTTGCGGTTGCCATCGCGGCCCTTCGGACCAAGTGCCGTGTAGTAGCTAGCATCATAGTTTCGAAACGAATACAGATGCGATGTATTAGAGTTGTTCGCCTTCTTGGTCTCTGGCTATATGTTTTTTAGTTGCTGGCTTTACGTTGCAAACAGCGAACAACACTCAATTGTATATTGGTAGTTGTTGTAGAGGTGAAGTATGGTAATAAGAAGAACCCAACAAGAAGAGGTGAACTGTTGGTTTGTAGTGATCAGTTTGGCGGGGTCAATGCTACCGTATCATAATCATTTGCAGCGTCGTTCCTCTTGTTTTGTCTTCGACGATGAGTTGTCACTTGTCACAAATAATCATCTCGTCGCCCTTCCATAGTTCTTTTTCGACCAACTTCGTTTGACATCCCGCGCAGTTTCTGCTGTAAAAGTACGAGTACCCGTAGGCGACGGTACAGATAATTCGGTATGATCGCACCGTAGGATACATTCCGTTTAGTGCGAGCAATACGTACGTACGTATGTACGTATCACTAGGGAATTACATACCTCTAATACGCAACGACAAGCGTACGGTTGAAACGTTATGTCAGATCCGGATTTCAAGAAGATCTCCTCATGTCTTCCATGACCATCAATATTAGATTCTATTTAGAGTTCGGGTTATAAAATCGCTTGTTTCCTATCCGACAGAAGTACCGGCAGTATTTTTGAAAACTCTAACCCCAATGTATATTCTTCCTGAATCTGATGAGGAGTGATGGCCGGCGCAAGCCATCGGATAGTGTCTCAGAATTGTTGTGTACTTAATTGAAAGAAGTTCTTAGCAATTGTCATTATATATGGTAATTTTTCTCTATTATTTGTTAGCCATCCATGATGATTTTTGTTTTTAACCATTTACTTAGATCGGTGATGGAGTGGATGGATACAAAAATCGGACCTTAGTGCGGTCAGACACTTAATTGTTTTTTCCGTTCAAACCCGAAAATCATTCCCTACCGGTAATTTTTGGTTGTCACCGTTATTTTTTGGCAGAAGGGATGTCTTGATGCACAAAAATCCGAAGCACGATGGATCACAAAAAGCCGAAATGAATATTGCCGAACCACATGTTTCTTCTTTCACCGTTTCGACCTCATTATTGCGGTTAGATCACATACCTGCCCACAACCCACATCCATTGGTTGGAACCGGTCGAAAAAGGTAATTATCGCTAATGGAAGTACAGCATCGATGGAGCGCTCCAACGAAAACATGAACAATGACCAATCTCGCCCCATGGAAGGTGCTGCTCGTGCACCGAGACCGATTATGAAACGAAAGTCGAGGACGGTCCGTATTTCGACAGTGGAAATGGCCCGTCAATCGTCAATCGTCAGTGATCTCTCATCCTCGACATCCGACTCCAAGTATTCCCAGAATTCCTTCTTCATGGACACATCCAACAGCGAAGACAAGGAATTGAAACCGGCACGCGCGACAACGACGGAGGAGAACCCGCGTTCCCTGAAGGAAGTATTTGATCGAATGAACTGTCTAGCGTTGCAAGATTCTACCTTGATCGAGAAGCAGGCGCTGAAGATGTCGTGCGTTGACGAAAAAGATGCGGATGCCCCAAGAGAGCTTTCGACCCCGGGAGAAGTAATTGTTCTAGGAAGCCGCCAAAACGTGTATCCGATCGTGACGAATCTTGGTGGACGAGTGAAACCGCACATCGTTCCCACTGCCACCAAGCAAGAAGCTTCACGCGCCGGTTCGTATCAGACACTATTCGTATCTTACGATAGTGGCTTTTCCAATTCGGATGCGGCAGCTACCAACGCACCAAAACGCATTCGAATCGTCGATTTCTTCAAGTGTGGTCAACCTCGCTTTGATTCGGCTGCAAAATCGACTGACGGTTACAGAGGTCCCTTCAGCTATCTGGTTCCCATCATATCTCCAAGCAAAGTCGTTGCGTCAACTTCACCGAGGTTTTTGTCCGTGTCCATGAGCATGGATGAATTGTCGTGTTCGATGAATTCCATCGCTGTTGAAGGGGAGGGGAAAATGCCAGAGAAGGGGCTCGGCAAAACCAAAATGAAACAGGGAATGTTTCAGGTTCCAACAGCAAAAGAATCGATGTTCACGAAGGAAACAACTATTGAAGACATGCCGTTTGACCTTCAATCGTCAACGGCATCGACACCAAAACAAGGAAACAAAGGCAAGGCACGGAATGATTCAGAAAAACAGGATATTGTCGGAGAAGAAGATGGAGTTCTTGAAAATTCTGCTCCAATCGCAGCGTCATCGCTGGCACTGCAAAGTGTCCAAAGCGATGATTTCATTGGAGCAAATATTGAGGCAATCGAAGTTAACGAGACCGGCACCATTGTAAACGAAGATATAAACACCTGTGAAACGCCAGCCGAAGGTCATTCTCCGCAACTTCCCTTTAAAAATGTTTACCTCTCCCATAAAATCGACGCAGGGCAATCTGAAGTCCAAGATGAGACAAGCTTATCTTCGCCAATGAAGGATTCTTACGAGGAGAACGCCAAGACTGTTTCTAAACACTTTTCGCTACTGACATCTTTCTCGACCCCTAAACTTAAGAGAAGACTAAGAGCTTTGGCTGGTTCTAGGGACAAGAAAGAGAATGGATTTGTTTCGAAGAAACCTAAAGCCACTGACTGCGACTCACCCGGGGCTAATACTACTGCTACGATTCTGATGGACGGTTCATCCTTTGGAGAGGAGGACTTTTCGAATTCAAATGGAAACCAACCGTTCCAGCTTCGTCCCAGACCCGGAGGAGAGCAGCAATCATGCTTTCGCCTATTCTGACCGTCAGAGCCAAGATCACAATGACCTCACTACCCAGTTTTCGCAGATGTTCAGACGAATTAATGTTCTTTTCTCTGGCCTCAGCAACTATTATTTGTGTAGTTCTGGGGCAGTTTCATTCATCAAATCATAGCCATCTAATTATATGTAATATTTTTAGTACGAGTACACTATTGCCAAGTACATATTGTATTGTCCAATTGTCATCAGCTTGTCTTAACTTTTAGTAGTACAGTTGTACCGTTACAGAGAAGATTTTGATAATCATGGAAGTCGAAACATTAAAGAAGACAAAAATAGTTTTGACTGTAATTGTTTCTCAAAGAGGAAGGGGGGTCTGGGGGGTGGATTTTCAAGAAACTTTCCAATTGGATGTTTTGAGTCCTAGAGCTGGTAGGGTTTTGAACAAAGAAACAGTGTGAAACAATTAAGTGAAGGGAATGAGATGCCAAGTTAAATGATACTCAGCAGAAAACTAGTTGCTGGTGGCATGCCACTAACTGATACCGAAGTACTTAAATACAGTACTGACACCTTCGACTTCCACTGCCATCGAAGCAGGCCAAGTGACAAGTGACGAAATACATACAAACATCGATGCATAGGTACGATGAGTACGAGAACAGAATTGTACACGTACCATTTTTGATATGCGTGTTTCTGCGCTTACGGTTCTCGTTCTGAAAAAAATCTCGGTGGTGCCTCACAGTGGTAAGAGAGATAGATTATTGCGCGGTTTCTGAGGAGGCAGGTTTTCGTTGCGAAAGCACGCCTCTCTCCCGCCATTCACATTTATGATATTTAGCATTTAAATAAGATATATTACTGTTTAACAAAATCTGCTTTCTGCTTCTTCCGATACTTACGAGCTGGACGAGACAGGAAAAGCAATACCGCGTTTTTTTAATTTTCTCTTGTTCTGATGTTAATGGACATCACAACGTACCCCGTACTCCCATACTGAAAGCACTTTCGAAATGCCTTCGACACCAATCATAAGTTGTTCGACTGACAAAGCAGAATTGGATCGGCACTCGCGGAATTCATACCACATATCTGCGCAACCAATATCGTAATAAGATGGCTACCTCGGAAGTAAAATCAAAGCAAATGAAAAGCCTTGTCGGCGGCGTGTTGAAACGTATCGTTGGGAAAATGGCAAAGGAAAAGAGAAGTCGGAAGGTCATCGACGTGTCAAATTCGTTAAGCACAACTCTGTCAAAAAGAATTGTGGACTGCGGACAAGATTTAGACTTGACGCTGGTGAATACCGAGCCAGAAGTCCTCAGGGTTTCACCGATGGACACATCTTGTGAGGTCACACTGATATCCTTTTCCGACGACGAGCCAGAGACGTGCTACAAGATCTCTGTTAACCACGCAATAGACCAGAAGCACGAGGAAAGCTATCATATTGTTGTGAATCACAGTCGTACCGCGAAAAACTTTGACGACGATCATCATTCTGTTGGTGAAACGAACGATGTTGCTCAGGAACTGACGAACAAGAGTGCTACTCAAGATATGAATGAAGCGTTACCTTCCTCTCACTTGGAACATGAGATGCGCAAAAATATTTGTACGGAAAATCGCGATAGCGAGAAGAATTGTGTGATCCCTGAATGTGTTGATAGCAGCGACTACGAATGTCGACGTCCTAGACAAGATTTCTTTGTAAAGAAGGATTCGATTTTTTATGAATCGCTATTTGTCGCAAGTGATTCAGAAGACGACGACGATGAGGAGGAGAACCTCTTATTCCGTAGAAACAACAACCAATGGTTCATCGACGGAATGGAAAATAACTTTCCACCCAAGCAAAATACATCGAAACCTGACGCATCTGACAAACCCTGCAGACTACTCAACATAACACTTGACACTGCGGTAGATGATTTGAGTTTCATAGATGACGAGTACTCGATGTAAAGTTTTGCAAAAGCACTTTGCATTCAATGCTTTTTTTCATAGACTGTTCCGACGTATATTGCTTTGCATGTCTACAAGAATATGGGGCAAACGTGTCAATCATCAAAGATACGTCGCAACCTTTGTTCCGATCAAGGAGCAAATTAGACCATGCATTTCACCTTTTGAAGTGCACTACATATCATAGGACAATAATACATAAATTTTAAATTAAAATATGCTACACCATATTCAGCTAGGTTCCAATTTTTACTTCCAGTTTGAGATTGTACCAGTTGCATGGAGCATAAATATATTCAAGAATCTCTTCGCGTTGAAGCCTTTGAATCGGCCATAGTGATCGTAGTCCTTTGGCAGGAACAAAGCGTCATCGAAAGAAGTAGTGGGGGTCCCATCAAGCATTTTTGATGAATTATGAATTATCTCTCTTCAGGTTCTGTTTAAACACGTCCAGTTGCAAAAGACTCCCGAATAGCTCGTGAAAAATCAAAAAATCTCACTCTGTTAAAAACACCTTGTTCATATGCTATATAAATATGATAGATATGACACTACACGTACGATTGAACCGGTACATTTTCGTGTTCGGCGTAGTTATGTGTTTTCGGTCGTCTGCTTGTTGTCCGTGTGATACGGTCTGGCATTCGATCGTGTGATTACCTTTCCCCCCACCAACAAAATCCTTCTATCCATGCACGGGTGATGCCCCATCAAAAACTGACAATTTGTTGATTGTTGATTGGCGTCCATGAAAGATGCATGTGGACCGTAACCGATCAAAGATTGATAACGCCAAACAAAAGCATCTTCTGTAGAAGAACACCTGCACGAAAGAAATCATTAACCATATCCAATCCGAGTGCCGGTATTCAAGAACAAAGTTGACCCCAACAGGAGAGAAACATTACGCATAACGCAGAGAATTCAAGTTGTTGAAAACTCGAAAAGCGAAGCTAGTAACATCACAAATAATTGGAACGATGGCTGACTCCAAGACTCTTTTCATCTTATCGGAGAGTGCGGCGGGTTACGCACTCTTCGAAGTAGTTGCTTTTGAAGAAATTGGTAGCTTGCTCGAAGGGAGCATGGATACCGTTACCGATATCAAACGGTTCGGTCGAGCACTAAAGCTCAAGGCCTTCCTGCCATTCGAAACGGCGCAACAGGCACTTGAAAACGCCAACGCCATTTCGGAACACGCCATGACGGAGGCACTCAATGATTTTTTGGAAATGAATCTCCCCAAAAAATCTAAGAAATATTCTTTGGGAGTCATTGACCCCGCCCTCGCCACCGCCATCTCGGAAGGACTGGGAGGGATTTCTTGCCGCAGTGATGATACAGTGCGTGAAATCTTGAGAGGATGCCGCATGCACCTGAATACGTTCGTCAAGGGATTGGAAGGCGGAGCCGCCGAAAAAGCACAGCTCGGTTTGGGTCACTCGTACTCCCGTTCCAAGGTCAAATTCAATCCTGCCCGTTCCGATAACATGATCATCCAGTCTATTGCTCTGTTGGATCAAATGGATAAGGATCTGAACACATTTGCTATGAGAGTCCGTGAGTGGTATTCTTGGCACTTCCCCGAGCTCAAAGAAGTCGTCAAAGACAATATCATGTTCGCTCGAGCGGCTGCCTATATCCAGGACAAGTCGACCATTTGTGGTGGAAAATCTGACGAAAGCGAAAAGGAAGACAAGATGCCCGGTCTGATCGAAATTTTGGGCGACGAAGACACAGCAAAGGCTGTCCAGGCGGCCGCTAAAACCAGCATGGGAATGGAATGTTCGGCCATCGATATGGTAAACATTATTAATTTCACCCAGCGAATGGTAAAGCTGGCAGAATTCCGAAAGAATCTCTCCAATTACCTTACAGAAAAGATGGGCATTGTTGCACCAAACCTCAGTGCGCTGATCGGAGACACCGTCGCAGCACGACTAATTAGCAAGGTGAGTAGTCTTTGGCCTTCAGATCAAAGAATGCCGCGGTGATGATGTTTTTTGTCACCACCAAACACCAACGCATTATTTCTCATCGCATGTTCTGTTGTCTCGTCTTGATGAATCTTGTAGGCCGGTTCGCTGACGAATCTGGCCAAGGCCCCTGCTTCGACGGTGCAAATCCTGGGTGCCGAAAAGGCTCTCTTCCGGGCTCTCAAGACCAAGGGAAACACCCCGAAATACGGCCTGATCTATCACTCCACGTTCATTGGCCGTGCCGACGCCAAAAACAAGGGACGGATATCCCGGTACCTGGCCAACAAGTGCTCCATCGCCACGCGCATCGATTCCTTTTCGGACGAGCCCAACCGCCTCTACGGTGAAAAGCTGCGGGACCAGGTGGAGGAGCGCCTCAAATTCTACGAGACGGGCGCCGCACCCCGCCGCAACATCGATGTTATGCAGGAGGTGGCCAAGCAGCTAAAGGTAGACGGCGACAGCGACGAAGAGATGGAAGAGGTCAAGACCCCCAGCAAGAAGGACAAGAAAAAGAAGGGCAAGAAACGCAAATCTATGGATGGCGACAGCGACGAAGAAATGGTGACGCCGAAAAAGTCGGAGAAGAAAGCAAAGAAAGAGAAAAAATCCGCCAAGAAGGAAAAGAAATCGGAGAAGAAGAAACGAAAGAGCATGAGCTAAACCGACGGAGCGGTTATCAAGGGATTTGGCATACTATCATTATTTTATCACTACTACAATTCAACAGCACACAATTATTTTATCATTTCATTAATCACAAAAGCATACATTATTATTTACACCTCGAACGGCTTGGTATGCCTTTCTAATAGCAAATCCCTTTATCGTCTGGCTATGCTTCGACCCCGCTCGTTTCGTCCCCCCTTCCGTGCCGCAGCGTCGTGGCCTTGGTGAGCGCCACCAGGATTGCCACGACGATCGAGTGCAAGACGATCAGCCAGGGGCACTTGTTGTAGAGGAGCGCCGACGCCAGGTAGCCCCCGAGGACAAAGAGGACGGACCGGCCCATGGTGAGCAGCACCGGCCCGAGGGACAAGACCGGGGCGTTGTAGATCCATTCGAGGACCAGCCCGGTGTAGGGGTCCACCACCAGGTTTGGGATCCTCGTTTCGATGCCCCCCGTGACGGCCCCGATCGTCGACGGGGACCCGGTGTTGTTCTGGTGCGCCAGCATCGGGTGGACCGACACGACCCCGAGGTCCGGCATTCCCCAGGCGACGACGTCGACGTGCCCCGAGGCCCTGGAGCAGCCCTTCAGGAGCTTGCCCGCGCCCCGCTTGGAGAGGACGAAGGCGTGGGCCCCCAGCGGCCGCCGCGGGACGTGGCAGTGCGGGGCCCCCTCCAGGGTCCGCCTCGGGACCCGGCCGCCCCCGGCAAAGAACGCGGCGATCCGGTTGAGGCCGTGCCTCCCTTCCGGATGGACGCATCCCAGGGCCCCGAGAAAGACCACGTCCCAGTTCCCGTCCCTGGTCTCCTCGCAGGCCTCGTCGATTTCCCGGACGACGGTTCGGACCTTTTCGAGAAAGCCGGGGGCCACGACGACGTCGTCCTCGAGGACGACCCGGTAGGGCTCGGGGCCGTCCTCGGTCTCCTGCCAGACTTTCCGGTGGGACAGAAAACAGCCGATCGTTCCGGGCGTGCAGACGGTCCGGGCCACCCTCGTCGTGTTGGCCCGGAGGTCGCCGGGCGAGAGGTCCCTCCCGCTGACGGCCGACACACGGCGGATGCGCTTCCTCGGAACCCCCTTGGCCACCAGCTCGGTGACCACCGTCTCCCAGCGCTCGGTGTCCCGGTCGAGGTTGATGACGTGCAAGGTCAGGGGGAGCGATCGTCGCCACAACCGCCGCTGGGGCGGCGTCTGCGAATGGGATGTCGGCCTGGTGGTCCGTTCCAGGCTGGAGGAAGCGGACCAAGGATTTGCTTCCGAAAAAGACAACAGCGTCAGCACTAGCAGGAGCGACGGAAAGAGAGCAAGACCGGACGACAATCTCGGGAGGTTCTCACGTCGATGGTGCGCGTGTAATACCAGTGTCCTCATGGGTCCCGTTGTGTTGTTTTCGAGGAAAATGGATGGATTGATACTCTGGCTAGATAGATGAGAAATTCGGTGGATCTTTCCTGGTTTGCTTCGAAGCACTCTACTACAGTTGCAGCGAATGAAAATATACGGGCTATAATTGTCAAATGCTCGAGATCAGAGGAAAATCGCATGTGTTAGTTGTATTGCATTGGTCGTGCTGGTTTCACAGCTCCCTCGGCGATATCTTGTCATCAGTCATTCAACAATCCACATCGCGTCACGTATCTGTGAAAGATGTCAAGTTTTTTTTCCGCGAAAGAAATCTAGAGGAAGTCCTTTTTCCATACCGTACGGTTTGGTACAGTACGAGCTCGTACTGTCCAGGTACGCTATCTCTCTAGTACCCTTGCACAATCGCATGTTCCACTTCTACCGTTTCACGTACAGTATTAGTTTCTTCCATCCCGGCTCACCCAACAATAAAAGTACAGAAGTAGTGCTTTTGGATTTCAGGTGAAGCAATTCGTTCCGGCATCGTCGATGACAGAAATCACTTCACGGTGAAACACGACGCCGGTATCAACATTACCAATCACCAAACCCACAATGGTTCCAAACACAACCCAAGTCTAAATTTGTATCAAACATCAAACTGCTTCCGAAGCCACCCACTCCGGCAACAAAGCGCCGTACCAAACAACAAACCGTCGCCAGCGTTCGCCGACAATGTCCTTCGACAAGCTCGAGTCCTCCGTTGTCTACGAATGCGGGATCAGCCACCGGATCAACGCCCGGAGCGTGTCGTGGAATTCCAGCGGGACCACCCTCGCGATGGCGGGCTCCGACCGCGTGACGCGACTCTATAGCACGTCGGACCTGATCTCGTCGGTTCAAGCCTCGGGTTCGGGCGGTGGGAACCAGAATTCAAGCGGCTCGGGCTCGAACCCCGTCCGGGAACTCGGCACCATCACTGGCCACTCCGGGGTGGTCGATCGGCTCCGCTTCCACTCGACGCAGGACTCGCTGCTGGCCACGGTTTCCGTAGCGGACTCGACCGTTCGGTTGTGGGACCTCCGGTCGTCCACCTCGGCCAGGGCCGTGGGGACCATCGACTTGGTGGGGGGCAAGGCCGGCAACAACGGATCCACCACGGATATTTCGTGGTCTCCCTCCACCAAGGCAAACCTGCTCGCCGTGACAGAGAAAAACGGGAACGCCCACGTGGTGGACACCCGGAAACTCGGCGCGGGCGGGTCGACCAAGACACCCAGCACCCCCGGCAAGCGGACCGCGGGCTCGGCCTTTGTCAAGACATTTTGCCTGCGGCCCAAGATCGTGGACGCCTGCCTGTTTTCGCCCTCGGGCGACCACCTGGTGGCGGCGACCTCCGAGAACGGATACGGGGAGCTGACGGTCTGGAACTGGGAAAAGAACGGAAGCGATGCCGAAAACAGCCACCCGAACAAGAGCAGCAGCAGCAACCAGAACTACGTGTACCCCGCCCACACCGGTCCCGTCTATTCGGTCTGCTTTTCCCCCGACGGCCGACGCCTGGCCACGGGGGGAGGGGACGCGCTGGTGGGCCTCTGGGACGTGCGGTCGATGGTGTGCGAACGAACGGTTCCCCGGTGCGGCCGCTTCGTCCGGAGCGTGGCGGTCTCCTTCGATTCGAGCGTCGTCGCCATTGGCACGGAGGAGCCCTGGATCGACCTCGCGGACTCCTCCACGGGCGACGCCCTTGGCAAGGTCCGGTTCGGGGGCGGCGACGCCTCCGGCGGGGCCAACCGGAGGAGGGCCCCGGACGCGGAGGCGGGTGCGGACGAGATCGCCTTTCACCCGAAGGCCCACCTGCTGGCCTGCGCCCGGTGCGATTCGGGGGGCTGCTCCCCGCTGACCCTCGCGAGGATGACGCTGGGGCGCCAATAGGGGGAGGGGTCGATCCGGGAAAATGCGGTGCCCGCAGCGCACCAATGCGACTCATTTTAGGGCTGCGTTTTCTACGACGTTAAGGGAACAATCCTCTCTAGTACGGAAGCTAAATGGTACTTATCGTTTGGTTGATTCATTGATTTATCCATGCCATGTTGCGCTATTTTTTCAATTCAACAACTTTATCGCCGTAGCACTTTCAGTTTTGCAGCCATTTGTCCTGCAAGAAGCGGAAAGCCAAGATGAAAAAGTAGAGACTGTGAACATTGTTTCATTTCCTGATGTACCTTCCAGCACATCGTACGGTACGATTCTCAGAGCGAAATGCGGGTTTGAACTGAACCATTCCAAACGGGACTCGACAATTCCAAACCCAAAGAACAAAGAACCCCAACTCAAAAAGATACCGTACATTAAAATATTAATCCGTTCTGTTCAATGGAATAGTACCGTATCTGTTCCTCGCTACCGGCAACAGACACGAAGCTCCAAGGATGCAACAGCAGCAACAGCACAGAACGGCAGACGATCCCAACGTTGTCCAGCTAGGACTTATTTGAACACTATGGAGACGCATCGATCCCCCGTTCCGAAAACCGTGGCAGTCTACCAACACGACGGAAGCATCGTTCAGTTGCGGATCGGCTTCTCCGAGGGCGTCGGCTTGCAAGGGCTCCGTTCTATTGAATCCTTGGAGTCGCTGTTGGTTGCCAATAGGCTGTGATTTTGTACGCGTAAGAACTTCAGGCATATGTTATCTGGACTCGGATTGCGGTGTATTTGTTTCTCCACCGTGGATCCTCCACGCTCATTATTACCACCGGATTTTTTAAAAACAATTTCCACGATCGTCTGGTTTCCGAAAACCTAGAATCAATCGGTCATCGTAGCAACTGAATTCCATGCTGCAACATGTATGCCGTGGATCGATTCTGCCATTCTTGACAGGTCGTTCAGTCATATATATCCGCGAGCCTTAACAAATCGTCGATAACAACGCTATCCTCAAAGAGCAGATTTTTGTGCACAAATATTGGAACGGCATGGAAGAAATCCTCAAACTATCGATACCTCTGCTTAGAAACGAGAACTGGTGAGTGTGATCTCGTATCTTCCTCCTAGTTGCTTCCAATAGTCACGGGGTGCATACGATCTTACATCATTCTGTTGCTTCCGCAGGCGGACTCGTGATGCGATCCACCGGCATTGTTCGACGACACAGAAGAAGATTCTGCTTTGGAAACACGTGGCAGAGGACGAGGATCTAAAGAGTTGTTATTACGAGCTCTTGAAAATTTTCCGGAGCTGCGATGTGTGGCGAAATGTGCACCTTTCGACTGGTTTCGAGGATGCGGAGATTTCGCACGAGGAAGAGCATGTTCGTGAGCCAAACGAGGCAATCGGCATGTACAATCCGGACGGCATTGGCATGATTCGGCACAACCCCGAGATTATGGTGCGGATCTACGGCTACCTTTCACTTGGGGATCGAATATACAAATTGTCGCTTGTGGATAGAGCATTTTCAAGAGACGAGATCCGATCGGGCATCGCCAGTGCCACGTATGGTAAAGGATTCAATTTGCACCAGGCCTTGCTAGAACTGCGTCTCTGGGCACTCGAAGAGAGGCAAAGCGATAACATCGGGGAAGAACTCGAGCTGGCATCACCGAGCGGAACAGGTATTGCGTACCAGGGGCCGACTCTAAAACGAAAACGGGACGACGACTTTCACACGGAGCGTATCTCAAAGATTTCACGCATGCTCGAGGCCGCAAAAGTAACCGATAAGGAACCCTTGCTGTACGTCAGATCAAATCTGAAGAACACTCTGGTCACGCCTGGGAAGCGAGAACAATGGATGGCCCAACACATCCAAGAGTTCCTTCGCAATGAGAATTGCAAGCTGCGCGGGCACTGCCATCAGCGGATACAAAGCCAGTCATGGTGGATGGATATTGTGCGCGTAGAAACCTTTCTCCGGCGTTACTTTTTCGACGGCAGAGTGAATCGATTGGAACAGCTGATGCAAGACGTCGGCTTCCAAAACGACTACGAACGATACAAGCGGTCTCAATTCTTGAGCAGCAACAAGATTTTCGACCACGAAAAACTGATTTGGTGCCTCCCGGATCTCTCTCCCGGATGCATTTTGTTGCTACCAGGCCTCGAAGACGACCAAGCCGGCGATGCTGCAGGGAATGTTGGTTGTTGGAGAGAACACCGATTCATGTCCTGCGGGCTCTGCGAAAAATTGGGGGAACACGACAAGAGCATCGTGGTGCGTTGCCGCCACGGGCATCAGCGATCCTTTTGCAAGAACTGCTATCATTCGTTGCTCGATTGCCCCGGGGATTCCAACGATGACACCACTTCAGGCATTCCTGTTCTCGATCCCGTCCACATGTTTTCTCCGAAACTGAGGAGCAGGAGCATGATTTGTGTGCATTGTCTGCACATAGCCAGGAGCTAGCTAGCAAGTAGTGAGTGCATTCCAGCACTTGGCATTGATGACAAAGTGTTAACAACGATCTAACTCTTTCTAATGGTGGTTAGGAGTATGGAGATTTCTATTTTCTTGCCGCGTATCAAGTTCAGATCGCTGAATTGCTTATTTTTACCCCCCCATTCGATGATCACAAGTGCGTATCACTTAAAAGCATGTCAGTTATAGAAGAGTTATTTCCCCATGCATTCATTCTTGTTGTGTATTTGTTTTTGTTTACTACGCAATTCATCCATTTAAATTTTCCCTCCTTTGCCTTGTTGGACCGATTCCGGAAGTTGTCACCTTGCAAGCATCCTTGCTTCCTATACTATCCATATATTGCAAACACCTTAAAATGGTCAAACGCCATCGGGCAATGCGCGCTACGATTGCGCCGCCAGAGAGTCTGCGGGCGGCCCGTTCCCCCCGGGTACCAGAATCGCGATCTGGTTGCCGTTCAGCAGTATTTCGTTGTCGATGACGGTTTTGATGAATTTGGATTTGTCGTTTGGATCGGGCGTGTACTCGGTGGCGTCGTCGAGGACTAGGTTCACGTAATCGTCGAATCCCCGAAGCGTTCCGACGACTTCTTTCGAGCCGCGCATCAGGATCCAGATCTTCGATCCGATGGCCTTGTCTATCAGTTCGAGGGGGAGGATTCGGGTCGCCATGGTGCTGTTTTGTTGCTGATGCGTTGGTCTGATGCAGTTGGTGTTTGCGGCCACAATGAAAGATGAAAGGCGAAAGCCTGCTTTTTGCAACAACCGGGGTTTGTTTCGGTCCTTTCACACACGGAGATAATGCCGCTGTGAAGTTGTAAGAGTACGAAGACCCTACCGGTATGAACGTGATAGATTCGTAGATCTGCATCGTAAAAATGCTACCATACGGACAGACTATTCACGCCAGGTTCGCTTCTGAACTCACTCGAATACTCGACTCGCTCGAACCAGTAGGCAATTTTGTTCAGAGATTTTCTCTGAACGATGATATCTTCCGTCGTCAAAACTTGCATTACTGTGCTTCATCTGAAATCGGAAGAAGATGCCATGCCAAGATCATGCAGCATTTTTACCTACCGGTAGTTTGATTTGACAATTTCCAAACACCAAACTGGCGGAAGGAGCCACCATACCGTACCCGATACGCATCACCTCCTGGTTCGATACCATCGGTCGACGCAACGAATAATCGCTTTCCGCAAAAGGATTCACAACAAGGAGCGCCATGGCCGGATACGTTACCAAGCCCGCGGCGGCGGTGAACAAAGCCCTCGTAGAATTTCTGCCAGAGCTCGACTCAGACTACGCCACATATCCCATGAAGCATGATCGGTGGTACGAACCCGACGAGACCGGTCCGAAGGGGGAACCTTGTTTCATTGCCAAGGGGGGAACCTCGTTGGCAACCGGCAGCCCTCCAATCAAGAAGGACTATGTGTACTGCACTACGGGCGGGAACGGGGAAGGCTATTACTCGCTCATGTGCCGGACCTCGTACATAAACCTCTACTACAAGCTCAAAAGCTGCGCTCCCCAGGGGACCTGCACGGCGTGTCCCTGTTTTGCAAGCAAGGCCACCCGAGACGCCCTGGATCGGTACGACGACTGCAAGCGAGTGGTCTACATGCGACAGAAATGCTTCCCAAAGCCGGACGACAAGCTGGCCTCCGACATCGTCATGGGCATAGCCAAGGACACCGCCAACATGGTCTACCACGGCACCCAAAACGAGCAGCTGATAGTCAACGCTGTCTTTTGAGAACCTTGTCGTTTTCTCGAGCGAACGAGTAAGATATTTTGTCAATATAAGGAACGAGTGATGGAATCGAAGCACAGAATAATTCTCCCATTTGTGGTATGCTATTGTATCCCATCTTATGGTGGTGAAAGAGTGATCTTCTCCTGTCCTGGTCGGCTATTTTGTACGCATATTAGCTTGGCAATAGAACCTGCTTCATACTGGCAATGCGTCGTAGATTCCTATCTTCTTTTGACTTTCTATTGGACCGCCCTAAGGTTGTGCGCCTCAACTGTTTTTTTTTTTTTAAACTAAAAAGGAATAGATGTAGAGTAGGATTGTAGACCCCGTTACCTCTTTCGCTACTACAATTACTGTCCGACACAGCCGAAATTGCATTTGTGTATTATATCACCACCAGCACTCGCACCATTATTATTTGCATTAGCAGCACTAGTATCAGTAGATCAGAAGCTTATTCGACAACGTGTAATTCGTCGTGCGAGATAAAGTGATGAAGTGATTCCTAAGTGCTCTTGTTATGAAATCTTCGGGTAGCCTCATTATTACATTAGGGTTAGAGTTGATATTTAAACTATATCTTGAAAACAAACTATTTCGAACTTTCCTGAAGCGTTGGAAATCAGAAATCAGAATGGAACTGTTTCGGCTTCGTTTTTGAGACGACTTGACGTCGATGAAATCGACACACCTTCTTATCCTATCCGACCTTCGAAGACCAACAGGAAGACGCTATGGACTCAGCAAACAACAACAACGACAACGACAATAATAATAATAATGGCGACGAGATAGCTGAGCCCGCCATGCATGCCTCTAACGGATACACCTCCGGGGACGTGGTGAAAAAACTGAAGGCAGTTCTCTCGTTGATGGCATCCCCGCTGACGGACGAGGTCGGTTCTACCAGGTCGGTTCTTTCCGGCCTGGCAACTATCTTCCTTGCCGGTGCGTCCATTGGCCTCGTCACTCCCGGAAATCCGGTGTTGTCTCCTCCCTACCGCAGTGTGAGCGCTGCAATCGGATACGTATATTTTCTGGCCTGGAGGTGAGTCGAACAAACACACCGCGTGTGACGCATGGGATACCATTGCAAGAGAATAGCCCTTTTCGAGGTATGGTGAAATGCATCGAACGTTTCTAACAGACAAAAGCATTGGTGTCTCCCGCGAACGACGGCAACCAACAGCGTGTCGTTTTACCCCCAGGTCATTTCCAATTTCAAGCGGAAATCCGTCGAGGGCCTCTCCCCCGACTTTGTCGTCCTCAACGTGATTGGATTCGCCTGCTACACGGCCTACAACGCTTCCTTCTTTTGGAACACCACCATCCAAGAGGAATACAAACGACGCTTCGGACCGGACGCCGAGATCACGGTCCAGTCCAACGACGTTGCCTTTGCTATTCACGCACTGGTCCTTTCCTTTGTCACGTTTTGCCAGATCATCTACTACAACTACTTTTATTGCCCGGGGCCGACAGGGGAGATCGATAGAAGGACTCGAACCGTGATCCAATTGTCCAGACCGGTCCTGGCAGTCATAGTAGGCATAGTTGCCATTTGTGTCGGATATCCCGCGCTGGTGCTTCTCGGTAAAGGTAGCAGCAGCAGCAGCAAGAACGACAACCTCGACGTTCTCCTCGGCGACGATGACGCCCTGGCGAGATTCAATTGGTTGGATTTTCTCTACCTCTTGAGCTACATCAAAATCTTTATCAGTCTTATCAAGTACATCCCACAGGTTGTGCTGAACGTGCGGAGAAAATCGACCGTTGGCTGGAGCATCTGGAACATATTGCTCGACTTCACGGGAGGCACGCTTAGCGATCTACAGGTAAGATCGATTGTTTGCATTTCGTCTGCTATGAAAGAGGACTATCGAACCAGGTAGTTTGTTGCGTCCTAGCCTGGCGCTTTTCTGTTTGTCTCTCACGAAATCATCCCTCTCATTATGGCATCTTGCCTCGCCGGTGCACCACCGCATGCACATTGTTCGATCACGGTGCACGGGAACAGCTGGTCCTCGATTGCGCCAATGCAAAGGACTTTTCGGGGATTACCCACAACAAGGCGAAACTAGCCCTGGGTTCGCTGTCCATCGTGTTTGATATCATTTTCCTGGTGCAGCACTATTGTCTCTATTCGTCGGCCGAGCCAACCATTCGAAATGAGCAGAACGAACCACTCCTTCCAACAACCGACTCGGATCCCGAGGGAGTCCAAGAGGTCTCGGAAGAGGAACAATCACAACCGGAAACGATTTTTGTGTGAAACGTTTTGGAACCAGTCTAGGCCTTTCGACTTGCTGGGAACAACTGCGGACGATCGGGGCATCAAAGGAAAAAAATAATACAACAATCCGCTGACAGTCGGAGTGACGAAAGACCAGTAAGCTTAGTTAACGATACTCTACTACTCTTTCGCTGCGCACAACCGCATCTCTTGTCGCAACCAAGCGCGGGGGGTTTCTATTTCTTGGACTTCTTTTTCGGGGCGGCCTTTTTCCGGCCCTTCTTCTTGAACTGGGCCTGGAGCCTCGCCAGCTCCTTCTCCTCGTCGAGCTCGTCCTCGGAGGAGTCCTGGTCGTCCCCGCTGTCCCCGATTGCCTCTTCGTCCTCGTCGGTGATCGGCGCGCGTTTTCTCTTCTTCTTTGCGCCGCCGCCCGCTCCGCCACCCTGCTCCCGGATCAGGGCCTGGCTCCTGTGCGAGCCCGCGTTGTACTGCCGGGTGAAGGCCGCCTTGGCCTTGCTGTCCAGGTCCTCAAAGGAAAAGTCCTTCTTGCCCAGGATTAGCACGTTGAGCTTGTCGACCACGTCGTCCCGGCTCAGGCCATAGTCGTCCATCAGGTCGATCGCCTCCTTGTTCGCGTCCGGGTCCGCCCTGCTGAGGAGCCCGAGGATGCGGTCGCGGAGCACCGGGACGTAGGCCTGCCGGAGCTCCTGGTCGTTGGCCGAGACCTTGTAGTTCATGTGGTGGGACAGCTCGCTCAGGAGGCGGTAGTTCTTTCCCATGCTCGAGTTTTTGCCCATCCAGGCGGTGAATTCCGGAAACCCCCCCAGGAATCCGCCCGTGTCCCCCCCGGCGTGGTATCCGGTCTTGACCGCCAGCATCGAGGTGGTCGGCAGCAGGCTCCAGTTGAGGTCGCCGCCCCGGATCTGGCTCTCCACCATGTCGTAGTCGGACATCGAGTCGGCGGCCTTGTGGAAGCGTTCCAGCAGCTGGATCTCGGCCTCGTCGTCCCCCTTGATCCGCTGGTACTGGCTGTTGGTCACCTTGGGGTAGTTCTGCTGGACGATGAGACCGGTAAAGCTGTAATCGACGAAAAAGGCGTCGAGCCGCTTGAACAAGCTGTCGAGCTTGGCCTTGTCGTCGGCCTGCTGCAGGTCCCTCGGGCCCTCCACGATGAGTTTTGCGGCGTCGAAGAGGCTCACCCGCAGCATCTCGTCCTTCTGGATCGACCGCCCCCGGTCCTTGAGCTTCTTGTACGTGAGGGAGTTGTCGTTTTCGCCGCCGACGTGCTTCTTCTGGGCCCACATCTGGAGGAGGTTCAGGACCTGCCGGACGTCGTTCCCGCACGACTCGGCAATGGCCTCGGCGGCGTTGCGCTCGACGACGAGGCCCTCCATCTCCGCGATGCGGACGGCGCGGTTCGCCAGGGAATTCTTTGTCGGCCGGGAGTACCTCAGGTCCATGCAGTAGGGCAGCAGGCTCTTGATCTTCTGCGACTGGCGGTCGTTACAGATGCAGATGATGGGGGTCTTGGACTTCTTGATCATCTGGATCAGTTCCGATATCCCGCTGCGGTCGCCCCCGCCCATTCCGTCGACCTCGTCCATGATGATGCAGCGTTTCTTAACGGAGGGTTTCTGCGGCCTCCCCCCGGCACCGGTCTTTTGAAAGGAAATCCCGTGGGATCCCGTCAGGTCTCCCATGAATTGGAGCGCCTTTTTCGATCTCGTGTCGGACGCATTGTATTCCAGAACGTCTCTTCCGTCTTCCCTGGCTACCAGGGTGGCCGTGGTCGTCTCTGAACGTCACATGGATCCATCCAGTGGGTCAAACAAACGCAAGAAAAAACAAGCAAGGGCAGCGAAAGGTGGTGAGAGAGCGTCGGTCTTCGGGGAGAAACCCCTCCGGCACAAACACACACCACGGCCGGGATTGTGATGTGATCCGAGACTGTCGATACGTACTTCCGATGCCCGGGGGACCCGAGAGCAGGGCCGCCTTGAAGGGACCCCTCGGGTTGCCAAAGGATTTGTTGGCGGCCTTTGGGTTGTTGAAGGTCCGCTCCCAGGTCCGGAGCCAGGCCTGGAGCTTCTTGACGTTGGTCGCGTTCCCGAGGATTTCCCGGGTGCTGGTGGGCTTGTGCCGGTCGACCCACAGCGAGTTGGGGTCGGAGGGGGCGCGGGGGGCGGGAGCCGGGGCCGTCGACGACGAAGAAGCGGCGGCCCTGGCGTAGGGATTGGCGGGGGCCTTTTTGGCGTAGGGGTTGGAGGGTGCTTTTCTCGCGTACGGGTTGGCCACGGGTCCCTTCCTAGCGTACGGGTTCGAGGGAGGGGCTCCCGAGGAGGCGGCAGCCTTGCCGTAGGGGTTGGACACGGGGGGCCTGCGGCTTGCGGCGGCGGGGGCCTTGGTTCCCGGGAGGGGAGGCCTTGGGGCTTCGACGCCCTGTTCCTTGGCGGCCCGGTCGTGGAACGAGTGGCACAGCCCGTAGAGCTGTTTCTCGCCCTCGACGATCCGGACCTCTCCCTCTCCGTAGCTCACGGCCTTTCGGTACTTGGACCCCTCCCTGTAGCCGCGGCCGTCCTCCAGCAGGGGCCCGACCACCAGGTAGTCGGTCTTTCCGCTGACGGCCGTCGTGACGCGGCCACCCAGCGTCTTGACGAGATCGATGGCGTCCTCGCGGCCCAGGCCGTCCATGACGCCCGTAAAAACAAAGGCCGCTCCGGCCATGCACTCGGGGACCCGGACCGCATCCGTGTCGAAGGAGTCCCGCTCGATCCCCGGTTCGCAGAGGACGGGCTTGGTAGAAGCGGGGGATTTCGATTTCGTCCCTCGGCCTCGTTTTGCCGCGGGGGAGGGGGTGGGGAGGGCCTCTGGCACGGAGGGCTTGCTCTTGCTCCTGCTCTTGCTCCCGGGCTTGGAGGGCGTGGATGCGGGCTCGAAGTCCTCGTCGCTCTCGTCTACGGCTCCCCCCACAAAAGCACCGTCGTCGTCGTCGTCGTCGTCGTCGTCCTGGATCACCCGCCTCTTGCTCTGTTTCCGGGGTTCCCCCGCTTCGGCTTTTGCCGCACGGACGGGTCGGCGGGGGGAACGGCGGCCAACCGGAGATGCAATCTCGGCCTCTGACTCGGCTTTCTTTTTTGTCTTTGCCTCGGCGGGTTCTTTCTCCGTCTTTCTGGGTTGGACCTCTTTGGTTTTGGCCTTGCGGTCTCCGGCCGGCAGGGCAAAAAAGTCCTTGGGAGAAATCTCGACGCCGCCTCCGTCGTTCTCCGTGGCAGCGGTGGAAGACGTCTTTCGTTTCTTGGCCGCTGCCGGCGACGCCCCTTGCTCGGCCTTTTTCTTTCCTGGCGCGGACGGCCTCGGCTTGGACGCCGGCTTTTTGCCGAAGAACGACCGAATGTCCATGGCGTGGGAGGCGGGGTGTCGTGTCGTGTCGTGTCGTGTCGTTTCTGTTTGTTGGGTGTGGCGCGGGTGCGGCCTCCGCGATCAATATCTATCGATCAATCGGTGTCCTTCCGAGAATCCTGAAACCCGACGCGACGCGACGCGATGCGATTCGATTCAACCCGATGCCTCTCGACGGAGCGGGCCTTGACGATCCAGTTCTCGACGAGGTGCGACGTAAGTGGCAATCCCTCGGGTGCCGACCGAAAACCGCGATTCGATTCGATTCGATCTGGTGCAATGCGATGCGATCCAAGGTACAACAAGCCACACGGTGTCCTGTGTCAATCCTCCAATCGCGAAACGATCGGTGACGCCGACGGAGGGAATATCTGTTGGCAACCGCTAGAGATTTGGGCGAGACGATCCAAACGCAAACCAACACACCGTGAATCCTCACACACACAACAAACGAGCTATCGTTGTGCCCGAAAACGAAAATGACACAGATCGAAATACGCGCAGTACCGTACAACTTCTACGAGCGTTCCACAACGCGCGCCATGCACGCCAGAAGGAAAGGGTTCACTCCTGGGTTTTGATGTCCCCCAAATATACCCCCGAAGTAATGAATCACTCCACCCCATGTTCATTCACCCCGTTTTCTCGTTGGTGCCAACAAACCCCGGCTTTGGTGTGGAACGGCAACCACCAACCCCATGGCGGTTTCTCTTTCTGTTCGGTCGTCTCGGGGTCCTCCCCGAAACTGCTCCAATCAGGCTGCAAGTGCAGTACAGCCCGACACCGTCTTTTCCGAGTGCCGGGATTCCAAACGCAAACACAAAAAGAAAAGAAAAGCAATGCCCTTAAATTGCTGCGGGCCTACGTGGTTCCAGGGATCCTCGCCGTTCCTATCGGTAAAATACTATCTAGTCGTGTCTTTACGGCTACTCTCCAACCGCGGATCGCGATGGTTGCGAACCGTTCCGCCAACCAGCAGCCCGCGAGGCACGGTACGGTGCGGGTCTCTGGCAGGCAAGGCTGTGTGTGGCACGCGGGCCGCCGCCGATCCCGCCGCCTCACTCCGTGGCGGCGGTCGCGGCCTCTGCAATCGCATCCGCACCCGCGCGTTCGGTTTCGCCGCCCCCCACTAGGTAGGTCCGGACCCACCGGTCAAAGTCCTCCATCGAAAACCGCAAATGGTCGCCCTCGAAGGTTTCAAAGACGTTCTTCCCGGCCTCCTGGGCCGTCCTCAGGCCAAAGAGGTCCTCGGTGTACCACTCCGTCTCGTTCATCGGGAGGACGGGCTTTCCAAAGGGGTCGTCCGGATCGGGGGAGCCCCAGTGCTCTCCCTCGCTCGGCCAGACCATGCTGTCCTTCGTGGCCCGAACCCAGACGAACCGGGAGGTCCTGGCAAAGTTTTCGTTGAGGGTCGCGTTGTGGAGTTCGGGCCCCTCGTTGTTCCAGCGCGCTAGCTGACTGAATTTTTGGTAGGCCTCCCGCTCCGAGGCCCGGGGGTCCCGCCAGTAGTTGCTCTGGAAGGAGTGCTTCTGGGCGAATTCCGTGTAGGCCCTGCGGGAGGCCTGCTCCAGGAGGAGGTCGCAGACGGAACCCAGTGTTGCCGCTGCCGCACCGCCGCTCGGAAAACACCCGGGGACCGTCCCCTCCCCGGCGTTGACCCCGTTGACGCTCAGAAAGGTGTGCACGGTGGGGGTGTTGTACCGGGCCACGTACCCACGGATCACGTTGTTCCCCTGCGAAAAGCCGACGGCATGGAAGCCCCCCCGCAGCTCCGGGTCCGCCGCGATCCTCGCTGCAAAGGCGTCCACCGAGGCGTCCATGTTCAGAAAGTAGCCGTTGGTCGTGTCCTCGGTCTTTGTGTCGCCGGTGGGCACGCAGGTCACGTAGACGCCCCCCAGCAGGCCCGCCGTGTGCTCGCCGATCCGGACCATCCCGTCGTTGAAGCACGAGTCCCCCATGCCGTGGGCAAAGACCACCGGGAGCTGGGCCGGGTCCCGCTCGTGTTCCGAGAGCGGAGCCCCGGGATCCCCGATGGTCTCCCCCACCAGCCTCCCGTGCGCCCGTGCAAAGGAGGCCAGCTCCGAAGCGACCGATTCCGGGTCCTCTTCGAGGCGGTCCAGCATGGCGCAGAGCGAGGGGTGCGAGCCGTAGAGGTCCTCCCGGTCCTCTCCTTCGTTAAAGGCGCAGGGGCCACGCCCCGGGGGTGCGTCGGCAGAAACCGCTGCCGCTACCCACGCGACAAACGCTAGACCGAGGACCGCCCGGGAAATGCCGCGGGGACGGTTCGGGGGACATCGAGCGACGTTCCGCATGGTTTTGTTTGCTACGGATAGGTTTGGTTCGGGTATCTTTTGCTGCTGGATGGATTCGATTCTATTCGATTTGATTTGATTCGCAAAGCGAGGATTCGATTTGATTCCCAAAGCGAGGGATTCTTGCGTTTCCGAGTTGCGGAGTCAATGGGATTGGGCTGCTGTACGGTAAGTCAACAACGAAATACTGTAATGACAATCCTTTGGTGCCGGTGTTCTGTTGACACGATTGATTTTTTGTTCCTTTCCGATTTCCGGTGACGGAAGCTTCCGCTGTTCTTCGCGAACAGCCTCTGTAACGAATTCCCACTGGATGCCCGTATCCTCTAGGTCTATTAGTATTGTGCTGGCTGGTGGTTAAAGCAGGGGCTACGGGAATTTGCACAACCCTACCCCGCTGCAGCACAGGAACCCGGGCCCTTGGGATAGGGTTAGGGTTAACTGTGTCGTAGCGTGGAGGGGGGAGCTGTTCCTGTGAGCATGCTAATCCAACTCACTGGCCCACAGTACTAACTGCCAAGGAGCCAAAGGCCCAGGGGGGGAGCGAAGCGCGGGTGGTGAAAGGAAGGAGGAGCCGCTGTGTCGTTCGGGTAGTTAGCGCGGAGGTGGCTTTGCAGTGCGGGCGGCACAGGGGACGGACTCCTCCGGGAGAAAGCTGTAGGTTCCATTGTTGAACATGAGGGGCGCCAGCGGTCGAAACAAGGGGACCGACTGCTGGTGAAGGTACCGCATCATGGCATCGCTATGCCAGCGGGCGAGCAGTTTGATGACATTCGAATCGCAGTGGCCTTGCAGGAGCGCCATGGCCCCTCCGGCACGGAGGGATCGGGCGCTGAGGGACTGCGGGGAGATACCCGTAGTGTGTTTCAGGGTTGCTGCGTGCCATCTCATGGTGGTCGTTATCATGGCGGCGGTGACACGGACGTTTACCTTGTTGTGATTGTAGTAACTCGCAAGTTTCGTTTTGCCGTCCGGTTGGGCAGGGGCCGCGTGCTCTCGGTGCAGCAGGATTTGTCGTATCACCGCGGTCACCGGGCAGCACAGGGGATCCCCGCTACGTGAGTGAGCGATGACATCTCCTTTGATGCCATTCTTTTGAGTGGTGAAAGTGAGCTGGAGGGACGTGGCGGAATTGATTTCATGGTGGGAAGCAGTCAATGTGGTGAGGCGGCGTGACCCAATGAAAAGGGCCACGTCCTCCAGCGCGAAAGCCTGGTCATCGGTGGTTGTGCCTGTGTACTCCCCCGGCCGCAAGCAAAAGAAGAATGCAATGCACATCATATTTGCGATTGCCTGCCTCTCCGCTGTGGGCCGCTCTCTGTAAGCAAAGTTCAGTGCCCGTACTATGATCGTGATGGGGACTGGCTTTACGCGTGAGGAAGGGGGCTCGGCATTCCTATATGCTCGATACTGAGCGGCTAGCCTTGCATCGAGCTCACCGAATCTGTTGAATCTGGGGTCAGGGGACCCCAAGCGGGTGAACGCCTGGCCCACTGACCTAATGGCGTCCGAAACTGTATGAGCTCGTGCACGTTTACGGCTGGGGGAGATGCGACCATCTTGGTAGCGAGCCCCAAAGACCTGGAGGTAGGGGACAGGGTCTTGTGTGGCTCGCAGGAACGGGTCCAGTTTCTGTGACAGACAGAACTCAAGCCAAGAGGCCCAATGGGCATCCTTCTTCCTGGCATAGCCAGCAGTAACGCTGGCTCGCATCGTCTCTTGGAGAGTGAGGAGGTCAGTGTAGAAAACATGGGCCTCCGCAGCTGGCATGCAATCCAAGGCCGCTCCTGTGGGAATACACGATTAAAGTGAGACAATAAAGCATTGTCCGTGAGGTGCCAAGCTCTGGAGAGCATGTCGGCCATTACATTGGCCGGCCCGGGGATATAGTCCCGGAGCAGAACATATCGATAGTAGCGCTGGTGAAGAGCCTGTACCCGCAGGAGGTATGCTGCGGGCCCAGTGGTGGTCGTGGAGCCTTTCCTTTGCCAGTGAACCGTAGCGGTGTTATTGTATAAGTTGAGTGTGGTCCGCTCAGCGACATCCGCAGCCTGGGCCAAGATATCGTTGTGAGCAATGGAGCCAACCAATTCGAGGTCACTGTTGGTTATAGACCCGGCGGGATTGGTAAAGGAGACCAGTTCCCGCCGGACCCAGTCTGGGAAGGGCTTCCGCCACAGTATAGGTTGAATGGTTCCATCGGCGAGTGGGATGTAATGCACTCCCCCCATTCCTGCTCCTGCCGCGTCACAGGCCCCAATGGTGGCCGGCCAGGTGTCGGGGATCAGCTCAGCTATGCGAGTGGGCCTGCTGGCCACATCCCTCGCGAGCCACCGAAAGTCCTCCAAGAAGCCATGGAGGGCTGATGTAAGCCGCAGGCGACTGCGACCTTTTTCTTGGTGTCAAAGGGCCTCCTGTAGTAAGGAGAAGAGCCCAGCCGAGCCGGGGATGGCTATAGACATGGATCGTAACTCCCCGAGTAACTTATGCCAATCTTTGGTGGAGGAATACTTCTGTCCTGGGGGTACAGAGGCTAGGATGGTGTTGAGTCGGTCCACTCGGTGTGGGGGTAACCGTATCGTACGATCGACTGTGTTAATCCACCATCCTAGGATTATCTTGGAAGTGGACCATGTTGCATCCCCTTTGCGAAGCTTCTTGAGGGACGCCGGCTCCTGTCGGTAGGGGATGTCCCGGGCATCCAGGGGCCTGAATACCCGGTCCAGCGAGTGCAGGAGGGCTCTCTTTACGGCCCGCCGTGTCCAGCGGTTCCCCTGTACTAGCCCGCAAATATCATCTACATAAATGTCCCAGTATCGTAAGGGTGTTTTGAGGGGAGCCGTCGCTCCACGGAGGGGCCCCGGAGCGGCGCTGCTTCGGGCCCCTCCGAGCTCGGCCTCCACAGGGGACTCCGCGACCGCATCCAGCCTATGGGGCCTTTGGCGCATGTTTTGCAGCCCCCMTTTCTGCTGGAGGACACTGTTGGCTAGGTCTGCGATGGTCTCGGTGCATGCACTGAAGTTCGGTGGTGAGGAGCACCAGCCCATGGGATTAGTCAGTGGGATCCCGACCAGTGGGGCCTCCCCCGCTCGGGCTGGGAACAGCACTGCGAGTCTTATTGTGTCCTCCGGTTTGACCCAGAGCCGGTAGAACCCATCTGAGAGATCGATCTTGGAAAGGTAGACCGGCCCAAACCGTTCGTTGGCTCGGTGTATTCTTTGGAGGAGCCGATGCAAGGTTCGTCCAAACTGCATTGCTTCCTTAGGGGCCACTTGCTGGGTCTCCGCATTCACTCCAAAGTAACTGTAATCGGAGATCATCCTGTCACGGCGTCCGCGTTGGGGGACTAGCCCCAGCGGACTGAGCCGCAGTTCGGGCAGTCCCAGGACCTTAGCCGCTGGGAGTACTGTCCATTGCTGTTTATCCATCATGTCGGCATACTCCTCTCGCAAGAACTCTATTCCATTCAGGGACGACTTATGGGGCCCCCTTGCAAGGGCTGCTGCGAGCCTGCCCGCTCCCCATGGGGGTGTGGACATCACGGCAGGGGTCCCCTCACGTTGGAACTGCTGGAGCAGCTGTGCTGCGGGGTGTGGGAGACTGCGGACCTCTGGGTGTAGGTCTCCCCTTCCCCGTACAGCCCGTACAAAGTCCCCCCAGGAATTAGATCGTTCGTAGGTCGCTACGGCCTTTGCGACGTGTCGGTCTAGCCTATCTAAAGGATACGTGTAAGCCTTTTGTGGGGTGCGAGGCCTGTTCCCCCTTTTGCTCCCTCCACGGGAGGGACTGGTCCTTGGCTGGCTCTCGGGCCTGCCCGGGCTTGCCACGGGCAAGCGACGGCTGCTGCGAGCGGCTACCGGACGATCTTGTTTCGTGGTGAGGCCGCTCCTTGCAACCCTATCGTTCTCCGGGGAACCGCGGGTCTCCGGAAGGTGTTGTAGGGGGCCATGGGGAACGATCTCCCCCCCCCCTTGGGTTGATTTCTTACGGGTTTCGGCAAGCTCAACTATATTCGCCATGTTCTTACCTAATTCAGGGGACAGGGCATGCATCCCTCTCCTCCTTTTTACATCTGAGCTGCTGTGGACTGCTGTATCTGACACCAACCTTCGGTTTGCGGGTGGGGGCAGCGGCACAGCAGCCTTCATTGGGGAAACGGGCTGCCTGCCCCCGTTTCACTGACTGTAAGCCTCTTGGCACCAGTCCCAGAAGCGATTCCGCTCCTCTTCCGAGGGCTCCGCGTGATCGTAGCTGAGCTTGCAGCTGCTGTAGCAGAATCCCTTCGCATGCCACGAGTGGCACATTTCCTTTCCATCTCCTCTGAGACACGGTCCCTTCCCCTTTTCCTTCATGATACTCATAGCCTTGGCTATTTTCCAGGAACTTATCCGGGATTTGAGCTCCTCCGGTGCCATCTTGAATCGCGGATCTGGTGTTGGATTTTCTACGCGTGTTTGCGTAGCAGCTGGTAGGGGGCTCCCTCTCTTGGGGGATTGTCTTGCCTTGCTACCCGCGGTACTAATTGCAGGGGCCTTTCCTGCAGGGGAATCCCCTCCCTTCCGCAACTTACGGAGTGCTGGAACGTCGGCCACGCCTGGTAACCAGCTGAGGTTCTTGGACATCTTGAAGGTCCTCAGCTCTTGAGTGAAGCTTGGGGGTTCAATCCTATGGTTGCTCTCCCACTGTTCCTCCATCCAGCAGCGGACCCGTAGCTGGAAATAGTACACTATTATGGCTGGGGCTAAGCTGTCCCCGCATTCATCTACGAGCGCATATCGTAGGCTTAGCTGCATCCGTTTCAGTCGTGTGAGTCCATCTAGGTAGTTACGGACGAGGGCGTGGTCAACACCGACCAGTGTAGCAAGGACAGGGACATACCCTTCTAGTTGCAGCAGGGCCTCCACCCACTCCACTGGGATGTAGCCGTTAGCCTTGCCTAGGGACTGTGCATCCCGGAGGCTTATGGTGTTTCCTTCTGTGGATACTAGAGTATCGTAGGCAAGAGCTGCTCTCGCTTCTTCCATCTGGCTTTTTCGTGCTGTGGGGGACCCCCCCGGGGGAGCAAAGGCCATAGGAAGGAGCCCATCCCCAAGATCACATTCGTCTACTCCGTAGAACCGGAAGGCCTGAAAGGTCTTTAATGCGGCCGTGGTAACAAAGGGGGGAGGAAATCCCAGTTCCTGGGCTGCTTGGTCCACGTGGCTTTGTACTAAGGCGTGAATTCTTTCAGTCTTCTTCCTTGTCCATGCAAGATAGAGGGGAGGAAGGCTGTCTTCGGCGCCCATGTGGCAAAGCCTACGTAGCCTACAGGCGTTGAGCTCCCCGAAAGTATCTTCGAGCGTTGCCGGTTTAGCCTCTTCAGCCCGTCGCCGTTTGTTGGCTTGTGAGAGTTGCGACGGCCGCTGTTAGGGCTTGAGTCTCCGGCCCCGCACGGGAAGGGACCTCAACTAGGCCCAGTAGGTCTCGGTGTAGAACCTTTTGCTGCATATAGACCGTAAGATCGGGCTCAGTTCGGAACATGGGACCCGGTTCCGTGTGGGCAATAAGGCACACTACAGTGTTTATAGCGGTGCGAACGTGGGTCCCAGCCACTCTTAAGGCGTCCGTGAGGGGCTTTGCGACGGCTTCCAGACCCTGACTCGTGAGCCAAGGATGAATGATGAGGAAGGCTTCACGTGGTGTGAGCCGCTTCCCCAATACTAGGGGCATTAGTTCGAATGGGATGAAGAAGGTCTGACGGCAGCGGAGGACCTCTGTTTCAGGTGCCCCTTCCGGTCGTGGGGCAATGAAACTAAGAGCAGGATCCGCTTCCAGTGTGGCGGTGTGGTGGCCCACAGTACACACACGTACATCGGAAGTGAGATCAAACATGTTGGGGGTTATCTGCGCAAGCTCCCCTTCTCCGAGTACTACATCATCGAGGTAGCCAAACGCTTTGTTTGCGTTTTGGGAAGCACACAGGAGGCTCCCAGGGTACTTGCGGATACCATGGATGATCCGCAAGCGGGGAGTCGACACGGGATCAGAAACGAATATCCCGATCCCTCCAACGGGCTGTGCTTCAAACAGATTTAGAGTGGATTCCATTAGTAATCCAGCAGACAGTGCCCCAGGTGCACTGCGGAAGCGTTCGTATATACCGCGATAGGCAGCTTTACGGAGGCTGGCATCTTGACCAAAGGGATTAGCCGCTGGGTCCTCGAACAGCTCCACGTACCGTACGGGACGGGGTACGGCGGTACCGGTCGAGACCATGGCGGGTGTTTAGGACCGGGGCGCGAGTGGCCGGGGAACTCGTGCCACGAAGTAGACCCTGTCCCTGTGAAGAGCGCTCTTATTACTACTACTACTACTACTGTTGATACTGTTTGCTCATTTGCAGGATAGGAATAGTGAGCTGAGTGAGCTGCTCAGCTCTGGGGCGCACCTCTTGTTGCTGCTGTCCCTCCTGGGCTCCTAGCCATTCATTTTGCTTGTCCGCGCGCGTTCCCCGCGCGCCAGTGTCAGTTCGGTCCCCGCGGGATTCGCTACACCGATATCGCATCGTACGTTCCAGTACGAGTACTACTCGTACCAGTACCCTCACTAGAACGCAGCGCAAGAAGTTCTCAACGGCAGTATTTTTTTTTTTTTCTCCCCATTTCATTGCATTTCGGTCGTCCTACGAATAGGTATCCTACTGCACAGGATTCCGTACGTACCCCACGGTAAAGTACTGTACGGCAGCACGGGGGTCGAAAATCAAAGCCAAAACTTATTCGAACGCAAAGACCTAGGTATGGTACTGTACCTGGTACTACCAATATTTACATAGTACGTAAGTACAATTCGATTGGATTCGATTATCTTGTATCTTCCGATCAAAAGCCACCTTCACTCAGACAAACTAAACTAAAAATAATATGCTTTCTGATACAGTGCTCAAATGCTTGGCCTCGCATTGCCTTTGAGCATGGCGTTGATTCGAATCTAACAGGGTACGAACGATGGTGCGGATGTGTGGCAGTACTAGGTTTGGTGGTACACTGTATTACTATGATTCTAAAAAGTGCCATTAGTAGTATTTTGCGCGATGGGGTCAGAGTCAAGGACACCATTTCTAGCTCTCCCCTTCAGCGGCATCCCAGTTTTGTGTGATCAACATCAAGAGTGTAGAAGTAGTAGTAGTGCATGGTTTGTGCGTGTATTGCCGGTCGTTGCTGCGGTGCGATGCAACGAACGGCTCGGCTCAGAACATCAAATGTGACCGAAACCAGTAATTTGATCCCTATCGTGAGGCTGTTCCAAGTACCTCATGAAACCAAGCCCGCGAGGAACTACGGAATATTTGTTCCATTCCGCGTGGGATCCGAAAAAGTGTGCTTTGATTTGATCCATCTGGCACGTCTTCGCAACGCCTGGCATCTGATAGATTTCTCTGCAAAAGTTTAGCAGAGAAGGTGTCATCAGCACGAGTCTCGTGTTCGCTCGGAAATAGAATGCATAAACTTCGTCGAAACGAAGCAAGGTGACGAAGAAACGAATGTCCGCATCGGTGAGAGTATCCCCGGTTAGATACCGTTGACTCTGCAGAAGCTCATCCGCCGCATCAAACGCATCTGTCAGTTCTTCGATCGCCTGATCATATGCTCTTTGCGTCTTGGCAAACCCGCATCTATATACACCATGGATCATCATTGGATACAACCATTTGCTCACTTCATTCAGCCTGTCAAGTCCATCATCGTCGTCCTCGGTGTAAAGATCGAGTTCCGGGTTTTGGGCGAATTCGTTGAAACAGGAATTGAGCATGTAGGAAATGTCTGACGATTCATTGTTGACGATTGTATTGAGCTTGGTGTCCCAAAGGAGTGGAATCGTGTATTTTCCAGACGTATCGTCGGCGTGCTCATAAAGATTTCGAACGCTGTACGCGTTGAGAACAGGGTCTGGAGCGTTATCAGGGTAAGCAGGTGGAAAAGGGCCGCCACGACCCATGGTGTTGTGGAACGGTCTACCATTCGGATCTCCAAAAATCCAGCCTCGATGTCTGTCGTTGGGATTGTTCGGATTTGTGTGCCGCCAAGTCGGGTGCACAATCGTGACGGACACGACGTCTTCGAGTCCCTTCAGCGCTCGAACAATGAGAGCTCTGTGCGATCCAGGGCATGCATACGAGGCATAAAGATGGTATCGTCCGGCTTCGGGTGGAAACTGAGCCCCCGGTTCGTCACTGATGAAGCTACGCCAAATAGTCTCTGGTCGCGGTGATGCTTGCTGCTGATTGTAAATTGAATCATCTTGAGAAGTTGCTTGTGAAAGTTCAATCTTCGACACATCTTCCTCGAGGTTTCGCATAACTCCTGAAACGTCTACACGCTCCCCCTGAGGATCAATTCCTGCGCGTCGCAGTCTCTGCTCGGAAGCACAGATATCGATTTTCTTTTCTCTATCCGTATCAACTTGTAAGTTGATACTGTTTGATTTGTACGGAGAGACTGATTTCGACCCTTCGGGTTGGACGAGGTGCTCGGCGGTTCCATTCTCGCCATACAAAACAGCTTCTCTGTCGAAGTCGCCGCTCTGGATTCCTCTTTGGTCTCCACTACTTGGGTGTCTGATAGATGACGATGGTCGTTCTCTAAAGTGGGGAGTACTATACTCTCCTTCTCTTCGTCCATTTCCTTCGTGACTAAACAGGTCTACTCCGTTGGAAACATTCATGTCCTGCTCGGTTCTTGGATACTGTGTGCCATCGTAGCGTCGATTGTCGATCAAGAAATCTCTGCTTTTTGGGTCCAACGTTTTGTACTCTATTCTATTGGGGTTCGATGGATTTTGATTTGATGGACTACATGAATCCCTGCTTTGGTGCCCATCATCGCGACCCTCTTGGTCGTTTTCCCATTCTTGTCTTGATTTGCTTCCATCGGGGCTGAAAATACGACCATCTTTGCTACCGCTACCGCCCCAACTGTGCCGCGTTGAACTTGCGTCGGGACTGAAAAGGACAACCCCGCTGGAAACATCCATGTCCTGATCTGTTCTGGGGTAATCAGTACCGTCCCAGTGACGAGTGTCAAGCAAGAAGTCTTTGCAATGCGGATCTAGTGGATTTGGCTTAGGACGATCCCTGTGTTGAGAATTGTTGTCATCGCGACCCTCCTCGTCCCATGAGTTCATCAATCGAGAAATTGACGACCTCCTTGAGACATCGTCGGGATCTGCCAAGGAGTCTCCGTATCCAAAGCTGAAAGATCTCCGATCCTTCTTCCTCGGGGACAACCAGGATCCGAACGATTCCGCGTAGAATCCTCGGAATCCGTGCAAGAGTTGCTCCGCCTCCCGGCGTCTCATTTTAAGTTCACGCTGACGCCGCGTTTGTTCCATGAGAAAAGAGTTATAATCGATAGCACTCATATTAGACGGATTTCCTGAGTCAGATATTGACCCGAAGGATTCCCTCTTGTGTTGATGTTCACGGCATGCTATTAAAAAGTCCTTCGCTTCTTCTGCTGTCTGCAGTGGAATCGAATCTAATTTTCAAGTTAGTCAAACGTAAGAATGATACAATGAAAGGCACAACAACAATACATTAGTAAATCTTTATTCGAGGCTTGAAATTATAAATGATCTGTGTTCTTGCGACGGAACTTACAATCTTTGAGTTTCTCCCTACGTGACTTGGCGACCCCTCTGGATCTCAGCTCCTCTAATTCTCTCTCTCGCTCAGACTTTATCGCCCTGCCTCTTGCCTCGCTACCTTCATTCAACATTTTGCTTGTTGGCTAAACGGATTGTTTGCTCTTCAGCGATGTAATCGGTTTTACTTGCAACGGTCGTATTGAAATCGTTGTGTTCCGCCCTGCTCTAGTCGTAGATATTCACTACTACTTGTACTTTGCGAAATAATCGAACAATGCGAGCAGATTTAGCTGCCATACACCTTGAGTTGTATTTGTCGCTTCTTATTGAATGCCAACTGCGAATGGAACTCCTCGAGATGCTTGCTGTGCTCTTTTGTTTCAGCAACAGATGCCGGTCAACACAGACTTAAGTGAGAAATCGTCACGACTAAGATCACATTTGATTTGGCGACTGGCTCATTTTGTGAGAATAGATTTCGCCAAACCGTTGCAATTATTACGCGCGTGTCGTCCTTTCCACATGAAAACTGATTTTTCGACTGGCACGACTAAAATACGACTTGGTTCAAGATCGCGAGACATGAAACAAAAACGATGATGTGTTTTCTTGGTCAAAAAATTATTGTACCACACCGGTTGCTGCGCGGCACAGCACAGCATATTATCCTACATCCTACTGATGTGTACGTGTAACCTATGTCTTGAAACTCGTATTTTTGCTTCCGACAAGGACGAAGGTCGAGTGGAACAGTAAATTATGTCGCCTTTTGATCAATAACAAATCAGTATTTCAAACCACTATCGCTACCACAATGCTTCGGTACTCCATTATCTTCGTTGCATGTTCTTTCATTCTGGGCACCCATGCGTTCACCAGCAATAGCTTTGCCGGACTACAGGCTATCGCAGCCTCGCGATCCTCGACAATAGCATCGCCCTTCTCGAAAAGAACAAAAATTTTCTCCACCCCACCTGAAGGCGAAGACTTCCAGCAACAGCAATTGGATGCTTTTGATGATCCCTTGTCGGCAAACAAGCCATCTACGCCTGAGGAAGGAAATACCTCGTATCCCATTGATCTGCCGTCTCCGATTCTTTTGGCCTCTTCGATGGTTTTGGCAATTATTGGTGTCGGTAAGCACAATCAAATCGCCTTGTCAAATATTCATTCATCGTGGCATAGGTTTCGGAATGAGTTGGAACTTTGATTTTTTGCTCCCTTTCTCGTTCAATTTGCACATGATTAATTTGCGTTTTTTACCCTGACATCTAAAATCGATTGTGATGGATCATTGAAACGGTTCAAATGAAACTTGTTGGTTCATGGAATAGGGAGTGGATTTGATATTTTTGCAGATGAACCCCGCTTTCCCCTCGCCGTCAACGCTGTTATTTCTGCTGGTGGCCTAGCAGTCTGTCTCGGCTTGTTTTATGCCAGCATCCTCAAGGCTCAAGCCGAGACCGAAGAGGACGACAAGAAATACATGAGCGGGCGATAAAAATGTTTCTCGACGAATCCCTTGCTATTCCTCCTTTCGGTGGAAATTGTGTGAATGCTATAGCTCCTACCCAACGTGTTTGCTGATCCGGTCACAATTTGAATTTGTGTCGATGGAAGCAACAGCAACCAATAAAACTAGTAGTTATGTTTGCCAAGCGCTCTGTTGACTGGGACTCTGAGATCCTATATAGAAAAATTGTACGACTGTATTCCACTAGTATGTGAAGGATTTTGGCCATGTTCAATGTACGCAGGTCGAGGAATGTTGCAAATGCTATTCTGCACCATCTTTTCGTCAGATGTATGGCAGTGTCACTGTGCAGATAGAGAACTTGCGTTTACAACCAATTGTTGCTTATTCTGGTATTGGAATTGAAAATACAGCAATAGTAATCATTCCATACCAGTACTAGTACTAGTCAAATACTACCAAAGCAAACAGTCTTCGTATAATTTTGTGGGGATCGTCAAGAACTTTTGCTAAAGAATTAACATAACAATGATATTGAGCATCCGCCACATTTTGCATTGAAGACTAAAAGGAGGGGGTCTCTGTTTCAGTAAGTTGATGAAGGCACTAATTATTGGTAGTGGTATTTGCATTAGTACTATTAGTTCTAGTAGTACTAGTAGTATTACGAAGAAAAAGAACCTCATTAGGGGCCATCAGCAAAAGATTTCCTCCGATACTGACTAGTATTGCAAGAAGAGGACAAACACCGATAATACTCGTCGTTTGAGATCACTGAACCCGTAGTAGTAGTACTCATGAAAGACATGGTGAAGTACTACCTTCCTGAATCGAAAGAGCTGTGAAGACTGAGTTTCGGGAGTTTTCTCTCTCTTTCTCACCCTAGTACAGTAATAAAAGTACCGTACCATACGGTGTCCAACATAACAATCCCTTCGAAAATGCCTTCGGAGTACGTACTGATGTGTGCGGAGGTTCGAAAAAATATTGAGTGAGTCAATTAGGGCCAAAGATTCATGTTTACACCAGCCACAAAAATATTAGAAGTACAGGCACTGCTGTAGAAACGGTCAAATTCGCGAGCAGGAATTTCAAGCAATACGTTCAGCACCAAGTACTGGGCAATCAAAAAATACCGTAGAGCACATGTTCAAATTAGTTCCTCTTTCAAATCGGTATGTACAGGAATCGTACCGAGAGTCAAGATTGTGAATACACCATCATTCACCTTTATCCCATTTCCTGCTACTCAAAGCGTCAATGTGAAAACGAATCTATCGACACCGTTCTACTACAATCTTATCTTACTGTGAGAAACCGTATCACATCGAAACAAATTATCTTTCATATCGGCTGTGCAGCTTCATTATTTTCAACCAGCCTTTCTGAAGTGACAACAAGAACAACACATCACCTAGCAGTCATAGCACCACATCTGAGCACATCAGAGTGTTCTACTTTTTTGTCCCCATAAAGACCATAGGAGTCTACAGTAATACAGTAACCAAAATGAATATCAACAACGACTTTGGTACATCGTCGGCTTTCGACGCACAGGTCCAAGAATTGTCGGAACCTCCTCCGGAATCTTTCAGTTTGGCGGCCACACTGCAATTACTCGATCCATTCGAGACAGTGGCTGCAACAAAAGCAAACGATGATGACGAAAGTGAAGAGATGAATGGCAACTTAAACATGGTATACTTGATGACTCCTTCTTACCTGCAAAATTGGTTGTTTTGGGCCTTTCACCAGAACGTCAAAAAAGGAGAATCGAATCGATTGGTCGAAGCCCTTAAATTAGCTGCCAAACGGTACKGGCTAACTCCACCACAGGATGCAACTCCCGAGGATTTAGAAGATTATGCCGACCCCGGCCCAATCGATGCGACATTTTTGTCGCTGAACGAAGGAAACGGCAACGATTTGCTCCTTAGTCCGAACGTCACACTGAAAGATGGTGGCCTAGACTTGCAATCGAGACAGCAACAATTACAAAATACTCTCGATACGGAGTTTCCGGAATTGATGAGGCGGGCAGAGAGTTTGCAAGTTGTTTCTGCATCCAAGAATAACACAGACCAAAAACTTTCGAATGGCACGGTTGTGCTGATCCATCCAAATGACAGCATAGACGTCGACGGCGACAAGATTTTATGTTGTGCGGTTCCCTCTCGGTTTTATGAAGTAAGTAGTTGTTGTTTTTTCCTTTGTTCACCTCTCATTTCTTTCAAAATACAACAAATTGATTTTTGTTGCTCTAACTTGATGCTTTCTGATAACACAACAATCATAACAACAATGCGCACCATACGATGCAAAATGTAGACGTTGCGAATGTCCCTTGGTGTAATGTGTGACGACGGTTTTGCAGTTTCTTATCAGCCCTACCCGAAAGAAACGGAGTCGCTGATACACCATCATATACATTCAATAGAAAACGACGACAATACCAGTACATTAAGTAAAAATGAAGGTGTCGCACCAACAAGTGACCCCGATCAGTTGGATGACAACAACAATGACAATGGCAACAACGAAACATTCAATTATCTTAGTGCCGTTAGCAATGGATTGAATGGAGTCGCGAAAGGTTGGGAAAATAGAGTGCATAATCAGCGCCAGCAGCAACGCCGGCCGATTGAGTTTCCGAGACGAATTATTATGAAGGCAGTGTCTCCCCAGCATGACAAGTATGGAAGTGATCTCATGAACGACACCCTCTCTCCAATGTCTAAATTGCTGAAAGAGCAAGAGCGCTTGGCCCCTCCACAAATGGCCCCATCCGTCGAATTATATCCTATCAAACTTAATTATCAAATTGTTGATGGTAGCACAGATACCAATAGCAGCAGCTGTGGCCAGCGCACCGGCTTTGTCTTGGTATCCCGGCGGACAAGAGTGTATGAAGCAATGCAAGATTTGTTGAAGGTGACTGCACCCGACACATCATCTTCGTGCAAGCGAGTTTGGAGTTTTCAAGGGCACGGCGAATCAAGGAAGGGCTCTCCCGCCACAAAATATGGGGATGGATACGAAGTGGTCGATTTGGCTTCTCTGGACGGAAAATTGAATTCTACTAAGATTATTGATAGGAACTCCAACGCTCTGAAAAAAATACCAAGCCTATTGATAGGAGAATGGATCAGAACCCACCAACAATACCGACAAAATAAGAAGCATGATACGCATTGCAATAACGAGGATGAGTTGATAGAGCTGAATCTGTTGGTGGAAATAAAACGGCCAAATACATCGTGGCCACGACAAAAGTTAGAACTAGAAAATCGTGTGCAAGTAGGAGATTTTGTTGATGCTCAGGATATTGCTGGAAAGTGGTATGAAGCAATAGTTCAAGAAGTATCGAGGACTACAGTAAGAGTCCATTATCTTGGATGGGCTTCTAAATGGAATGGTACATTGCGGAAATGCAGGCACACATGTAATAGTATTGTGGATGATCATGATGATGGCAAGGATTTAGCGAAAGAAGTTAACCCTAGGTTGCAGCCTATTGCTCCGCTTTGGACTCACTGTAGGCCATGGCGAGAAGGCCTAACAGCGGGTGCAGTATTGGAAGTCCGGGATTCCATGTCAAAAGCAGACCGACCGAGATGGTACAAGGGGATTGTGAAGAGGGTTGGAAGTCGCAACGGGCCCTACAAAAAAATCGAAGGTGGCGCTCAACTCGAGCTACTCGAAGATATCCTCAGAAACTCGACGACAACAACGAGTAGTACTGAGGTAGGGAAAAGTAGCGCAAACAAACGTAGTGACGTGTTGCTTTTGATGAATCGCAAGCAACAAATTCTAGTTGAAGTTGAACAAGAACAACTAAATACGAATGCCGAAGACTTGCCATTTGGGGACGTTCAGATCAACGATTCAGATAGTTTAATTTCGGAAGATCCCTTAAAACCTCGTCCCCCGTTATTACGATGGGTCAATCTTTTCGGGGAAGAAATCTGTGAAGCTGGAACACACATGAAAATCGAAGCTGATGGTGATCTTGCGGTAGTGACCCTGCGATACGAGTACGAAGCTGGTAGAAAGCCAGTAGAGGTTATGAAATCGTGGAATGGAATGTATGGCCAGGGTATGGTGAAAGAGTCGCTGCGTGGGACACCTCCCGCTCCGGGTGCCGTTGGAATGCACAATCTCGGAAATTCTTGCTACTTGAATTCCATCGTCCAGTGTCTTAACCATATTCTTCCATTGACGGAGTACTTTTTGAATGGAAATTTCACCAATGACATGAACCGAGAAAACCCTTTGGGCAGTGGTGGCCACGTAGCGACGGCGTACGCTACCCTTTTGAAAGAAGTCTGGAGCGGTAATTATTCTGCTCTGGCACCCCGATTGCTGAAGCAGACAGTAGCTAGTTTCGCTCCACAATTTCGAAATTCATTCCAGCACGACAGCCAGGAGTTCTGTCAGTTTCTTATGGATGGTCTTCACKAAGATTGCAATCGAGTCAAAAAGAAACCCTACGTCGAAGAACTCGAAGGTTTTGGTATGGAAGACGAAAAGGCTGCAATCGAAACATGGCGGAAACACTTGCTCCGACATGATAGCATAGTCGTGGACAGGTGTCAAGGAATGCACCGAAGTCACTTGACTTGTCCCTCGTGTGGGCGGGAAAGCATCAAATTTGATGTTTTTTCCACAGTCTCTCTTCCAGTTGTCCTCGAAGACAAGGAGGGCAGTATTAATACATGTATGAGAGTCGAACACTGCATAGAAAAATTTCTTGAGGGAGAACAACTCGATGAAATGAATGCGTGGTATTGCCAGGGCTGCAAAAAACACGTATGTGCCCTGAAGATGATTGCGTTGTGGTCTGTCCCCGACATTCTCATTTTACATCTAAAACGATTTCAATTCGAAAATTGTTCCGTGAGCAACAATATATTGCGGTCGAAGATTGATGATACGGTAAAATTCCCTGTTGACAATCTCGACCTAAGCAAATATGTTCTGGGTCCGATCGACGATGATGCACCACCCGTCTACAACTTATTTGGCGTGAGTGAACATGTGGGTCACACCGCCAACAGCGGTCATTATACCGCGACGGCAAGAAACTGCAAGGATGGTCGATGGTATCGGTACAATGATGCGCACGTAGGAGAGACGACGGGAGATGCTGCGGTAACAGGGGGCGCCTACCTCTTGTTTTATCAGCGAGCCAAGGGCACTGCGCGGTGGGGTGGTATGGAAAAGACCATGCGTGACAAAAACGTTGATCCATACGGAGGACTGGAGACGGATCAAGACGGCTTTACACTGGTCTCAAAGAAATAAAAAAAGGAAGGACAAAATGCTTCGCTTATCAATCATCAACTTCAAGTAACAATTACTCCTATTTCACGATAGAACCATATAAAGTGACGACGAACTATAGACGGTTTATTAGATTAAAATTGCTACTATTCACAATATAGTCAAATCTACAATTGCAACTCTGGTCATACACTACACCATTCTCCTTGATAATGTGCCGATTTGTACAATCAGACACAGCTGACGGTGTCAGCAAAGACCAAATACTGGAATAAAATGAAAGGACATTAATATTCCCATGATCTCTGTTCCAGAGAGGAGAGGAGCCCAAAATCCCCAGAGCGGCCAGAGGGCTCGAACAAAAATCAAATAAGTTACCGTGCATGCCAATAATAGGCCTGGAAATACCTTTGGACAATATACTCCCCATACGGACGGATCGGAAAGACCCTTGATCTTCGGTAGATACAGCGTGAGATATGAGAAAAGCGCCAGCACCAATATGAAGCCACCTCCGGCAACCCTCAGCAGAGTCCGGTTTAGCCGCGGATCGCTCCAGACAATTGGGAAAAAGTTAGTCCATCGGGCCAGAACTAGAGCCACGACCAACCATACAAACGCAACACCCTTTTCTTCCAGTCGTTCTCCCTGCGATCGCGTATTCGGTGTTGTTGTCCCAGCGCTGCTTTCGAATCCACCGCTGCTAATTTCCGATGCGGCTGTCTCGTTGGTCTCCCTTTGAGGTACTCTTCTGTACGATGATGATGACGTTGACGCGGACATCATTTGCTTTTTAATTAAGTGTTCGTAATATTTCAATTCGATGTCCAAATTGTTGTCTGTTGGTGTAGAACAGATTCTGTTGAATGTAGTTGCTGTGTCCTCCTTCTGGTGTACCTACCCGTAGGTTACCACCATGTACAAGTCCGTACCAGCAGGTACATTGCGTCGTTGGATTTCTTGGTTCGTGTTTCAATTTCAATTTCAAATTACTTCCACGGTAGGTACTATCATAGGCCTAATGATGTGGTCATGAAAGGATAATCTTTATTTCCCGCCGTTTCATTTTTTTCAGATTTTGTTTGTTCATCTCGTCTTGCTTGTTGAGGTGGTTGTAAAACAGTAAGTTATCTTATTCTGTACTTCTTTGAAATATGAGCTCTCCACCTAGCTCTAATAATCACAGCCTCTGTCCGGAAATCACTCCTCTTGTCTTTGCTTATGCATTTTACTCTCAAGATCCCTCTTTCGCCTTGGATCCCCTCTTCAACTTCAAGCTATTATTATGTCCACTAGCAGCTGTCTGATTCTGCCAGCTCGATGAGCACAGCTGTTCATTTAACGTCTTCAAGATACCAGTTATCAAGCTCCTCAACTGTCTTGTTCATACCTACTTAGCTTCCTATCTTCATACCTAGCATAATCCCTTTACCGAAATTGTTCCATTGTGAACCAATAATCCCCCTCTAATATTCATGAGGGCTTTATACATGGCATCATTCGTGTTGCATCTCGCGGTATGAACAGGGGTTAGTGCTGTGTTTTTGTTGTTGCCTAGTATGTAGTATCCTCAATCTACCACACTAAATGAATATTAACTCTTCATAATATAGATCTACATCTTCCGATTCCATTGAGATTTTTTTTAAAAAAAAAACTCTGTCACTAATTTCTTAGCAGTTCATACTTTTACAAAAATTATTTTTGTCTTTTTCCCCATTGTCAATGCCTCTCAATTATAATGTAGGTTTCTTTATCGTACCCAAAACCTGGGCAGAACCTTCATCACTTGCTTGTTCAGGGCTACGGCAGCCTTGAATTGGGCCTCGTCCTCGCGAACTGGAAGGACGGGATGCTTATACAGTCTGGATTTACCGATCGTTTCGTCCAGCAAAAGATTTCCGGCCTGTATTCCGGACACGTAGGCGCGCTCTTGGCAAAGCCCCTTCGCGCCGTGTTCCATGTCCCCCATTCGAACCCAGTCACCGGCAAACTTGATGGTCGGTACATCCGGATCTCCCTGCATCGGTGGGCGGCGATTGAAGCTACCGGGTGAGAAGAAGCTGACACTTCCAGGGAACTTTCCAACCCAGCTGTCGACGACGTTTGCGTAGGCAAAGTCGGGAACGGCCTCCGGAAGCAATTCCTTCATGAGAATCTCTGTGATCTTGTCGTCGCTCAAACTCAAAAGGGCTCCGGCATTGTAAAAGTCACAGGCCAAGACCGACCCTTGGGGAGTTTCATCTCCCCAGAGTGCATCTTCGTTTTCGGCTTGAAATTGGTCCAGCATAAAGAATGTTCCTCCGCTTCCTCGAAGGGCATCAAACCTAGAGAAGACATTCGCTGGAGTCCGGGTGGGAACATACCGATCGAGCCAGAGACGGACCGAGATAACATCCACACCGTTTGCCATGGATGCTGCCTTGCTGAACGTGGGATATTTTGCAAGATCCGGGCTGTTCGTCATGACCGCCGACATTCCCTTGCCATTTAGAGCCAGAACAATTCCGTCTACATCCATAGTTGAAACTTCCCCATCACGTGTTTTGTACTCAATGCTGGTCTTCTTAGTAGCCTCCGAATCATCGTACATTATTTTTGAAACAAAAGATCCTCCTTTAACTTCCAAACCATAGTCCTCCTGCAAATGAGTTGCGAGAGGAAGAATTAAGGAATCGCTGACTGTTCCGTTCTTGATCCATCGCACATCGAAACTATCCTGATGTGCCAACGCATAATAATACAAGAGCTCCATTACCACCAGGGCACTCAATTCTTCTGGAGGTTTGAAGAGCCCCACGAGCAATGTGGGCTTGATAAAGTCTTCAACGAGTCGCTCACTGAGTCCAAAAAGAATGAACAAGTCTTGTGCCGACATGCGGTCGTATTTCTCTTGCACAGCTACGTCGTTCCCAATACAGTCAACGGTAGCAACTAAGAGGCCGACCATGGAGGCGCGATCTTGCAACGGAATGCGCTCAAAGAGAGGAAAGGTGGATAGGATTTGACCCAGCGGAGAGGGAAGCTGCGGAAACGATTGCCCAGAAAGCTGGTTTAGGAATGGAAGCGGAGTATCGATTTTGGGAATCTTTCCTTCCGAAAACACAGGAGCGGTCGCCTCCAATCCGTCAGGTGAATAAAAGGAAGAATTGGTAAAGGATGTGAAGATATCCGATTCGTTCAATCCGAGTTCTTCGCACAACTTGTTGATATTTGGGTAGTCCTTCCAAAATCCACGTGTTCCGGCCTCTACCGGCTTTCCCGACTTGGACACGAAGGGGGTCGCACCGGTGGGGTCGGGCAGAGCATCCAGTAGGGTCAGTTCGACATTTTCCTTGGATTCGCAAATCGCCTTGGCAGCTCCCCAACCACCCCATCCTCCTCCGACGATGGCAATCTTCAGAGGTGGTTCTACGTCGCTGTCGTCCTTGTCGCTGCTGTCGCCTGCGTCGGACTCTTCATTCTCTTTTTCGGCTGCTTGTTTCTTTTGCTCGTTTTGCCAATCCAGTGCCGCCGATCCTGTGTTGCTGCTATCACTCGCAGATGCATCTGCAACCTCTGCTCCGATTTCCGCTGCTGATGACGCATCGTCGGAATCGTCGGATGCAGATGAGGAAAGAAAACTTTTCACGGAGCGATGGTGCGTTTCGGCTACCAATGCCCCGGGCTGTAGCGTTGCACTCCCGGCACGATGACGAGTATTGGTCGTGAAGCCGCTCGACAAAGCGGCCACTAAAATTGGATAAGCGAAAGAGAGCTTCATTGTTGTTACGCTGTCCTTGTGTAGGTTTTATGAAGAGCAACTGGCAGTGTGATGAACGGTGTTCGTCGACATACGGCACAACAGAACGTCTGCTGTGTTGTTGCAACGACTTCTTTTTGCCAGAGTACAGTACGTAGTGTCTAGTGCAATTGGCATGAAAAACCGATAAAAAGTTTTGCTCAGTGATGATTCGATCGTGGAGATTGACTCAGTTTTTTTTACCGCCACATCGCGTCGCGCTGTTCTTCAACTGGGATCATCTTGGTGTTGAACTCAAAAAAAACCTTCCCATTCTTAAAATCAGCTCAATAAGTAATGGCAATCGGAATGGTAATTTTTCCATCACACTACTAGTACTAGTACTTGTACTAGTAATACTCGTACTAAATACTCCTACTATAACTAATTTAATAATCTTACAAGCAGAGCTTGATTCCCGGCTAAGTGGCTGGACTACAGTCTACAGTAATTGGTGCTGATGTCACTAACCGTTGAAAATAGATCAGCAAACCAATCAAAAATGGAAAAAAGATGCAAAACAGCCAGGCCCTGTACAGTTCTACACGTAAATATTTATTTCTTATCCGGGGGTAGACCTGCTGATATTGATTCAAACTACATAGTACCGGTACTCCCAAAGCTATCTATCTATCATACATACTATATGTATGGTAAATGGAATGTACCGTCACACAAACCGATATAATGGTGTTTTAAGTTTCCTGCGTGCACGAAAAMAAATTCCCGCGCGTGTTTTTCTATGCTCAAATTAGAATCTCACGGCCCTTTTCCCTGGAACATGTTCTCGCACCCTTCGTTTCTCAACACAAATTTCATGCCCTTTTTTAGGGTTTGTACTGTTTTCTATCGTTGCCGTTTATTTTCTCATTACAACCWCTAAAATATCATCATTTCGACATTTTTCTTATATTTCCTTTCAAAATCGAAGCCACTGTATGGGTTTTTCTTTTGGTTTCACCAACATTCATTTACTAACAACCGAAACTATTGTTCTCTTTTATACTCTGTTCGAAGGTTTGTCTTATCTTATTACTGCTTTTTATATTTTTGTTTGACGTTCAACGATTTTCGTTGTAGAACCAATTTTCGCCGTATCCCATTTGTATTTTTATATGTCCATTGTTTGTTTTCATTTCGTTGTGATATATTATTTTAATGATTTTCGAATTTATACTG